TTTTGCACAAAGCCACAGGTCATGAAAGATGCCCTAATTGGTTTTTTGTTACCTTACATTTATCCTTAATGCCAGTGCATATAAGAGTCAGGGATAATGTTGCCCTTCCTCAGAGATATTACAGTGCAGATCATGAAGAAAAGCAGCTTAATTTAAGTAATGTTGGTATATGTGTTGGTCCCCTGCTGCTCTCTCTCAAGGAACAGGCAAATGGCGAGTCCACATTGTTCCTGTTTTCTTGGCTTTCATAGTTTGATTATTGACATGTTACCAACTTCCTCAAATAGAATCTCGTCCTGTGGCAGACACAGTGGACAGCTTGTTAGTTCACCTGCTAATGATCAGCCACAGGTTTAAGTGTTAAGATTTGATAACTTGCTGTTTGCCAACTCCTAACACTCCACTGACTCATTTTTGACTCTCATTAGTTTGTTCTTAAACTTAAATGCTGCTTGTATGTTTTATGATCATGTCTGGATGTTGATCCACACATAAAGTTGATCTATACTGCAAGTAATGCTGAGTCTTTGACCCCTTTGGACTTCTCTTTCTTTTCCATGCACCTTGTAAGTTTATAAAATTGTGCCCGACTCCTCCACTTCACGTCAGACTCAGGATAATAAACATGATGTAGGTCATATGTCATGCTTGTCAGACTTTCTGTAATATGAATCACAAATTCGCATTAACAATAAGTGCATCCTTGTGGCTAAAAGCATGCAGAAAGCATTGGAATTGTCATAAATCATCCATGGCACCACTGTAATGAAAATCATATCTTGAAAACTGCATTTTGAGCACGCCTGTGACCCGTTGTAGCCTTTCTCTCTGCTGCATGCCATGATTCTGAGATCCATCAGCACCAACCGTCACTCAGAATGACAGGGTGAAATGATAACATGAATGTGTACCCTTGTGCGTGCATACAATACGCCAAACAAGAAAGACAGGAGTGCATGTTTGAAAACAATGCTATAAAGCCCAATTAATACTCAAAAACTTCTTAAGTGACTATTTACCTCAAATATTTACAGATAAGACAGCATTTAAAATACCATAGGCAACAAGTATTACATAAACCCATTAAGCATCTTCCTGTTGTACCCAATTTTTCATGTCACTTAATTTTAACCTGAAAAATTCAATCATATTTTTGGTGTACTGTCACACTCATCAGTGAGCAGGACAGAAATGACCTTCACTGAATCACAACTTCAGTGTCTAAGGTTTTCCTCTGTTAAATTGGTCTCATTGTGAAGGTGACTGTTCATAATGAGGCCTAACAAAGTTTTCTTGAACCCAACTGGAAACATGATTAAATTACAATAGAATGAGTGGTGTGCATGAAAAGCTTCTGTATGTTGTAGAAAAAGTACTGCTTCATGCTTAAAAAAGGGGGGTCTTCTTATACGATTGTGGGCATGTGTATTGCTTGGTAAGAGTCAGGACATCATTAGTATGATGTTCTGGATTTGTGCAGGTAATAAAAAATACAGAGGATGGTGCTCATTTCCGCAACATTCATCAAAAATAGAGTATGTCACACAAACAGACAACCTCTGCATTTCTGAGCCTCAGTATATTCCTGTATGATTTCCCACCTTTCCCACAGTAGATCCACTTAGTTTTGGTTACAGTAGCTTACTCTCAGACAAGTGAGCATCATTTCATGCCCACAAGCCTTTCGTATTGCATTGTGGGTAATGTATTATACTGAAGTGCCAAGAGAAATCAGAATATGGAGAGAACAGAAAAAGATACTGGCAGCTGGCAAGATGTCCCTGTACACCCGAAAGTCCCAGAATTCCATTGGGTTAAATTTGATCGTGGCAGTACTGTGTATCAGAGCACATTGCCCACTAAAAGCACTGAGCAAAGCATCTATTAAAAGATGGTTTTGCACCATATACTGTGCATTTACAGATGTTTTGCCTGATTACCCTGTGTATGTGCATGTGTATCTATTATTGCGCCCTCCTCAAGTAGAACGCTCACCGTTTTTTGCATGTCTCTTTCCCAAAACTCAGATTGTCATGTGTGAACAACAAACTTGACCTCTTGTCACAGTCTGCCCCTGCCCCTTATATCTTGTGACCTGAGGCACCGGGTACATGCTTTGCAGCCAATTACAGAGAGAGTAGTCCCTCAGTGCATACCTGCTTTAAATGCAGTTACTGAAGTGAATCGTCTCATTTATATGATATGTCACAAATAGTAAACACTACCCTCTCATACCTCTGTTTAAAGCAGATGGCTGCTGCTAATGTCAATCGCTTAAAGGTCCCCTTTTATGAAAAATCCACTTTTGGGTGGTTTTCTACCAATAGTATGCATCCCCTCAAAGCTGCCAGTACTACACCTTTGTACTCACATATGGTACCCTACAACTGTGTAATATTGGTGTCCCAGAGTGTGATCACACATCACATTACTGTGCAGCGTCAGACCGAGAGGCACGACTTATTAACATGCAGCAGGAGCTCCACATGTGCACACGCACACACACATATGCATGCACAGTACATACAACACGGTTCAGTGTTTCCAGCTCCAATGCTACACATCACCACCTTCTTCCCCCTATTCTGTCTCCTCTCAGAGTAGAGGGACCGTGCATTAGATATCATGCCTTGAAACGGCAATATGAAAGAACCTTGTGTGTTTTAAGTCCCACTCCAATCGTCATTCATTTATTTATTTATTTACTACTTAAAGTGTTCTCAGTGGTCTTTAAACTGTGGTTATGAAGTTTTTAACCAAAATCACCTGTGTCGTGGGCGGAGACAGCACTGCTCTGCATGCTAGCTTGTAGCCTAACATTGCCAGTGCAGCAGAGGTGGTAGGTTAATTAGCTGTTCAGCTCTTGAACACTAATGTCTTTAGGGGCATGATGGGAATGCTTATGCCCATCTTATGGGCAAACCAATCCCCTAACGCACACATTCCTTCCGCCATCGTCCTCTCTACTTCTCAGGGTCTGGCCTGCAGATTGGGGCTCCAGGGGCAGGAGCCCCGCTCTGCAGGCCAGACCCTGAGAAATTGTGTTTGGGCATTTTTGGCTTTAATTGGTAAGACAGCTGGAGAGATACAGGAAATGTAGGGAGTAGAGAGTTGGGGAAGACATGCAGCAAATGGTCAAGAATAGGAGCCGAACCAATGACAACTGTACAAGCAGCAGCTGTGCTAGACTTTACAAGACCATTTTAAACATCTACCAAATAAACTTTCAGGCTCCAAATCTGATTTTGCTGCTGCTGTTGTAGTTGTTGGGGTGGTGGAATGAAGGTTAATCTAGACAGCTTATACAACTAGATAATTTGAGTGGCTTAGAGAGCTCGAGGAAGGTCGCAGAGTCACCTCGTACATCTCTCCAACACAAGAGTGGCGGCCACAGAGCAAGCAGCTACCTGTCAGTGTACTTGTTTTCATGTTACTACCATCAGCTTTAGTGTTTCAAGAGAGGGTAACAGCGACAAGAACTTACCATTAAAAATGTACAGGCTCATAAGCACCCCAAGTTGAGCATGTTTAAGTGGTTTTTAAACATAGTATGAAAACTAACCTAATTGAAGAAGTTCATGATAGATACAGAGTGATGGTTTCTCACATTTTTTTCCAACCCACGCCTTCATCATTACACCACACTGTGGTAAACACAGCCCTCTTTACAACATGAACAGGTAGGTGAGGGGTAGAGCGTCAGGTTGTATATTAATTTAAAATTTGTGGATGCCATACTTAATGTTGTGGCTTTCCTTCTTGTTGTCAACGCCACATGAGAGCCATGAAAGGCAGGGTTTCATACAGGAATGAACGACGAGATGTATCCAGTTCAAAAACTAAGTTTACTTCACAAAAAATCTAAATACATCCAAAACTCTGTCACTCCATAGAAAAACTATGTACACGTATACAGCTCTCATCTAACTGAGGCCGTCGGTGTCGTAATCACGCTCAAATACACACACTCTAGAAATAGCATGTATAGATATACAATGAAAACTATGAAATAATCAAATTAAATTATAATCTCAAATTGTTATTCTTAACTATAAATTATGGCTCCTACACTTAATAAAAAAAAAGAAAAGTCAGAACAAAATTGAAGTGTTATAGATGCACCCTTGTGCCACAGTCTTTTTAATGCTGCAAAAGAGTAAACCAAAAAGAAGAAAACCTGTCTCCTTTCTGGGGGATGACCACTTGTAGTCCGGGGGCCTGATGTAGCCCTCCGGAGGTTTACTGCTACCTTTTTTTTCACTATGATTTTCAGTTAGCCTATATTTTGGGCCATCCCAAGATGATAGGGGCCCAAAAACCCAATTTTGGGGCCCCTGATTACCTAAATGCAAATAAGGTGCTGCACCAACACAAACTGACAGAAAAGTCTAAAATTTGGCATGGAGTATCCTGACACATAAGGGTAAGTAGATAAACACGATTCAGGACCTTGCTGCAGTTTAATTCTGAAATATCACACTCAACATCCCAATGAACACTCAAAAATTACTGTCTGCTTGATAGATCTTCATCAATATGACTGTTTTCCAGCACTTTATGATGACCATCACTCCTGCACTGGTATATAGAAAACTTCCCATGTTCATAAGCTTCGATTTGAGCCCAAGATGACCTCTCTATGTTGAATATTACTCTTTCTGTGGCCAAGAATCTGCACTACACTCCTTTCAGAGAAAATTGACATTTCACTCACTAGCCTCCTAGAGGCCCAGAAAATAAGACATGTTCTCCTACTACTGTTATCTGAAGTTAAATGCATGGATAGTGAATACTACAGCAGACACAAATGATTTCAACAGTGTTTATGATGTATTTTTGATTCACAAATAGCTTGTTCCAATCAGTAGCAAAACAATGTGCACCCAAATCGAACAAGTTGCACAGTAAAACAATGCCATGCTTCGCAAAATCAAACAAATGTTATCCCAATCCAAACTTTACAACTTAATTTCCTTTGAATCATGTCAAATAGTTTAGCTTTAATCATCATATTCGTCTTCCTCCTCCTCCTCGTCATCATTCATGTATGTATGGATTTCTTCTAGGTCATCCTCATCTGTCCACTCCTCAACCAAGACATCATTGAGGGCTTTTGGGATGACATCACCTTCAAACCACAGAGGCTCTAGTTTTCCATTTTCAGTGTTGAGATGAAACCCAATGCCAAGAGGTGATGGGATTGCTGGGTTGTTCTCGTGAGCCCTCTTCCAGATGCATACCTGAACGTTCACTCTCTTGATGTGCTGAATGAGAACCCTCCTGCATGGTGGAAAGGTGGAAAAGTCAATGGAGAGACCTGGGTGAAGCTCAAGGCTTGAGCCACACATTTTCTGCACCTTGATCTCTCTTGCCTCATCGACACGCTTCACTCGAGGACCAAAGCTGCAGAGGCGGCAGGTGAACTCCTCAATACCAGATAGTACAAACCCATCAAGCTCCCAAGAGTTCCCCACTGCGGCAAAGATCTCTATGAACTTTGACTGCTTGTTCAAAAGCTTCATGGGTCGCACCTTTCAACCAGATGGTTGATGTTTATGAGCTTATCTCCCATGTCAAATATCTACTATCTACTACTTTGAAGGTCTTGGCATAGTAGAGGAGAATGAAGAAAATGTCTGAGTCTTTGGCTCTGACTCTGACAGTTCTGATGTGAGGCAATGTGTTTTGTATGTGATTTCTTCATGTTTTGAACAGCTTTTGAAACCACTCCATCTTCAAATTTAATCCTGTAAGCTTGTCCAGCCTCAATAAAGTTGATGGGCCTTCGCTGTATCACTTCCAACATTTCTGTGGAGCTCCAGTGCTCAAGACGCAAATGTATGAGTGACTTCTTGTTGTCATCATTTGAGAGAAACCCTTTCCAATCTGCAGGTCGGCGAACATTGAGACCATCGACTATATACCGCTCACCACAATGGTCCCTCTCAGCTGACTTTGGAGAGTGAAGACGGTCAACATAGGTATCTGTACTGAACACCATTTCTGCTTCAGGACGTTGACTTTTGATGATACGTTCTGAAATGGTTTTCACTGTCTGGGGCACATTGCTCATGTAGAAAGTGGCATTGCCATCTACAACAAGACCACACTGACTAGCTGAGGGGAGCTCCACATTCTCAGCATCTTTAATCATGAGGTTCATCCCCTGTGCTTTATTGTTTTTTGCAAAGATTCCATCAACTGTTGAAATGGAATATGGAGTCACAGTCAGTGGGTAGGACATCAGTTCAGAGATGTTGATTTGTGACCACAGTAGTTGGGATTTGATGAAGATCTGAAAGATAAACCCACTTGTCGCCTTATACTGGATCACCTTCTGGTTGGATGCCACAAGCTGCCTTTTAGGTGTGGTGGAAGACAAAGCTTTGAACTTGTTCCTCTTGATAGGTTCGAAGAAAGGGACTTCTTTTCCAATTAGTAGATTACAGATGAACTTTTCTTTTTGTGTTTGGCCATTTTTAAGAGCATTCAACACATCATAGCGCACATCCTCTGGCATAGCTGCCCCTGAAAACAGACTTGTGAGTGGCTGATGAGTCTGAAGCTGAGCCTTCAGTCGCTCTGCCCCCCAGCTCTGGAACTCACTACCACCCGATCTCAGAAACACTGACTCCTTTCTCTCTTTCAACACTACTCACAACCCACCTGTTTCGCTCCGCATACTCCCTGTAGCTGTTTTATCCATTCCCTGTGTCGATTTTTATCTGTTTAAATTGCTTATTGTTTTATTTATTGTCTTATTACGAATATCTTGCTTTTAATATTGTACAGTGACCCTGGGTGCTTTGAAGGGCGCTTTCAAATAAAATTTATTATTATTATTATTATTAAAATCGGGGGGTTTATCCCAGATCTCCATTTCGCACAGTTTGTCTGAAGGAAAGATACTCTCCTATGTGGGTAGATACATTGGCTGATGCTAAGACATCAGTGAGAGGAGATTCACTGAGGTTAATTTTTTCCAGAAGATGGATACTTTCAGAGGAGAGTGGTTCATGATTTTCCAGATACTTTTCATATAGGAGTCTCTCGAGAGCTTCGAGCATGGACTTGTGTGTGTTCATAGCTCTATCCCAATTCTTCCCATCAGTGACTCCATTCACAGAGCTGGTGGTGATTAGTTTAGCTTCTAAAGCCACTTCTACCCATCAACTACCCTGACAGTATCTTTTGCCTATGCCTTTCAAGTATCCTCCACAGCAATAGAATGTGCCAATGAGGATTATGTGTTTTTTGTATCTCTCAGCTTCATTCCATATTAGAGGGTAGGCTTTCATGCAAACCCCTAGGTCAAATGTACTGATGGTGTACTCTTGTCCAGCTTCAGAGGATGCATTGAAGGCACTCTTGAATGGTTGACAATTCTGTTATTGGCGCATTGATCATGGGATAATACCCAATTGTGGTGAGACATTTTGGAGAACAGCCAGTTACCGACAACCAGCCTGACAAACCAGGGATGTGCTGATCCATGGAGTTGATTTTACGAGCAATGACCCAAACAAGATCAGAATCTGATTTTGAGTTGCTGCATGTGGCTGCAGTATTTGAATTGGACGCTGCCAGTACTGGTTCTGACCGTTTCCGCTTGTAGTAAGTTGGCAAATCCTGAGCAGGCCTTTTGAACGATCTTTGTTTTGTTGTAGGTCGAGTGGTAGGATCTTGTCTAGGCTGTACTGAGGTTGCATGTAGATTCCTGCAGTGGTATGAATGGACCCTGCACCATATATATTTGATACCAGCTGATCAAAATTGTCCCAGTCACTATGGAAGACTGCCCCGTCAGGTTGTCCCCTGATAATGTCAGGTTGTCCCCTGATAATGTCAGATTGGCTTATTATTGATGCTCTTTCCACTATTGAATTTGCCAGAGCCGTTTCAAGTTCCAGTGAGTATGAGTATGATTTACAGTGGCCAAGCTTATTGATCAGGTTATGCTCTTGGATCTGAAGAGATGCCTTAGTGTCATACATAGCAAGATGTGTTTCTTCATCTTCCATCGGCCTGATGTCACTGCTCTGCAGAGGTATTGGGAGATGGAGATTGCTAGACATTCCTCCGTATGTGATGGTTTTTGTGATGGCTTTTTATCACCACAGATTAGGTTTAATACAAATTGTAAAACCTCAGAGGGAATCTCTTTTTTTGATTCTGGGATATCATGAGCTGTAGGGGGCCATGTCAGTGGTTCTGAATTTTTGAATGATTTTATGATTTTCTGGTGAAGGTCATGGCTGATTTCTTTACTCCAATCAGTATTTCCCATCTCATAAGCTGAACGCACTGTTGTCTTCATCGATTCCTGGGAACGACAAAACACTAACGTGTTTTTGAATGGGAAAGATGAGAAGTCAACACTATCTTTGAGATTAGGATGGCATTCAATTTTTTATCTGAGGTTGTGAGCTGTTATTGGAGAAGCAGATCCTTCAAATTTTCTCAATGTATCATTATACAAATCTGTAAGATAAGCACGTTTGACAACCTGAACTTTTTGAATAATTTCAGTTTGTATGTGGTCATATAACTGAGTGAAAGCTTTACTTATCATTGCTTTCTTTGTCGATGCTGCATCTGTGCTATCAGACTGAGATGCTCACTTTACCAAGTACTGCTTGCGACAGCAGTCATGAAATTGTGCCTGCCTAGCAACAAGATCCACACCCACAATTTTGCATAACAGATCTTCATCACCTAGTTCCATAGCTTTTGTCTCAATAGATTTATATGCAGTGGACTGGAATTTCTGCAAGCTATATCTCTTGCCTGAAGCTCGCTTCACAGTGCCACTTTTGCAGAATATGCAGTAATTGCCCAACAAAACTGAAGAATCCATATGCTCACGTTTTGGTCTGTGATTTACTGCTTGGCATGTTCTTGCTAAGGCACGGGTTGCATCACGGAAAAATGTGCGTTGACAGTTTCTGTGATATCCACTATCTAAGGACGATTCATCAGGAATCGCAAACATCTAGCATACCGCTGCAGTCAGATGTTTGTGTCAAAAGTTTGGATTTCATATCATGAATTTCCTTATATGTCCTCAGTGGATCAGCCTTAGAAGAAAATGCCACAAAGCCATAATTTACTTCCCCCTTGCAACCATGCAAATTGCAATTTTCCATGCGTGACTGAGGTGGTAGCACATTCTCCATCTTTGATGAACTCTGGCAAGGTGACCAGGCTTCATCCTTTTGTTGTTGCTTTGACATGTTTACTGCTTTACATGTTGCAATGCAACCACCTGAAAATCAGTATAATCATTGCAACAAAGGGTGTGTTATTAAGGGTGCAAATTAACATTAATTCAAAGGTATTAGATATTTCATGAATGTATTCATATTACCTCAAATATGCACAGACTGATGTTGTTGCAGTTGTAACCCATTATATTATAATCCTACATGAGAAAAGGGCAAATGTTCATATGTCTTCTCACTTCCAGTCACATATGAAAACAATGAAGTGTGATAATGAAGCTTACCTTTATAAAATAATACCTTAACTGTTGGCTCTTGTCGTACAAATTGAGTATGTTCAGTCTGGTAAATCTGAAATATTTGAAATGAATTTATGGATTGTGAAGGTATAGTTTAAACTTATACTTTTAAATCTTAGTTACACAAACTATATAATGATGAACATTAACCACTAAACCCCAGCATTGGTATTGCGGGGAAAGCATTCACTGACAATAGCAGACCAACAAGCTCTTGTGAGCTTTTCAATCAGCTATTCACAGCAGAAGCTTTCGCAGCAATAACAGAAAACAGAAAATCACTAGTAGTGAGCCCCGAGGGACTCCTGTTACCCATACAGGGTTCAAGTGGTCTAGTCATGGATAACATAAAGCATACCTTGAATCTGTAGTGATGTGGTATTCAGTTCATTCTTCAATTTCTTGACGAAAATGGCAGGAACGTGCAGATATATTGTATACAGTGGTGCACAGACTGACAAGAACTCAAGACTCAAACACAAGTATTAACAGGACAGGTGAAATAAATAGACAATTAAGAGACGATTGGCAGCAAGGTGGACTTGGGTGGAGAAAGTCAATACTCACAGGGAAATGTGGGTGCTCACTGAAAGGGTAGTGACTGAAAATGCCATTTTCTCAAATTTGTGGTATAGTGCAGGATTTTGGCCACAGAAAGAGTAATATTCAACATAGAGAGGTCATCTTGGGCTCAAATCGAAGCTTATGAACATGGGAAGTTTTCTATATACCAGTGCAGGAGTGATGGTCATCATAAAGTGCTGAAAAACAGTCATATTGATGAAGATCTATCAAGCAGACAGTAATTTTCGAGTGTTCATTGGGATGTTGAGTGTGATATTTCAGAATTAAACTGCAGCAAGGTCCTGAATCGTGTTTATCTACTTACCCTTATGTGTCAGGATACTCCATGCCAAATTTTAGACTTTTCTGTCAGTTTGTGTTGGTGCAGCACCTTGATATTTGCATTTAGGTAATCAGGGGCCCCATAATTGGGTTTTTGGGCCCCTGAAACCAAACGGCCCCGAGTTGAGGGTGGTCCCTATTATCTTGGGATGGCCCAAGATATAGGCTAACTGGAAATCATAGTGAAAAAAAGGTAGCAGTAAACATTCTGAGGGCTACATCTGGCCCCCGGACTATTGGCAGAGTCACCAAACAGAAAAAAAAACACACACACACACACACACACACACACACACACACACACACACACACACACACACACACACACACACACACACACACACACACACACCGTGTAGGCTACATTATATTTGTTGCCTGTACAGAAACACCACACAAGAAGAGACACTCCAGTAAGTCAGCACAGTAGTATTCTTCACAACAACAGGCACATTTCATATGCATCAGTGTCTCCTCCTTCTGGAGCCTCTCTACACCTCTTCTTCCCACTTAGTCACATGATCAAGTGCTTCCACCATCTGCTTCAGTCCATCTGTAAGAAAACCTGGATCACTACAAGACATCACATTCACATTTGGGGTGAAAATCTAAATTCAATCACAACTGTCGAACAGTTATAGTCACAGTTCTCTTGATTTAACATGTTCATGAGCTTTAAACATGTATTCTTTTCCCCTAATGTCAGCAGCCTATAGTGGCAGTTTGGGCCCAAGAAAACATGTACAACCTCAAACACCAAAACTTTGTCACTTAGAGGTGAAAGGTCAATCAATCAATCATCAAGCAATCCAATTTTATTTATATAGTAGGAAGGTAATATATTAAAGGGATATTTTGGTGTAAATTTAAGCTTGGCTCAAACACACTGTAACACTGAGTTAGACACCCCTTCAAGAGATGAATGTTGTTGACTGCTTGCTTCTCTAGTTATACTCGGTGATCGACTCTTCAGGGCTCCCCCACAAACAAGCGGCTGCTGGAGGAGAGTGGGTAAGTTGTGTTTGGTCTCTTTGCTTAAGAAACCAGGCAAAACTAAAAAGATGTTTGGTGTCTAGTACTATGGCTGGGACCCTTTATGTACTGTTGATGAAGTTAGGTGCTGTTCTAAGCATTATTTGTGGCTATAAAGTGGCTTTTTGGTTGAGCGCATAGCTGTCTGTATTGCTATCTGACGTGGCTACTAAAGTTGACATAACTAGAGAAGCAAGCGGTCACCAACATTCATCTCTTAAAGGGGTTTCTAACTCTGTGTTACAGTGTGGTTGACCATGACTTCAATTCGTGTCAGAATATCCCTTTAACTCATTCAGTGCCAATGATGGATTTGGACGGATTTCCTTTTTTTTTTTTTTTTGCCCTGAGTGCCATTAATGGATTTTGATGGATTTTTCACTTTTTTCTTTCTTCCACCAGAGGACGATCCTCCCCAACATGTGACTAAGTTTGGGATCGTTCCGAATGCAGAAGGCCGACAAATACATCATAACCATGTTTCAACAACAAAAACAAGTACTCGCCAATGAGAAGTGTACCATCAAGTGTGCCTAGTTGTGGAGTGTTTCTTCTCTATTAGGGGAGTAGGAAAATGCCGAAGTCATTAGCCAAGAGCTTACAGCTTTGGCGCATCGGCTCCTGTGGGCGCGGTGCTACCATCTCTGAATCCAGTGGAGATCCCGGTACCAGACCCTCACATTGTCAGCAGACAATCAAGGAAACAATTTTCCGGTGTGTCATTTTGCCACTGCTGCAGGTACTGGTGAGGGAAACTGAACCGGAATTCAGCAACAGTCCCGGCAAGGAGGACGTGAGCAGTCCGTGTGGTTTACGTTGCAGTATTAGATTCTCAAGAATCAATACGGCTCCGAGCCGTAACATAGTGACCTATCACAATCAGATCTCGAGAGTGATGAGGAGTGGTATCCAAGGAGGGAGGACCTTGATGACGCCGGTAAAGTAGCTTGAAGTGAAATGAAACAGACGATTACAGTTCTGCTGCAAAGTCTCTCCTTTATAAAAATGTGTTTTTCCCAGGTTTCTTTTTCCAGATGGGAAAAGATGATATGACCACAATGCATTGTGCAGGCAATAACTAAATACAGAAGTGGGTTAGAGACAAACTTTTTTTCTGGTGAAAGAAGAGAATCACCCTTTTCTTTTGAGATATTGCACTTAATTCTAGTCCAAGCACAAGATATTCTGTGGGCCCTGAAAGACATGGAAAACTTCTACTGCAGTCAATGGTGGCATGGGGTGAAAATTGCATAAATGAACCTGGCACTGAATAAGTTAAGATACATGACAGTCAGAAAGTCTGAGTGAGAAGGGTGTGAGATTGTTCTCATATGATGTTTCGCTTAGAGCAAAGACCTTAAATTCCTACGAAGCCTGACAACATTGTGGACATGTTTATTTGTCTTTTACAAGTTTATTGCAGACAAGTCATCAAACCTTGAGTCAGCCGAGCCTCAAGTCCCCGTTGTTTGAGTCCCAGTCACCAGAGAAGACTCTGAGTCATATCAAAGTCGTGTCTCTGTTACTTGAAGATTTACAAAGGGGACCACTGTTTCACTTCAAACTATTAACTGCATGAAACTGGACTTATTGTCAGGGACCTTTTTGGTGTGAAGAAAAACACCTTCCACCATGAATGAAGTTAACAGTGCATAAATCATCATAGATTCTAGATAGAATTACAGTAAACACTACAGAACCAATCCACTTTAAACCAAAATCTTGACTTACAGCAATCTGGAAACTTCCCCGTTAACTAGCACTTTACTAACAGAAACAGTCTGAGAAACAGATGTAGCCTACTTTTCTATGTGCAGTTTGGATAAAAGTCTGTTTACATGGATGGTTTGGTTTTTTGAAGTGGGGTCGTGTGAGTTGCAAAGCCTTAAAATGCCTCATGAACGCAGTGAAAAAAGTGAAATTATCTGCGATTATGTTGGTGTTAAAAATTGTAAAGTATTTTCAGCTGTTTGCTCCATGCTTGTAGAGGATTCAGTCTGAAGAGAGCAAGAAGCACAAGGGTCTCTCTGAGAATAGTGAGGACAATGAAGCGAGCAGATGAAGGTGAAGAAAGTGAGGGCCACACCAGTCAACACAGAGACACAGTAGTTTGCATAGCAGCAAACAGAGATGAAGAAAGATCAGACCTAACCAGAATACCATCAGGAGGCGGTGTGGAAATGAGAGATGGCGTTAACTGCCATCAAAGCTTTAACTGGGTTGTTTGCACAATAAAGTAGTTTTAGTTTTTGTACAAGGTTGGCTTGAGCTGTGGTGTTGGGGCCCAAGAAAATATAGTTTCACAAATGTCAGCCCTCAGTATTTTAACATTTTCAAGTGAATCCTGGACAAACACATCTACTTAACTTGAATAACTGTCTCTACCAAAAACCACAATCATTTGTATTAGCTGTCTTATTATTTTTTTTTTTGTGTGTGTGCTGAAACCAAACTGAGCATTTTATTTTATTTTATTATTTTTTTTTTTTTTACAACATATGATTACTGTGTCCTGATTTCTGCTCACTATCAGTACAATTTATCACATTTTCATACATTTTCTCTCAAATTCATTCAATGCATGTGATGTCTTCAAAGTTTGTGAATCTGCACGCCTGAACTTGGATTGAAAGGTGAGTTAATCCTCGGGCACCATCTGCCAGGTGAGCACTTTATCAGGTGGGTGCCAAGACTGAGTTGTAGTAGTCCCAAAAAGCACAACCCTACACACCTGCTTGCAACATTACGCAGGCTTGCAAATTTAACCCACGTGAGGTTTTACTCTACAGATGCTGCATAGTCTCAGATCTATAGTCTATTGATACTGTATGTTGTTGATCATTTGATATGGTTACTGGAAAATGGAGTTAGTATAAGGATCTATTGGAACAACAGTACTGGTGTCAGCATGTATTCGGCATGATTTCCTCTGGCATCAGCTGTGTCTGTAACACATGGTCCTGCTCCATGGGGTTTACAGATCTTGCATTAGAGCAGGGTTTAGATTTTTCTCCTGTCATCTGCTGCTCACATATTCATGGCTTTCTGTACGACAGGGTCAGGACCCTGCTTTAATTCTATTTAGAAATGATTAGAAGGACTTCTATGACTGATGTGAAGCTGCTAAAACTCGTTTGTGCTCTTTTGGAAATGAATTTAAAGGCGTTAAAATGTATCTGCCCAAATCTCTGTAATTTAAATCACATGAATCCATAAAAGCTCCCTAATTGCTGGGGCAATGATAATTTAGGGGGAATAAAAATCAGATCACTAGCCAGAAATGGTAGGGAATCTGTCCAAGTGTTAATAAGGAGTCTTGGAGGCAGCATCTTCTGGCAGATTCTTGTGTTTATTCGGCACTTAAAAAGCCTGCAGCAGCCTGCAGGTTGGAAATGAATGTGTAAAAAGCATAGTTTTTTTCATAGTAAATTGGAATTAGTGTACGCTGTAAAAGCCCCTCTGTGTTTCATAATGTAGAACTTTCTAGTCATGAACTACATTTGCATATATGTGATTTTTAGTGTCCTTTCTTAAAAGCCAGAGCTACCGACTGCTTTTGTTGGCTGCCTCAGAAGTTGTAATCCCAGCCGTGAATCCCCAAATTCCCAGAGTAAACTGGTGGTGCATGAGGCTACAAATCCATGGCAACAAGATTTCTATGGGGTTTACACAAGCACACAGCCTCGGCCCCCAACTGCACGTTCTCTGCACCTCGAGTCCAAATGGCTCATCATCGCCCCTCTTTCTGGTGGCACAGTTAGTTAGAAATAGTCATCAGTCCTATGAGTATTGGATCAAAATACTATATCAGGTCAGAAGTGCTGACTTTCTCTGGCAGGGGGCTGCTGCTCTGCCCCTGATAAGATTTGACATGCAGCAGATTTATCAACTGCTCCTGTGTGAGCACTGAAATCACAGCAGCTGTGCTAGACTGTACAAGACCTCTACCAAATAAACTTTCAGGCTCCAAATCTGATTTTGCTGCTGCTGTTGTAGTTGTTGGGGTGGTGTAATGAAGCTTAATCTAGACCGCTTATACAACTAGATAACTTGAGTGGCTGAGAGAGCTTGAGGAAGGTCGCAGAGTCACCTCGTATGTCTCTCCGACACAAGAGTGGTGGCCACAGAGCAAGCAGCTTCCTGTCAGTGTACTTGTTTTCATGTTACTACCATCAGCTTTAGTGTTTCAAGAGAAGGTAGCAGCTACAAGAACCTACCATAAAAAATGTACAAGCACAGAACAAGCTTACATGCAAGGGCAATACAATACTGATGCAATAATATTATTGTTTACTGACCAAAAAAGCTCAAGCACAGACTTCTCGGACAGCAAGTAAGTACATAAACCATCCAGAAAGCTACATTATCAGCTGTATTATGAATGAAAGTGTCCTTCAAATACAGCAGTGTCTGACTTAGCGAAGTAGATCCTGCAGACACTAAAGAGTGGTATGATTAAAGACGCTGCTATCGCTGCATCTCAAACAACATTTCTCTAAACTATGAGCGTTTTTAAAAAGGTCATTTAAATACTGTCCTCATGAAAATGGTGGAAACGACTCTAATACACATGAAACTGATGAGGCAGCTCAAGTCAACAGAGGGAGTTTCTTAATGAGAAATGTCTTGATGTCAAAGAGAGCATCTTTAAGCCAGTATGGACACATCTATCAAACCTTTCTAATCAAAGAGCGGATTTGGCTGACCGAGCTTATTACTTAGACATGTTGAGCTGTGAGGCAGGCGTTGGTTTCTGATTTAGCTTTTTCCTGGGATATTCTGCACTGTGACTTTCTAATGAGCTCAGCAGAGTATTGGCGCTAACAACGAGTAACCACAGCTATTGCTCATGCTCGCCACTGCAACACACAGCATGTTTGGCCAATTAGAGAAAGTGTTTTCTGTGTAGAAACAAAACCCTTTTTCTTCTCTCTAACCACCTCTCTGGGAAAAAAAAAAACAGGAATAAATTAGCGTGCGCACACTCTCACACAGAAATGACATGCTAATTTTGATGCTATGATCTGTTATGTGGATCGTATGTGTATTTCTGTGTTTTCATGTATGTGTAAGAATATCAGTGTGTACTTACTGCTATTGCTATATGAGGGATGAATATTTCTTATATGTACTGTCCTTCCCCTCATCATCCTGGCATCATAAACTACCAGTCCACATCCCTGCCTCTCACTTGATATTTAGACCCTAGAGTGCATATATGAATATGCTTTTGTTATTCGCCTTCTGATAACAACTCATTACTAATAAGTCTCCTTAGCATTGAAAATACACACACACAGCTACACACACATTAAAGAAAAACAAACAAAAAAAAAACATGACTTGTATCATTCCTTCTCAAAATGCCCTGGAAATTCCCAGGGTGCAGCTCTGCGAGAGAATTACTGGACAACAACAACTACAATGAACTCCAGAGGGCAACATCCAAAGGTGGAAGCTGCCCCACTGGACTATGAAAGCGCTGGATCAGATGGTAGGTGCTTTATTTTCATGAAAAAAGAGTAATGATGCTCTCTTGAATTTCCCTGAATGAATAAAAAAGTAAAGAAAATGTACCATTTCTCACTGAAAGTGCTCCTTTGGGCTTTGAAGCCTTTTTTCTGTAATTGCTACTTGTTTCATTCCTTTTCTAGGTAATAGGCGCTGTGGAAATGAATACAGGTCCTTCTGGGGTGAGACTGGAGCAGGAAGTCACTCAGGCAGAGATAATCCTGCACCAGCGTAAATGAAGAAACACACACTCGCTTCTCTCAGTTTGGGCACACATAGATAATCAGAGCTCAGTTCGTCCCTAGACAGGAGTGATCATCATTTCATTTCCTGTCCCTTTTGGGTTCTTAACCCTTTAACAATGAAAAGGTTCTATTCAAGATAACAGGTTGCCTCTTATCAAACACTTTCCAATCATGTGTACATGCTGCTTTTTACGTTATGAGCACACAAAGCCGATCGACCATGCCTTCTCTTTCTGAGGAGGTTAAACTGGCTACATACGGCTTTCATTCACAGCCTGACAATGATTGAAGAGTGGTCTCCCATGGAGGCAAGATAGACTACATCCCACATGACCGAAGAGCTTTACAAACACAGTCACCCTAACATACTCAGCAGTGTGGGTAAACTGGGACCTGCTGCTTACTGTAGCCTGAGCAGAGATATGACTAGACAGAGAAAAAGTCGTGAGTCAAGAAGAAAGATGTCCCGATACATTCCGATCATCCCAGAGAGGTGTTATGAAGAAACACCCCAACACATGAGTCAAGATTCAGACCGAAAAAACAGAAACTGGAGAACAAAGAGTCTCAATGATCATTTATAAACAAGTTAAAAAAGGACAAGCTGGAGCGTCAGCCGAAGATTTTTACCAGACTTACTTTGAAACACTCAGGGCCACATCAACTAAGATTCAAAATAACAGGCACTAAATTGTGTGTGCAAACAAAAAATTTGCACGTGCTATTAGTTGGCGCGTTGCAGGTGAACTGCTATGATTCTGTGCACAATTGATAACAGGTACAAATGTGGTGTGAACCTCCCTCTTTAAATGAGGATTTTACATGTACTACCGGCTGTCACTGTGGAGAGTTTGTGAGAGCAGAGTGGTTGTAGATGAAAAATGAAGTTTGAAGCCAAGAAGTTACACCTATTGTTTTAAAGAAGCTAGCAACTGCCAAAAAATTATGTTTTGTGTCATTTACTGCATTCCACCAGAAAAACTACTTTGGGAGACGCACTAACTGCGATGATGCACTGGAATGATCCAGACATCAGAAAATGCAGTGCTACAAAGAGTTTTTCAATAGGAGATATGGCATGGTTCATTTTTGTGACTGGCTCCAAATCGGCCCTAGGTCACCCAAAAGTTCATATTTTTTTAGCACATTTTTTTTGGATAGTTTAAATATTTTAACATGTGCTCGGAAGACTCTCTCTCCGTCGCCTGTCGTTGCATGTCTGCCTCCCTCTCACCACTCTGACTGCAGCCATTTGTGTGTAAAACTATGCCCGTTTGCACGTGCCTTTCAAACATGCTAAATAAAGATGCAAAAACAGGGACCACAATCGATTTTCGGGTGCGATAAATCACATTGTCGGTGCTAAATGATTCCATTTGCATCTCCACCTCCCTGTATTCTGTGTGTTCTGATGATCTACATACATTCTGGAGATTCATTAATGGCAAACACGCCAAATCCATTGCGTGTGGTGTTTTCCTCATTTGACAGGTGCAATCCTCGGTGCTCCCGGTTCATAGATCAACTTTGCTATCAAGTTTGCACATATCTTTATACTACATGCAAACCTTTAGTAGATCAGGCCCAATGCGTATTTTCCTTCCCACATTATTGACAAATGTATCCACTGAGGAAATATTTCTCTCATAAAACAAAAGCTACTGTGATATATTCAACTTTTCAGGTCTCCTGTACACCCCTGACCTTAACTTATTGTCCTTAACATTTTAATAGGCACCAAATCTACTGAAAACGTTAATGGCTCCTCTAAAGGGACTTTCACACCTTTGTTTCCAAAGCATGAAAACAACATTTTTTATTTATCCAAAAATCTCTGAAGACAGATTATTGATTCTGAATCACAACTCTGGAAAATAAACAAAGGCTGGTAGAACTGACTGATCCAGCAAGACTATTTCTGTTTCCATGCTTATATTGCAAATACACTGAGTTAAGTTTTATTATGAAGTATTAGCACTTGCTCTGCCCCATGCATTTTGAAGTCACAACTTCACATTGGACACGTAATAGAATGTCCTATTTTGAAGGCTGTCCTGTTTTTGAAGCTCCCTAAAATGTGTCCAACAAATGTGTCCTACTTTCCTGGGGCCACCAATGGTATACTCTCTCTTGCACAACGTATCCTGCAACTCTTTGTTTACCAATTCAAATGAGTGGCAGATGCACAGGCAGTTTGGGATAAATATCAGTAGTTGAATTCAACTTAATAAAATGGTGAGTAATAGATTTGCTAAAACACTTGCCATGAAACTTGAAATTTGAAGATATTTCTGACAGAGGCTTACGACTGTGACACATTTAGGAAATCTTTAATAGTCAGTCCATTTCAGTTCAGTGATCCAGCTGGGCTACATAGCCTGGGTCGTACAAAAAAAGTCTACCCCTAAATTAGGACTCAGATACTGTTTTATACTTAAGTACAAACACTGACACACAAATTACTTCCAATGTACAATGTGAAAAGGAATAACATACCTATACACATATACTACTGAGACACACTGGGGTTTTAAAGTAACAGTAACAATGACCCATACATACAAATAAGGGAGCCTCATTATATAAAATAGAAAAAGACATAAAGACAGCTAAAAGCTCTATCTTTGGTGTAACAGACAGGCAAAAACTCAAATGATCACTACAGACACATGTTTACTTATGTGCTGTTGAATAATGGTGTCTAATTCAGGGTCTAAAAGCAAATAGCGCCAATGATAGTCAAGCACAAAGTCCTCCAGCTCTGTGCAGTCTGCTCCAGTTTCGCGTTTTATTGTGACCGAGAGGAGCTGTAAGCATCTCAGTGCTCATGCTATGCAGAGCTGCTTTGGGTGCTCTCATCCTAATTTTTTCTATGTCTTTGATGAGTTGAATGAAGAAAGTTGTCAGTTTTACCAAAGGGGTTCATTAATGATTGGTAGACAGATTTCAGAGTTTACACCCGGCTTACTTCATCAAGCATGCAAGTGAAAAGAATTGTAAAGTGAGCCAGCGAACTGGCCAGACTGACTGAACCCCGGATTATTATAAAAATATAAAAAGTACTGTTAACAGACTTTATGTGCAGCAATATTCTTAGAATTGTTGTCGCCATCTCTGACTGAGCTTGCTGAAAATAAAGATTTCACTATAACTGTGTGGTGCACCTAACGCCAGTGTTAGTCAATGAGGTATTTTTGGCAATGAGGCATGTTTGCATAGAAAAATGCATAATTTGCTCTAAATAAATGTAAAATCCACAATGACTCATTAAAATAGAACAACAGGGACAGAGAGGTGCTATCTCTGCGCTTTCTGGTGCATTGAACACTAAAAGTACTTAAGTATGTGAGCAGATTCAAAAGATGTGCAACTCTTTAGCAATTAAGATCCAGATATGGTTATTTTTAATCCCATCTTTACATTGGAGTTCTTTTACAATGCAGACATTATGTTCACCGATCTCTAGCAAATGACTTTGATCCTTAAAATGAAGATGGTGGGGCTCAAACAATCTCCTCCAATCTATCAAAAAAGGTGCTATGTAAACCTGATTTGTGGATTCTCTTCTATTGTGGATTCTTGTCTGCCTTAAACCTAGTTAAGGTGACACAGTTTTTATCTCGATCAGAATAAATTGACAAGAAAGCAAAAGTAGATAATAATGATTATATACACTGTGCTTTTGACCCTAAACTCATACTGCATAATTGATCAGTTGTTCGATACATCTTGCGATGCAGAATCTTGGACACATCATCAGTGATAGTACCTGGGGTCATGGGGGGGTTTCGGGTCTTTCAACTTCAGACCCCCTCACCCAGGCGACCTGACCGGGAGTGATCAGTTCCCGGCCTGTGTCCAAGAAGCGTTCATCCACGCCTTGTCCCTCTGAATCCACAGCCCCTGTGATGCCTAGGAGACTGTAGGCCCTGCAGAGTGACTTCCCTGCAAAGCCCCTTCCCCCGACCTCAATGGGCAGGCATCTTGCACGCCACCCCCTGTTGCGGCAGTCCTCCACCAGCTCGGCGTACTTCTCCCCCTTCCTCCCACTGGCTTCCTCCATCCTCTCCTCCCAGGGCACCGTCAGCTCCAACATGATGACCTGCTTGGAAGACTCTGATTGTAGGAAAATGTCTGGTCTCAGACTGGTTTCCATGATGTTCTCAGGGAACTGAAGCTGTTTTCCTAAGTCCACCCTCAGCTGCCAGTCCTTTGCTGTTCCCAGGAGTCCTGTTTGGGTCTTTGGTTGGGGAGGAGGTTTTTCCTCTGCCCTCACAAATGCTGTTCTGTGCCACAGTGGTTGCAGGTGCTTGCTGTAGTCAATGCCAGAGTGGATGGACTCAGCAACTCCCTTCAGCACCTGGTCGTGGCGCCAGCGATAGCGGCCATCTCCAAGTGCCTTCGGACAGCTGCTGAGGATGTGCTCTAGTGTTCCCCTTCCCTGGCACAAGGTACATGATGGGGCTTCAGCCTTGCCCCAAAGGAAGAGGTTTGACGGGCTGGGCAGGACATCATAGACAGACTGGATGAGGAATTTTATGCGGAGCGGTTCAGCCTTCCACAACTATGACCATGAGATCCTTCTGTCCATGGCTTCAAATGTTATCTGAGAAGAAAAGCATATTGTATCTGAGGATTTCACAGATCAGAGCAGCACGTTTTCATTACTTTAACATTTCTCTGAGTTTTGTGTCAAATATTGCCCACTTGTGTAAGTAAATACTGAGTGTATAAAAGCATGAAACACACTCTTCATTTGCCTTGACCCCTCTCTGTGTGTATGTCTGTAATATTCGATGTTTGAAACACATTTTAATTAATTCTGAGAGAATAGAATGAGCTCAACACTAATTAACCAAACAGAACACAATGTAAAGACGCTGAGGGAGCAAAGTGGATGAAAATGTGGTTTTCTGGAGCTCAATGTAGCAAATATAACCAGTGGAGTTATTTTAACCTGTGTGTGGGTCCAACTGCTTCACTCTTATGCACCCCCATAAACACACAGCTACACCTACATGCCTACTGAACCCTCAAAAACCAGCACTTCTGCTGAGACATGATAGTTACAAAACTATGACAATCCTGAACCATAGTTCTTTTGTAATAAACAATGAAAGGAGGCTTGACCACCCACTCTGCAGCTGCACAATGCAAATCCTGTTATGAATCACAGACATGTTTTTAGGCAGAGTGAGATGAATCTGGTTACTCATGAGACAGAATTCCCCCTATTGAAACTCATCACTGTAATTGTAAATCAGATCTGCATAGAATTAAATCTGTATACCTTCACTGCTGATTAATGCAAACTCTGATGTCTACCTGAAAGTAGATCCCATGAATTCCCTGTAGATCAGTAATCAGTTTGGGGTGACACACGTCAATATATTGACATTGGTCATTGATTTACTCATAATGCAACACATGAAAACCTCTCAGTGAATTAGGGAATGACTACATGCTTCCCTGCTATTATTACATTGATTTTTTTGTACGACATTGTTAGGGAACATATTGAGAGACTTAATGATAATACCAATAATTGATGAATGCGCTGTGGCAGTGACACCTTCCCCGCTTTCTGCAACAAGGTATTCAGACATTTGCATTCACATCTCAACTCATTCTGTCCCTGGGCCATAGGTTATACCAGTGTTATTCTAAAACCAATTATTTCCCAAACCCAGCAGCCATCCCTCAATAATTATGCATGTGATGAAAGCTGAGTGCAGCTGCCACTCCTGATTTGGCTGATCAGGGGATTGGACGAATACGACTGAATGTCCACTTACTGGAGAGCACCACAGACTAGCTGAATGGGTTGCTCTCCACAAAGAAGGGTTCCTCCAGGGCTTTGGTTAGGGTAAGTCTTTTAAATTGAATTTCTTTAAATATAAAAGACTCAAGTAACAGACTGGGTGAAAGAAAAATCTTGTCACTCGACTGAAGCTTTGATGTCAGATCAAAAAAATGGAAAATCAAAGGAAACATCATCCCAATTGAAAAATATGGTGAGGTATTTTTTTGATCAGAAGGCTTCTCTGATTCTTAAAATTTTAATTAACCATGAAATCCACCCTGAAATCATTTAGGTATGTTGTTGAGATGAAAATGATCCACATCCTTTGTAGGGCGGCTTTTAATTCAAGTGAAAAGAAGTATCCCAGTGAAGAATGTTCTCAGCATCAGAAAAGGAGGATGCTTCAGCTGAACAAAGCAAACAAATTACCTGCCAGCCCCTGGGTCTGCTTCTCACCAGACATTATCTCAGCCCCCATTATTTGATAGCACATGATTTAAATGTAATTGGACAGAGAGAAAGATTTTGGTGCAATTTTGCCATTATCCATCCTCTGTTTACAGATCCATGCACACAGAGGATGGGCAATGGGACAAGATGAGCGGAGTCCTCTTTAGAGATTTGAAGCCAGGCTGAGACAGTGCCATCTGATGCCGTCTGTAAACAGAGCAGTATGGTGAGGGACAAAACACGCAGATATGACAATAAAAACCTAGTCTGGCTTTCTTAAAGCATATTGTCCTCGGCTTTAAAGGAACAACTTGAGGAAAAAATCATTTTGGCTCTCAGGAAAAATTAGATTGAGTAACCTGGCAACCTAAAGGCAAGGGCATAACTCCTGTAGAATACACCTTTCTGAAAGACGGTGCCAATAAGGGCTGCATGATATATCGTTTGAGCATCATCATCGCAATGTACATTTGCGTGGTAGTCATATTGCAGAGCCTGCGATGTAGGAGGCGAATGAACTCATCTAATTTCAAGGTTAGCTGACTAAGATACACTGCATGTAGACTCTGCATGTCCTGTGAAGCGATCCACCAATCACATTCCTTCTTTACTCAGTTGCCAAGCAGACTAGCCGTCATTTGAAAACAGGTAGGAGGAAACTACGCCCCTGCACATGGCCTGCACATGGAGTGAGTCGCTGGTGCTGCCGGTGTTGTGCCGAGAAACCTATGGCTGCCGTGAATGACTTTTTGGAACATTATTCATCACTGTTTAGCCACACAAATATGAATTGTATGGGTTTTAAATTGTACATTTCCGTGGATCACTCTACTAAAAGCGTTTCTGCGAGGTGTATGCAATTCTTGGCGGACATGCGTTTCTCGGCACAACATCGGTAACAACACCAACTATTGCAAAATGAGCAATGAACAAGGGAAAAAAAACACCAAAAATGAAGACTTGTTGCCAAAAAGAAAAGCAACCTCAGTTATCTGGAATTATTTTGTTATAAGGAGGATGATGTCGGCCTTTTATGCGTTGCCACAACGTGAGATAACTAGTCCCTGCATAATGAAAGTAAGCTAAGAAGATCTCTAAGACACACAGAAGCCATTCTACTAACATTCACCAAAAGAGGTAAGATCAGTGCAGTTTAATTGCCCTCAAGATTTCAGCAGTGCTGCATAGCATAAAGTGCTATTCAGGTCATCTGGTGAAAATTCATGTATTTTTCAAAATTGCAATATACTGTATATCGCAAGGTTGAAAAAAACTGCAATATTAGTTTTTTCCAATATAATGCAGCCCTGGTCCCAAACATGACCAAAATACACTAAACACGTCATTTCCCCTGGTTTGACATGGTGAATTCTGAAAGCATAAGGTCATAAAAAGCAAATATCTTACTCGGGATCAGGGCTACTTCCTTTTTCTTTCTCTGTGCCAGGCTAATCCAGTTGTCCGCTGGTTGTAACTCTTCCTATTTCACACACAGATACCAGATTGCTGTTGAACACATTTCTAAGAGCACAGCAGAGCACAGTGTGTGAGCATGACACCTCAGATAACTTGAGGAATGTTTTAACCTCAGTGAAATTGAGTTGTCCCAGAGTTGTTTGACTGTGTGAATGAACAGATGTTGGGCAGACAGAGAATTCCAGGAGGAACGAACAAAAATTTAAGAGATTTTGGAAATCAGTCTGTTTGTGCAGTCATACAGCTGCTCCCACAGCAAACACCAGCCAGTGAAATCTATTGGCGGCTTTGGCAAAATGACACAGATTGGAAAAACACTTCAGCAAAATGAAATTTCCTCACTTTTTCAAAATTGAAAAGCAGCCTGCTCATTATTTTGAGTCAGAAAGAAAATACTATCCATCTCTTGAATTTCTGCTCCACACACACACAGCACTTTTGCAGGTCTGGGGTCCATTTTTAATTGAAGGTTACACATCTATGTGTCTCATCATTGGAGAGTGGTGCGCAGACAAATTTTAAACCCACTAGTGTGTAAATTTAAATGTGACCTTTCATAGGTGACATTTCAGGTGGAAATGAAAATTAAGGTAAGGTTAGTTTGAAACATAATGTGATTAAAAGTTAGGCAGTCTCTTTGTCTGCAATATGATGGCACTGTGTATTCAGTCGGCGTAAATATGAAGACTTACCTCTCTTAATTCCAATGAAAGGCTCCAATAAGCAATTAGACCTGTTTGCTTGAAAGGGAGACCATGTCCGGGAGCCAATTGAAGTTTTGCAAAGACCTGAAGGACAAAGAGGTGTTAGGAATACAGAAAACCCTCAGGCCAATGACCAGATTTAGAAACAGAAAATGCCAAGTGGCACAATACAGTTTTAACAGGTTTGAAAAAAGCCCTCTTTTCTGCAGAAAGCAAAAGGAGGGTTTGCCTGAGCGACTTCCTGTCTTCTCCAATCAGTTTGGTGTGTTACTGTGCCCATCATAAATATCAATGGTTGAAGGTGCCCCCTTACTCTGTTCAATGACTGTGAGTGTGTAAACGGCAGCTTTTATTGTCATTGAGGCTCATCAGACTGGACTGGTATTATCCGTGTCTGCCTCTGAATTTTAGGACTGCTGAGTTGTGAGAGTCACTGCGATTGAAAGAGTGATTCATATCCTCTCGACTCTACTAGACGTGACAACTGTGGTTGTGTACAAGTGGGCTTTTGTGTGTATGCGTTTGCATGAGTGTGGCAGCAACCTCTATTATCTCACTGGTTAACCCACCTTCAAATGTTGCTGCCGTGGTGTAGTTTGGTTGGACCAATGAGTGAAAGTCAAAGCCGCTGCAATCTGCTCTAATACGTTGACCAGCACAGACCTTTTGAGGGTCTTACAGAAAAATGCTTTTAGATGCCTTACTCATGTCAATTTTCAGAGTGATGCTGCCAGGTTTTTTTATGGTGACATACAACATATTTCACCTGGCTATTTATATTCTAACAGCTCCCGTAAAATCTAAGAGAGCACAGGCATTGCAACAAAAAACACCAAAAAAGCTTCAGGGCCATCAAAGGACACTTAAACACCCCAGTGAAAGCCAAACTAATGGAGGCAAACACTTACATGGGCTTTGCAGCTCCATAAGGCAGAATGACACAGGTTTCATTAAAACCTCCCACACAGTTAGTAGTAGTTAGCAGGAAGGAACTGAAAAGTGTTATTTGGAGGTTGATTTATTTGAGGTGTTTAGGCTGCACTTGTGGAAACGTACAAACAGTATACAAGCCCATCTTGAAGATATGCAGATAAAGACTGAACAGACGTGTGATAAATGCAAAACGAAGCTTGGCTTTGTCACTGAACACAATGCGCTCAACAGCTTTGGAGAAGAGGCTGGCTGTGCTTCTAGCATTTCCACTATTTATGGGCACTTAAGGTGTTAAGTTATGTAACAGGGTTTTAACAGGTTTATTCTTTCAAGTAATGTATATGCTGATTGAAGATGTGAGTCATTATGTAACCACCATCTCGTAAGGTTCTTATGCAATAAACACTATGGCACTCAGTAAGTCATCTTTGATGGGAGCTGGTTAGCTAAGTTAAGACAATGGTTTGGTTCTGCTATAAACCAGTGCTACAAACTACTATCCCTACCAACTGAGAAACAACCAACTCCACAACCTAGCCATGGCTGCCCTGTAGTGTGGTGTGTGCAGGATGTGGCACAGCCCCCGGGTTGGATGTCACTGTTTTGAATATATCAGCAAAGAGTAGTCAAAAATAGCTCAATATCTTCTGGAAAAGCAGAAGATCTTTTGGAAAAGCATAAAGAAACAATTTGACCAAGACTTATCAAAAATAGCTGAGAGTGGATGGATTCTTCAAAAGTGTATTCTGACATTTTCAAAAAGAGCTTTTTATCTAATATAAAAAAGTTTGAGGCAGTTGGGACTCTGTTTGTTTGATTTACAGCAAGTTACTGTTTCATGACAAGTCAATCTGACAAGTCACCAGAGCCATGTTCCTTTGGTTTTGAACTCAAGCAGAAGAAGTGGTCTCTGTTCTGGTCTTCTCAAGCTCCTGGCCAAATTTGAAGTGAGTCAGATAAATGGCCTATGAGTTAATCCAAGTGTGACCCTCAAAAAGGACTAAAACTCTACATTTTTTTACACCCCAATTCAGCCAAATCATAACAGTTGCGTCCTTTGAGCTCACTAAATATTTTTGAAAACTTCTCATCTTTGTGAGTTGTTTTCCCACCACAAATATCAAATTTGAAGTGGATGAAATTCACCCCTCAGAGAAGTTCATCTATGGGGTCCCTTATAAACAGGCCTACCTCTTTTTGCCAGTTTTTCACCCACGGGTTAAAATAACAGACTTCAGTGATCCTATGCTCCAGTGAAGAGATCTCGGCATGGCAATTATGATGCACATGGTTTATATTTCTGGGTTAAACAAACTACAGGGGCTGGAATATGAAAACTCTACAGGAGGCACCACTGAGTCATTTAGTCACACCTATTGATGAACTCAGTGTCAGACTTCACCCAAACAACTTCATGTACACCATTGCAAATAAAGCTGCATCAGACATTTGATGCTGCTTTGAGTTCATGTTCAGACCAAACACTAAGTAATTCTGTCAATAAGGGAAACATTATGACAACATATTTAATGATGTTAGAAAATATTCTCAAAATCCATGTATTTACCTGAGTCAGAGAATTTCAACTTGAAAGTCACTTTTGTTTTAGGCTGTCTCATGTCACCTGTTCAGTAAATAGAAATGATTTGATCCAAACACATTCTATTGATAAAGATCCTCAGGTTACTTTAAATCTTCAAAGGCTGTGTGCTGTTGCTTGAATTGTCTGTTATCTTTTATAATAGAAAGTAGGGTCCTTCCTGTTTGACACAGCCTTCATGTAGATACACCTGGTGAAGGGAATTCAGCCTCTTTTCAGTGATCCAGATCATTCAGATCTCAAATTGTTGGTCTATGAGCCGGCAGTCAAATCGCAAAAACAGAGGAAATTACAGGAAATTGAATTTAATGGAAGTCAAAGGTTCGGATAATATGCAATTTATTAGTTTTTTAATTTCCTTAAGGAAACCTTCCCAAAAAGATAAATAAAGTTGTATCTTATCAAATATAATCTTAGAAGGTAACAAAAAAGTTAAGGCAGATAATTAATGATGCATGAATAATCAGTCACTTGTTTAGGTCTATTAATAACTTAACAGTCTGCTTAATATGTTACATAAAATGTGTGAATCTCTACCCAGTAAAATACAAACCCTAATTCCCGTGAAGTTGGGACGTTGCTTAAAATTTGAATAAATACAGAATGCAATGATTTCTAAATCCTTTTTCACCTATATGAAAATAAATACACTACAAAGATATTGAATGTTCAAACTGACAAACTTGATTGTTTTTCTGTAAATATTCACTCATACCGAGTTTGATGTCTGCAGAACGTTCATAGAAAGCTGGTTCAGGGTCATGTTTCTCTCTGTCTTTCATCACCTTTCCTTTAATAACATTTAATTAGCCTTTGTGAACTGTGGACACTGACTGTGTAAGATGCTGGTTTTTAAATTTTGACCTGAGAACAGTCTGGATGGTCCTTTCCCTCTTTAGTCCAGAGAACACCACGTCCATGATTTCCAAAAACTATCTGAAATGTGGACTCATTAGACCACATAAGACTTTCCCACTTTGCATCAGTCAATCTCAGATGAGCTCGGGTCCAGAGAAGCCAGCGTTGTTTCTGGCTGTTGTTGATATCTGTCTTTGTGGTTTGCATGGTAAAGTTGATCTTGTAGATGTAAAGACCTGCTGTGTTAACTGACAATGGTTTTTTAAGTCTTCCTGAGCCCACGTGGTAAAATCCTTTACAGAATGATGAGGGTTTTTGATGCAGTGCCGCCTGAGGGGTCAAAGGTCACGGTCATGTGACTGTGGTCACGGTCACATGACCACATGACCATGGTCGAAGTGTTGGTTCTGGGCCGTGCTGCTTACATGCAGAGATTTCTCTGAATCTATTGATGATTTTATGGACTGTAGATGATCAAATCTCTAAATTCCTGCAGTTCTACAAAACGTTCTTTAACTGTTGAACTATTTGATGCTCCTTTTATATCCAATCATGACCCTCACCTGCTTCCATTGAACCTGTTCACCTGTGGAATGATCCACACAGGGGTTTTGAGAGTAGTCCTGAATTTTCCAAGACTTTTGTTGACCCTGTATCAACTTTTTGGGAATATTTTAGAGCATCAAATTCAAAATGAGTGAATATTTACAACAACCAGACAAGTTCATCAGTTTGAACATGAAATATCTTGTCTTTGTAGCGTTTTTGACTGAATAGCAGTGGGAAAGGATTAGTAAATCATTGTTTTCTGTTTTTATTCATGTTTTACACAATGTCCCAGCTTTACTGGAATTGGGGTTTGGACTTTGAAGCTTTCACAGTTTCAGTTTTGCTTTTTTGTCAAGACTGGGCAACAGTGAGATGATTCAGCTTTCGGTTATTTTCCAAAGCTGTGGTTTGTGGTCGTGGTGGTGTTGTGTAAGATGTTCCTGAGAACTGAGGCTGCTCATGCAGAGATATTCAAATAGGTTGTATTTCATATCAGCGCTCTAGTCCCTGAAGCACAGTGCAAATGTTTGAGTTCAACATGACCTTTTGAAACTGGATTAGGAGATAGTGACCAGTATTTTTTTCTTTGCAAAGATTTGTTTGTTAAAGATAGGGCGCGTGGCAAATTAATAGCTTCATCTATCAAAATCAGATAAAGCATCTAGGGAAATGTTAAAGTGTTATTTCCAAAAAATCATTTAATTACAACTGAAACAGAAAAATATGTTGTGAAATCATTGGGGACCTATTTACAGAGGGAGTTCATTCAGGAATAATAGAATAAAGTCCCAATGTGATCCGTAAAGAGCAGACCTCTCGGGGTGGCAGATACCAAAGCCTGAGAGTTATTGTTAATTGAAATCTGCTTTTAAATGTATGTAAATGATTGCCAGGGGAACACAATGATTTGAGCGCAGGTTGTTCAGCCCTCAGGAAAGGATCAACATCTTTGCAGCTCAGCTAAAACAAAGCCCTTTTTTTCCTGCAAAGCAGCGTGCTGTATATAATTAGTCAATGATCATATCGTGATGGCATTAAATAAGCCTTCCATCTGTCTCTTCAAATGACTCATTGCTGCTGATGGTGGAAAACACACTACTCTTGCTATACAAGTATGACCCAAAGTGCTTAGTGTTGTCTACCTTTACTACTGTTCCCACACTCTGGACAGAACATTTGTTCAAATTATTTTTGATGCTCTTGATATGCAATTGTGTAGGTGGTGAAAGAGCTGATTTGTTTTTGAAATAGTGGACTGTGGTTCAGCGAAACAGAAAAATGATTATTTTAGTGCTCTTATGGGTAATCTGTCAACCTCAGGCCTCAAGTATAGTTCTTCTATTGCAGTTCAAGCCATTGAAGCCCTGCTGTAGAAGTGTAAATGTGTGTGTGTTTGTGTGTACGTGCGTGTGCATGCGTGCCTGTGTGAGTGTGAAAAAAAAAAGTACAGTGAGTGAAACATCTGCAAGCTTAGAGAATAAATATCCCTCAGGCTTCTCTTTAAAAAAATCCACATGCAGATCAGATCTGACATGAGGCACACACTCGCACACATGCTCTGATGATTCAAATGGGCCCCAATAACCACCAGAGCTGTGCTGTGACATATGAGAGGCTGGCATCTCAGTAGGGGTGTCATCACAACTTAAGCGCGTTTTACTGATCTGATACTATGTGTACACCCAACTACAACTTGACATCAAACAGATAAAAGCTGGAGGAATGAAAGAGACGCCAACAGGCTGATGAAAGTAACAGAAAATAACTGTGGAGTACTCATGTTTGGTTCTTGAAGTTTTTCTTACAGCACATGACAGTGGCTAGATGGTATATCTAAGTTCAAATATCCACCATACCTCTCATTCTAAAACCTGTGCCCCATCAAGAGGCAGCAAGGTCTGGTCTCTGAATTTTCTGCAATTTTTACTTCATATTTTTATCATATTTTGACAACTTCTTATGTATATTTCTGCTGGGAGAAGAGTTTATTCAAGAGAAGAGCTTCTTTCATTGAGGCAGAGCAAATCTGGACAACAACATCCAATTCCAGAGGACATCTGGGGCTCTATTTTCTTTCCTCACCAGTGGCGTAGCGAAGGCGTGGCGTAAGTTACGTCCACCGCATCGACAAGGCATTCCCAAGCACATTTTGGTATTTTGGTGAGTGGCGCAGCCCGGCGTAAGTATCCCCCCTCCCTTACTCAGCTCCTCCGGCGTAAGTCGTAGAAAGGGCACGGAGTGGGTTTAACACAGCCGAGACCTGTTTTCGCCAATCAGATCAGCTACTCTCCTCACCTTTAAATCTGCCACTGGCAAGGCATATTACAATTTTCGTGGTAGTAGTCCATGTGAGTTGTCAAAGAGATCAAGAGATGTCTGAAGACAGCAATGCCACACGATGGCGACAGAAGGCAGCCCTTCAACAAGTGTCACTGTAAGCGCTGCAGAGGGCGTCCTCCACACTCTCATATCAGCACAGATGGATTTGGAGTGTGTAATGTTAGACCTACTGGTAAGACAAACAATCTTTTCCACAAATAAAGACACTCACATAAAGTTGCACATATTCAAACCTCATGTAACAAAGGTGGGTTGTGCGCACAGATCACATCATTAATTCCAATAATGGCACTAAAATCGGAACCATGACGCATCGCTCTCCATGGCCTGGCTCTTTCTTTCATAGATGTTGGCATATAAAATAAATTTGGCTCACAAAACCGAATATTATAATATTCGTATGTCGGCTTAAAGTAAATAACTCATCTGATCACTGAAACAAATCATATGTTCAGCTGCGGCAGCAGCAGCTGCAGCAGGACGGGGGGAGGACACAGAGACATGTCCAGGTCAAGCTGCATGAGAAATAAGAGGAAGAGGAAGATAGGAATGGGGGGAGACAAATTAAATATCTCACCTGCCGGTGAGGCATAGGTGACGTATGCTGATACGCCACAGGTCCACCAAAATACCACTAGACCAGCGCCGCCTGCGCTGAAGGCTGACCAGGTTTGAATCGGTGAGCTTTCAGCGCATTTTCTATGCCGCCGGCGAGCACGAAACTGTCACTGCACCAGCTGATTCTGTCGCCACCACACCCAGCTTGGCAGACCTCGGTGCGCGTCAGTCTATGAAAATACCAAACGGGCTGTACACCGGGCTCCGCCAGACGAAAATACTACCGCATGGGGTCCGCCATCCTCTGCCGCGCCGCTGGCGGGCACGAAAATAGGGCCCCTGGAAGTGTTTTTGTGGTTGAAGACAAAGTTGAAGGCTTGCAAATGGAGATTTAAACCTGTCTTCTATCAGCCATCTTGGGAAATGTCAAATCTACCTTGCTTCACTCTCATAAGGTCAAACAGAGATGCTCAAGCTAGTGGTAAGAAGAAAGGAGGAGGTCTGGCTTTATTTGTCAACCAGAGATGGTGTAACCCTTCACACATAACTGTCAAGGAGAAGTTATTTTGTCGAGATATTGAACTGTTGGCTGTTGCTCTTCAGCTATCTTATGTTCCAAAGGAGGTCAGTTATATCATATCAATATTTTTTCACATCCCACCCAAGGCAAAGGCTGGAGTTCTGTGTAATGTTCTCCATAAAACAATCCCTAGCATACAGACTAACATGGTGACAACTGGTGAAAAAGCTGGCTCTGTGATAGGAATTAAGTTCATCCTCTTCATAACACCTTGATGGACGAAAAAGACTAATGGAGAGAATCAGAGGAATTTTTGTACCCACAGCCATCAGACTGATTCTTCTATAAATAGTAGATGAGATGAGATTCCAGACAAATGAATTTACCTTTGGGGATCAATTAAGTTCTTGTATGGTATATTGTATGGTATAGTCTTCAGGACATGGCTTGGAGTTTGCTCTTGTGTCTACTAAAGATGTGCTTCATTGAAAAATGTGAAACTGTGACATAGGTGAAAAGGGCTTTTATAGTATCCTGCAGACAGAGAACAGAACAAATTGACCAGTTTGTCATCCAAACCTGGACAAAGTTACAACACAAGTAATTGCATGGCACCCATGAAAGCAAGTTTAGCAAGTGGTACTTAGTAATTCTTGATTTCCTGACCACTAGAAAGCAAATTTTATGGAGGACAGCTAAAGTGCCTGTGCACTCTGATTCTTTGTAATTACATTGACAGAGACCCAATATTAATGCACCAACACCCGACTAAATGCTTTATCAGAAAGGGACATTTTAAGCCCACTAGGTCAAAGGCAGAGGATGTTTGGCTGCCTCACCCAAACTGGTAGATTTCCCAGAGAAGAGGAGCCTGATTATTGATGTCTCTGCTGCCTAGACCACTCTTGGAGACAAGCAGACCTGCTTCTGTGAGCACAGTGATGTAAAAGGTAATAGGCCATGGTGAGCTCATTGGTATATGATGGTCCCTGACCATTCAGAGCTCTTTAGGTGAAAAGAAAGGTTTTAAATTCAATTGTATAGCTACTTTACAGAGCTGGTGCAGAGAAGCTAATACAGAAGATAACAGCATTTTGGACCAGCTGAGGGATTATTATGGAGTTTTTAGGGCATTCTAACAATCCAGTTTATGGGTAATGGAGGTGTGGACTTGAAGTTTTTCTGTATAATTCTGAGATAAAATGTGCCTGATTTTTGCACCGTGATACTGTTGAGAGAAAGAAAAAAAGGTTGGCCTTGAATTTTTTTTTCTGAGTTAAACATCCTCCCTAATCAAATACAGCTGCTAGATTCCCTGGTGTGATGAATGTAAAAAGTACCTCCTCTCCACTAGAAAGGTAAGTGGATAAACCGTTGTTTTACATACATGCCTGAGATCTGGCTGTTGAGAAAATTTTTTATTGTGTGATTCATCTTGATTACCTCAAATGTTCTCAATTATCTTTGTTGTACTAGTTAGAAAAATTAAATGACTCTAAAATATGAGCAGCTTGAGAACATTTCTTTTTATTGATTTGGTTAGATTCAAATCTTTTCAACAAGACAAAGACAAACACAATGTGTTGCACAAAATAACACTGAATAAAACATGAAATTCTTAGTGAGAAGGCCTTACTGACATAACCCTCTGTTTTTTCCTGAATTATGTAGAAATTCTGGCTTGGCTAGAATACAACAAACAACACAGCAGTTTCATAGTGTTGCGTAGACCTGCAGAATCTGTGTGGCAGATCAGCTGACTTTTGCATTACTTGCATGGTGACAAGAAGGAACTGGTGATTGGATTTACATTTGCAGGTATAGACAAGGTCTCATGCTTTCAGCTTTTGAGCTGATAATATTTGTGATTTTTTTATTTTAAAAAATCATTAAAATCTCAAATCCTTTGAACCTCCTTGACAGCAATGACAGAGTGGGCCTCTCCATGCTCTAAGACCTTCTCAGGGTCCATCCTGACCTCCTCCTCAGCAAGCACATACCCCAGGAAGGACTGGAACTAGCATTTCTCTACTTTGAAATAGCCTACAGTTGGTAACTGTTGTAGTACTAAGCAGACATGCTGGATAGCAGGCAGGAAGTGAATGAAGCAGTCATAAGGGCGATGAGGCAGCAAACATTGAGCTTTAACCTTGTTAAACACCTCTGCCAGATCATAATAACTTGAAGGGACATTAGCTGGGCCATGACTGGGAAGAGCAGGGGGTTCTTTTCTTTTTTATTATTATTTCTGACTGTTTATTTAAATAATCATGTCTCTGTGCAGGGGCATAGCACCAAATTTTGGGCCCTGACCCTGTGTCATTCAATCTGGGCTCACTGATGTTACACTTGTCACCAGTCGCTATCAGGCGGACTAAACCATTTTGCGCTTCCAAGAGGAGGCCCCCCAGAATGTCCTCCATGTTGGGAGGACTGTGACCTAAAGTTCATTCTCTCAGTTGATGTTATCAATATTCTTGAAACAAGTTATGACACCAATTCATTGGAGGGTCCAATTCATTTTAAAAAAATACATCACAAAAACAAAAAAACAGGATTTTCATGGGCCCCTTTCCCTACTCAGGCCCTAGGTAGTCATGTCCACTTTTCCCCCCACTACCGCACCCATGTCTCTGTCTCTGTGTAATGATTTGGCTGTTAGCCCAGTCAAAGTTTGGGTTGTGTTTCTTAAGCCAAGGCTGCCCTACTATAGCCTGATGAGACACAGCATTAAAAACATGAAAACTAAGGGACTCAGTATGAGGGTCAGCAAAGGTTACTTTGACTGACTGTGACTGGTGCATGACCCTGCCCTAAAGACTGCATCTATAGCCTTAACCTCGAGGGGAACCAGGGGCAGTACAGCTTCAGGTGGAAATTCCTGACGAGAGATAGATGTATTAAGTGAGCATTAGAACCAAAGTCAGATCAGTTGCTGCATTTACATGGGCACAAACAACCAGAAGAAATGGCTGATCGGGATAAAAATGTGTCATGTAAACATGTCAGTCGGAAGAATACGATCCAATTTGGCTCAACTGGAAAGATATTTTATTCCGATCAAGAAGGGTGGTTTATGCCGATCATTATTCTGAAAAGCGTCCATGTAAACACTTATTCCGATTGTGACTGTCTAACCTGACTCAATCTTCACTCTTCAGCCTTTGGCTTATTTATTGAGATCAGTACAGGAGGTTTAATTATTAACTCTCCGGCAGAAAACACAATAGCAGGTACCGTGTCTACTCCTCCAATAACATAACAAGGCGTATATACAGCGTAATGTCATATCTGCATACACAGTGCAACCTTTGACAGAACAGTAAAATAAGTAAGCAAGGGCGCCATCTAGTGACAACATTTACCAGGGGAAAAATCCTTAATTTGATGGAGTGAGCCACTGCCGTGTTTGTTGGTTTGTCGACAGCACAGGCATAAATACAAATGCTTCTAATCTGAATAAAACTTTAATGTATACGCACATCATGATCGGATTATTTGATTTTGCACCCATATACACAGTGGATTCAAGTTTTCTGATCCCTCAAATTTTTAATTGGATCAAATATTTTTGCCTTTGTAAATGTAGCTAGTGTCTGCTGCGTCCATTCTGGCCACTTTGTTGTGTCATGAACTAAGGCACAGGAAGGGCAGACTTGAACGCATGTCACCAGGTTAGTAGGTCAAAAGGTTAAAGGTTTACTCCAAAAACAGGCAAAAAGGTTGGTACAGATGAAGGCAGTCAGGTCAGGCAGCAGGATCCAAAAACGTGAGGCAAGATCAAAAAAGGTAAGCAAGGTTCAAACACGACAAGACTATGACTGCGACTGTGAAGAGTGTTGAAAAGAAGACTGTGGGCTCTATTTTCGTGCCTCGCCGGAGATGGCCGCAGGCGCGGTGAAAGTCAGGTCTGCCGCGTTGACAAGGCGTTCCCAAGCACAATTTGGTATTTTGGTGAGCAGCGCAGCCCGGTGTAGGTATCCCCCCTCCCTAACTGAGCTCCTCCCAGCGGCATAAGTCGTAGCAAGGGAGGAGAAAGGGCGTGGAGTGGGTTTAACACAGCCGAGACCTGTTTTCACCAATCACATAAGCTCCTCTCCTTGCCTTTAAATCCGCCACAGGCGAGGCGTATTACTATTTTCATGAAGTAGTCAAAGAGATCAAGAGATGTCTGAAGACAGTAATGCTCACATAAAGTTGCATATATTCAAACCTCACGTGACAAAGGTGGGTTGTGCGCACAGATCACAACATAAACTCCAAAAATGGCATTAGAATCGGAACCATCTGTGCATAAATGACGCATCGCGCTCCGTGGCCTGGCTCTTTCTTTCATAGATGCTGGCATAAAAAATAAATTTGGCCCAAAAAACTGAATATCATAATATCCGTATGTAGGCTTAAAGTAATTAACTCATCTGATCACTGAAACAAATCATCTGTTCAGCCGCTGCAGGACGGAGAGAGGACACGGAGATGTGTCCAGGTCGAGCTGTGCGAGAAATAAGAGGAAGAGGAAGAAAGAAAAGGAGGGAGACGAATCACATATCTTGTTAACTTCATCATGTGTTTCTATTTACTAGATATTTAATTTAATTTGATGCGGTTTTAGCTGTGTTGATTTGGTCAGGTTGTGTCCAAACGCGTGCCAAACGCGCTCATCAGATCAGATATAGATCAGAATATATCTATATAGATCTAAATATATGTGCTGACTCAGATTATTAGTTGTTGATGATTATTTATTGCACTGAAATGTGCCTGACACTGTGGAAACCTGCCGATGAGGCATCGGTGACGTATGCCGATAAGCCGCCGGTCTACCAAAATACCACTAGACCTGCTGCGCTCCGCCTGCGCTGAAAGCTGACCAGGTATGAATCGGCGAGCTTTCAGCGCACTTGACACGCCACTGGCGAGCACGAAAATGCCACTGTGCCCGCTGATTTTGTCGACACCTCCCCCTACCACGCCACCATGCCCAGCTTGGCGGATCTCGGCTCGCCTCCGTACACCTCAGTCCACGAAAATACCAAACTGGCTGTACGCCGGGCTCCGCCAGACGAAAATACAACTGCCACCCTCCGTCGCCTCACCAGCGTACACGAAAATAGAGCCCTGTGAGATACAACAAACCAGTGACAAGACAGTGAGAGACATGAGGTTAAATACAAGAGGTAATAAGGGTGATGGGAAACAGGTAAGGAAAGACAATCAGGAGGCAGCAGGTGTGACAAGACAGAGGCAGGGCAGACAGGTACAGATCTGAGATAGAGACAAGGGTTAGTGACTTCAAAATAAAACAGGAAGGACATGACATGAAACATTTATGAGCAAAAATAAAGGAAACTTGAGACATGACACAAGGCAGTATTGTAGCTTTATTTTACTGATGCGAGCCTTAATAACATCAAGACCAAGTGTTTTTGATAAAGAACATCTATACAGTGTTTAATGCTGGTATCAAGTGTGGTGGAAGGGGAACAATTACGAATGTAGTTGATACATTTTGCGGTCATTGATGGTTCTTAAATCTGAATAAAACATTTGTCCAATTTACCACTAAGCATTAACAATTCTGATTCTACAGCTGGTGTTTTATTTGAAACAGATAATCATTCATTAGCTGTAAAACATTAAACTGGCTGATTTTATGGACTTCAAATCGGTAACACACAGACCACTAAACTATGGTTGTAACTCATTAATTTTGCTCTGTAATCTTCACAAATGTCGAGATAAGGAAAAACTAATTAGCAACAACAAGGTTGACTCCACTGAGTCACTGAGCAATCCTAATTGTGTCTTTTTGAATCACAGAATAGACATGAAACCTTAGTGAGAGTAAGCAGCTTCTGTACAGCATGACAATGGCACAGTAATAAGATGGTACTATGATTAGAAGCAGTTTGACGACATTAGGTGAAGACTTTGCCTGTCAGTGAAAGATGGAACAGTTTTGAAGGTGACAGAAAATCAGTAAGACTTGTCATGAATACCCTGATGAAGCCAGATCCGCTTCCAAAGTGGGCTTTCGCTCTCTGGCAGGAAGCACAAGCTGGGCGAAAGCAGCGCATGCACAAAACTTTTCTTCCTCCATCTCATGAATTCATTAAACCAGATATTACTGCTTTATTTCAGAAATCTGCCCATTTAAGACTCCAGATAAGAGCGTGCAAAAACATGCTCAATACAGTTACATCCCCACTTTAACCTCTTATTCCTCGCTGACGAATTTTCGTAACACTTGACTGAACCTTCAGTCTGATTTTGACAGTTTATCGGCCCAGACAGTGCATGAATATTTCACACTCCACAGTCCTCGTATGTACGTTTTCCTATGAACACGTCTGTGTGTCAGATAGTGAATAGACAATGATTAATCATGTGAACAAAAATAAAACATCTTGCAGTTTAAACCTCCAGCTTGTCTCCATCTTAGTCAAATTAAACATTTGCCTGATACGCCTACAGGACCTGCAGCTAGACAGAGGTTAACCTGAGACCAGTGCATGTTTTTGTTCTATCACATTATAATTCACTTTCAGTAAGTGTGGTTATTTTCCTAAAATCACAAATGTGATGCCAAATCACAGTTAATAGTCTTTTATCTGTCTCTGACCATTCTCCTGTAGCCAGAAAAGACAGAGAAAGGGGTTGATGCCACTTTTTTTGGACTTTTACTTTGGAGAGAACACCTGTCTAATATTTTTTGTAGTCCTGACATTCTGTTAGAAGGTGTAATTCTGTCTCTACAGCTCCCTCATCACACTGACAGCACAGCCTGTCAACACTGTGCAGTAAGATTTTCCTCTGACTGCCAGCCTCTATTATTCTGCCTGTACGTTGGATCAGGGTAAATGCAAAGGAATGCATTGCTTTAAATCAAATAATTGGCACACATTATACAATATACAGCAGCATCATTCAGCACATTAAAACATAAACACAGGCAATAAATAACAAAAGATTTACAGCCAATACTGCACTGTCCAAAGAGAAGTCACGAGTTGTTGCTCCTCTTTTGTGTATAGCCTTGGAGTAAATATTTACATGACCTTAAAACTTTTGGAATCAAGTTCAGCTTTTTGGAGACATCCAGAGTGAAACTGCAGTGTGGGTCTTTATAGAGGGGTTTTGCCTTTCAGCAGGCAACAGGTGATTCCTAGGGTGTGATGAGTCTTATTGGCTTGGTGTGCACATCAGGTTTTGTAAATGTCTTCAGGAGAATGGGGCTGTGTGTCAGTTGTCCTCTGTGCTGAGTTGATAACTCTTGGCAGCGTTTTTTTGTTCTCAGCTATGGTGCAGTGAGCATACCACACCAGGATGCCGTGGGTGATTATGCTTTTGATGGAGTGGTGGTAGAAGGACAGATGCTGATGCTGAGACAGGTTCGTTTTTCTTAATGCCCTCAGGAAGGAGAGATGCCGCTGAGCCTTCTTCAGCAGAGACACAGTGTTTGAAATCCACATGAAGCCCTGAAAGATACAGCTTGTGTGTCCAAAAACTTGAAGGGGGTCACTCTCCTCACTGTTCCTCCTCTAACATACAGATGGAAAGTTCTTCATGTGGAGTGGTAGCTTTTACTTTTGGAGTTGTTGTTGTTGTCCCTACACAAACACTTTTTTAAAAGTTGTCATTCTCATTTAGCAAAACTTGTCACGCCTATGTTCTTCACACTGACCTCCGTTGTGGTGTAATATTGGTGCACCACTCTGTGATTTCACATTCCAGTACAGTATTGTGGAAGCGCGAGAGGCACAGCGTGCAAACACACAGCAGGAGCGCCACATGCGCTCACACTCAGACATGCACATACACACACAACCCTATTATTTTGTATTGTTGACTCCAATACTACGCATTGTGACATGCTAACCATCCCCCCCATTGTGCCTCTGTTCCCAGCTCCCACAGTGAGTCAAAGGTGGACTGACTTTGCCCCACAGTTCTGCCTTTGTAATACAGACATGAACCATGTGTGAGCACATCAAAATAAATCAGACATGTGTTCATTAACTGTAAAGCCAAAAGATTTAGAACTCCCCCTGCTGACTGGCTGCAGTATGGGTCATAGCCTTACCTTTTTCATGTCAACAGACGGGACATTGGTCAAACTACAAGTTTAAAACAGACTTTAGATGAATATCTCTGAAAATGTAGTCTCTGTTGTTGTCGAAATTCTTTCTGGTGAGTTTAGTTCTAATTGGTTATTTAGATATGAAATTATAACTGATAGACAGCTCCTGCAACCTTTTGTTTCAGATTAGCAGAGGAGGAACTATAGAGTGTATATACTATGGATATACTTGGCTCTTCCTTCCATCATTACATGAATTTGAAGCTGAATTGTTCTTGGTATTTCTGGGATTTTTGCCACTTCTTGGAACCACCTCTTGTGCAGAAGCATTGTACGCATTCGGCGCCCGGCTCAAACAGTATATCCCCAGCGTGAGCTACGCAATCTTCGTACACCCATAGGCTGTATCAAATGTCAATCATAGAAAATGTGAACCCCCTAACAACTTTTAAAAATGGAGCTGCACAGAAAAAAGAGGACTTGAGCACAAACCAGTCTTACAGTAACTACATGTCAACATCATAAGCAGGGGAGAGAAAAAAATACATTCTGTGTAATTAATTTCCAAAATTTGTCTACAGCTTCATAGGGATTGCTGAAGGAGGTGGGATTTATGAACTATACTGCAGCCCGTCACCAGAGGGTGCTGTTCTCACGATGGCTTCACCCAGCAAGGAGGCAGATGGCGTCCATTCCAGTCTGTGAGAGGAACATACCAAACATGGGAATCATCATATCTTCTTAGGCCTAACATGCGTGCCTCAAATTTCTGCTATTGACCCCACCTCCCTGAAAGATCACTGATGTATCAGTGAGTTAAATGTGTGTTTTGGTAAGCTGGATGGGGCTATTTGTCACAGTTTGAGTGAGTGCTAAGCGACTTCATGTACAATAATGGATAAAAGCCAACAAACATTTCAGGTACTCTTAATACGGTCTAATATACAATAGATTGTGCTTCTGCTTCAGTAAAATTTTGAACGCATTACTCTGACACTGGGTGGGGTATTTTTATCTCGGCTATTATTACTGTTATTTAAGTAGAAGCTCTGAGTGCTTTCTCCCCAGATAGGAGGCTTTCAAATAGTGCACCCCCTGCTATCACCTAATGAACTTAGCCAGACACCCTGCATGGAGTATGAGCTCTTTATAAGCAGTCTACTATGAAATTACATTTTTAGTTTTGCTTGAAGCTTGTCTTTGTAACATCATTAAATGTCATACAAGTTTTGTTTACAGATAAATGATGAGTCATTACAGTTGGCAACAACAACAAAAAAACTGTGAGTCTTATAAGAGCAGCTGTGTAAGCGTGTGCTTGCTTTTTTTATTTCAGATGCCACAATAAGATGTCAAACTGTGCTCGCAGTAATTGTTGCCCCGGTAAACAAAAATGTAACAAATGAGTAGACATAAATTTAAGACAGCACAATTTGGGGATTATTAGCCATGGAATTATCTAAATCCTAGAGATTTAAATTCACATCAAACACAGGGGCCAAGGTTTTCTAATTGCCTTGCTGTGACTGCAGCATTATGAGCAAGAACATGTTGGTTTCACCATTTGCTGCATTTCTTTATTTTGCATCAGATAAGTGTGATGAAATGCATTATAGTTTGCACTACACACTTCTCAAACATGACATTTCCCTCAGGGTGTCCTCCTTCCCTAACAATAAGGGCTCTATTTTCGTCCTTCGACGGAGACGTGGTGCAGGGGCGGCGTAAGTCAGGTCCGCTGCGCCGATGAGGCGTTCCCAAGCACATTTTGGTATTTTGGTGAACGGCGCAGCCCGGCGTAAGTATCCCCCCTCCCTAACTAAGCTCCTCCCAGCGGCATAAGTCGTAGCGCGGGAGGAGAGAGGGCATAGAGTGGGTTTAACACAGCTGAGACCTGTATTGACCAATAACATCAGCTCCTCTCCTCACCTTTGAATCCGCCACTGGCGAGGCGTATTACAATTTTCGTGAAGTAGTCAAAGAGATCAAGAGATGTCTGAAGACAGTAATGCCACACGATGGCGACAGAAGGCAGCCCCTCAACAAGTGTCTCTGTAAGCGCTGCAGAGGGCGTCCTTTAAACTCTCTCAAATAAGCACATATGGATTTGATGTGTGTAATGTTGGACCCACTGGTAAGACAAACATCCTTGGTGGGTTGTGCACACAGATCACAACATAAATTACAATAATGGCATTGAAATTGCAACCGCCTGTGTGTAAATGACACATCGCACTCTGTGGCCTGGCTCTTTCTTTCATAGATGTTGGCATATAAAATTAAATTTGGCTCACAAAACTGAATATTATAATACTTGTATACTGTATTCGGCTTAAAGTAAATAATTCATCTGATCACTAAAACAAATCATCTGTCCAGCCGCCGCAGGACAGGGAGAGGACACAGAGACACGTCCAGGTCGAGCTGCACGAGAAATAGGAGAAAAAGAAGAAATAGGAAGAAAGAAAAGGAGGGAGACAAATTAAATATCTTGTTAACTTCATCATGTGTGTTTATTTACTAGATATTTAATTTTATTTAATGCGGTTTCAGCTGTGTTGATTCGGTCAGGTTGTGTGTCCAAACGCGTGCCAAACGCGCTCATCAGATCAGATATAGATCAAAATATCAATATAGATCTAAATGTATGTGCTGACTCAGATTATTAGTTGTTGTTGATTATTTATTGCACTGAAATGTGCCTGACGCTGTGGAAACTTGCCAGTGAGGCATCGGTGACGTATGTCGATACTCCGCAGGTCCACCAAAATACCGCTAGACCAGCTGCGCTCCACCTGCGCTGAAAGCTGACCAGGTTTGAATCGGCGAGCTTTCAGCGCACTTTACACGCCACCGGCAAGCACAAAAATGTCACTGCGCCAGCTGATTCCGTCGACACCTCCCCCTGCCATGCCACCACGCCCAGCACCTCAGTCTATGAAAATACCAAACTGGCTGTATGCTAGGCTCCGCCAGATGAAAATACCACTGCGCAGGGTCCGCCAACCTCCGCCACATCCCCGGCGGACACGAAAATAGATCCCCATGGGTTAAAATCATTGTTTTGAGGACCTCTCAATATACTATAAGGAAAACTGAAATATCCCCTATGATAGTGCATGATAGTGACTTCTCAGAGTTACTCAAGCAATATTCTCCCGGGGAACATAAGGGCTCTCACCGCCCACTGTACAGCTACAGAGCCCGAGAGCAACTGTAGCAGATGTATTTCAGGAAGGAAGCCTCCATCTTTTTTCAGAGGTTTGTTAGAAGCTGGTGATGCTGTAGAGCTGCTGTGTTTCTGCAGGCAGAAAGAGTCCTTATTGTTTCAGGGGGTTTGTCTAGGACTCTTTCAATGTCCGATGACTTTTTTTCAATGCTGAACCAACTCTGTCCTTGTGGAGCCACTCCACAGTTTCATTTTAAGACATTTCTCAAAGGAAATTAAACATTTGTCCAAGAGTCACTCCACATCCTCTCTGTGTGCTCTTTCACTCTGTCAATACTTGATTAAATTGCGGGTTTTTTATCATTTGGCAGCAGACATTTTTTGTTCACATTGACTAATGTGAGTTTGAGCTTTGCTGAAGTGTTGTTGTAGGCAGCAGCCATCATAGTGCTTCATCACTGCAGCCAAGACAAGTGGCTGCATTGCAGAGAACGACCAGCTTAAGAACATTTTGTGATTTTTTTTCCCTTAATTCAGTCAAAATGTCTCCAGAAAAAAAACATTCCAATCTTATTTGCGTGTTTTTAGAATGCCAGAGAAAAATTTTAAAAAATGTTTTTTTGTTTGTTTTTTTGTTTTAATCAAAGATGTACCATCGATGTATCAAACATACTATGATTCAGTCACTATCTGATGGATTATCTTTGACCTCTGGCTCTTTCTTCTCAATCCCCTAGGCACATCAGCCCACACATCTCATCCAAGTGTCCACATGTTTTCAGTTTTTCCATCTCTACAGCATACCAGAAACAATCTTTATCACATCCTGACCGTCAGTCAAGGGAATCTGAACATCAATCAGTGATTTCTCACAGAAAACAAAGTGACTGCACATTTACATAACAGCCGGCTCCAGAAACAGCAGAGAGCAGCAGTGCTCTGAGGGAGGTGAGCAGAGAGATTGATAGAAATGCAACACAACACCTTCAACTGCGAGCCAGCTTATTGTATAACCACTGTTCTCCAAGTCTTTAATTATGAGCATCATCGAAACCCCCTTATGTGGCCACAATGACATCAACATGCTCCTTTTACATTACAAGATTTTCTACTTCCCTCTTACTCCTGCAACCTTTCCATCGCCTCTGTATGAAACCTGCAAAGATTTCACACTTTCTCTGAAAAATAAGTGAAAGTGTTACAGTGAGCTAACTTGTAAATGTAAGCAAGGTAGGCATTTTAGACATTGTGTACTTCAGCTATAAATTCACACAGCTTCATCCACAGGGCATTTTCGTACACTTCTTTTATGGCTCAACACAAATATAGGTTCAACACCCACCTGACCTGCTGCATCAGCTGGGAACATGCATGAGGTTTGTCAATAGATCTTAACAGAGTGAGTGGAGCATGTGGGGAAGGTTTGGAGTATTTAATTCCCTTCTCCATGGTAACAAGTTTAAAAATGTGGCTGAACTCATCTGCAGAATGTGTCTCCAAAATCCTGGTCAAAACCCTCACAAAGAGACACAGCAGTATTGAAGCCCACTAAAGTCAAATCCGTATTTTTGATTGATCATCTCATTGTGAAATTATGACGAATAAACAATTGATGACAGGTTGGTGGCAGATAAATGTAGGGGGTGGTTACATCATTGGTTTTATAATAATTCAATACTTTTAAAGTGTGATAAAAGTTAGACAGGTAAAGAACTGCTTTAAATACCGTTCTTGGAGTCCGTTGCCATCTACAGCGAATCAAGTTTTGCCTCCTGTATTGTACGCGGAGAGAGATAAGAAAAAAGTCACATTGAGCCACAGCCATGTTGGCGACCTTTATTGTTTAGCTATCTGATCAGCCAGGAGAGAAAATGTGAATTTACTGGAGAAAACGTTTGTCTCCCTATTAGCCCTGGTTACTGGAGGGCTGTTATTACTCTCTTATCTTGTCTTCACACCTCCTCCTCCTTACTGACGCACCTCTCTGAGCTCTGTCTATGGCCAAGGAACGCGCGCTCCCGTCGTCCGCGCGCGCCTCCCCCTCGGTCGACACAGTCAGCGGGTGTCGGCGTGAACGTCGCTGAGCTCTGAATGGACACTAATAGGGAATGTAATATTCTTCTGCCGCTGCCCGCTTTCTTCTGTCATTTAATCTTCCCAACGGAAGCCGGGTGAGTTAAAATTCAAGACACTGTTTACTCATTGAGGGACAGGCTGTCATGCAGTTTGTGGATTCGTGGAGCGAAACTGGGAAGTAGTTTGCAGACCTGCGATTCATGTGGTATTTGCACACGGGCTTTAATTGATGTGACATAATTTGTGTTGTCATGTTAATTGTTTTGTAAAAATGGCTCTTATCATCGCTGTGTGTTTATTCCATAACCATTTGTGTCCACTTTGTCTTTTCACTGAACAAGTATATGTTCATGAATATTAAGATAAAGTCGGGGCTGGATGTCCCTATTGACTTCAACACGGTGCATCGGTACAATTATATATTTCTAAATTCCTCATTCTTGTGTCTGTGGAGTTGGTGAGATTGGATCTCTGTTAATTTTTTAATTTTTTACATCAGATTTAAATTCGTGATAACTGAACGTAATGATCAAGGCCGTTTTAATTATGTAAGAGAAACAAACAGAAAGAGAGGGAGCGAGAGAGGGAGCGAGGGAAGAAAACAATTTCCTTCCAGAGGTACAGAGTGATTTCTATTGACTGAGGACTGCCAGAATCTTTCCCAGCTTGGTTCACCAGGACGGAGTGATGAAGAGAGGATTTTTTCTCCCGGTGGTTGATCTGAAAGCAAATGCTCCCGAGTGGATGTGTGTGCACTTGTGAACATGCAGTTTTTCCACATTTAGTGTCTACCCAAAAAGTACTTAACATCTGGTGTAGACCTCAGTAAAAGTGAGCAAAAGCACTCTGAAGACCCCTGTAATGCACCTGGGACTGTGTACTGCAACCAGTTGGTCCGGGTCATCTTATGGACAGTCAAACACACAACTTTATAAAAAGTGTGATCATTCAGGAGAATGTGTGTCACAGAAGTCATACAAGACCGAATTTGAGTAGCCGTCACTTCTTTTCAGAGAGTGTTGGTGAGAGAGAATGGCTGTGAGGGAATCACCGGAGTGAGTGACTTGCAGAATTTGCATCAACCTTTAACAAGATAGTATATGTGCAAACATCTGACTGTGGGCATGAGTGTGCATAAAATCCTTCTGCCAGATGAAAGCATCAAACTGGATTATCCTCCATATCCAGGATTAAGTAAATTTTTATTAATTGTAGTCAAATAGCAACATGTTCTTGCTTTGCATTGTGTCTGCACATGGCAACTGGCTGAAAAGCATAAGCCCCTTGGTGTGACAATTAACTGCAGTTGCAGCTACAGTTATGCAACCAAAGCGCATGAAGAAGGAGGTAGGAAGGTTATGGCTACAGTGCAGATTAAAAAAATGTATGGAGAAAAAAAAATACAAACTGAGATTTTCTGCACAAATGACCACAACCCCAAACTCCACACAATCAAAGAAACAGCACCTCTTGCACGGGCACTCAACCCACATAATGTATGTGGACATAACTCTCAGGATGCCAGGCTGGTTTATTCAAGGCCACACTACAAATCCCCCTGCAGTTAGCAGATGGAATTCAGTTTATGTACAATCAAGGCAACAATTTGCTTTTCAGGAGGACAAATCATTCAACAATTTGAAATATTGGGGGGGGGGGGGGGGGTCTATGCTGTTGGCGGGAGGACCGCATTACCTCTGCAGTTAATTACAGTGGGGGAGTTCTCTTGAAAGGAAGAAATAATGGACGCTAGAGAGGAGTGGCAGAGTCGAACCAAGGACATGTTGTGGCCACTGATTATACCCACCTTTTAATAATATGGGAATGCACTAATCACAGGATTGTACTAATGATGCTGAAACTGAAACTAGGGCCGCTGACCTGTTCAGGGTCCTAATCTGATAATGGTGGACTTTTTGTTCATTGCCAGTTAAAAAGTGAAGGTACCTTTGTTATATATTATTTTACAGTATCCACGCATGACCTCTAAATGGAGACAAGGGTTTGGGTGCCAACACTTATCTGTCATTGGTATTCAAGCCACATTTTGAGGCAGTGGTAGAGGACATGCATACCAGTAGCCGTAGAACTGTGAAACGTCAAATGGGCCTGACTCTTCTTACACTTATTTGTATTTAAGTGTTTATATATATTTCTTCTCATCTGTGCTCTTTCTACAAGCACCTTATTTCCTGTAAGGGATCATTAAACCTTGATATCTCCTAAAATGATATATTAAATAACAGGTAATTGCAAGGAAACTATTTCTGCCTACCTGGCAGAGGGGCACTTTCTAGCCTATATCTTATTGTTATGCTATGCTTTATCTATCTCTATTTACATATCACTGATCATGCATTGCTTTGCATGTATTTCTATGGTAAAATCAATATATATTAAAGGTATAGCAACATGAAGCAATGACTACAATTAAAACTGCAGCTAGAAAATACAGGACCTCTTAGCATTAGTAAAAGGAAAACATAAAAAGTAAGGTACAGCAGTAATAAAAGCTCTCCACTCCACATATTGTCCCAGAGTGCTTTACAGGAGTGCAGAGCCCATTTTGAACATGCACTGCTGAACTTAGATTTGGTCACAATCTGGAAGAGCTGCTTACAACAACGAAAAATGTCCAAATCACTTGATCTGGTGTTTAACAGATGTAGGACCAGAGCAGGTACAGGACCAAAGCATTTATTCAAAGGGAGCAGGTGAATGTGATTACGTTTGGTTTGCTGTCCCCTCACACACCATCTTCACCTCAATACCCAGAAGAGGCTGAATACTCCAGACTGTCACCAAGCTCTACAGCATGTATATTCACTTTCAAGTATGTGCAGGACTAGACACACACACAGGCACGACCAAACACAGCATAACGCTATTATTTTACTGTTCTCATAATAGCTACCTTTAAATACTGACATGGTGCCCAAAGATATTAAGAGAGGCTGAATATCCATTATGCAAGAATGGACTTATGACCATGTGTTTTAGATCATTTCAACAGTGCCCATACACTGTATCAAAGTGGGTATCACCAACCAGCAAGTCACATCTGAATGCTGACCACTGATTTTAGGCCTTGAGTGTGACACTATGGCTGATACTCAGTGTAATGGAGCCAGAAGAGACTGTAGAGTTGGTGAGGAGAGGTTATCAAATACTGGGTTTTCCTAATTAAGTAATGCTTACAAGAAGAGCTGCATAATAGGAGGACATTTGAGGAGGAATTACACTGTTTAATTTTGCTGTAAAAATATGAAGTGCAGTTAATTATCACAATAGTAAAAGTGTGTATCAGCTATTGGTCACAGTGTCTGTGTCTTATCTGCTGTTCTTTCCAGAATACCTTTGTTTTTATCAGGTGCCTTCTGAATCTGAAATAAATCATGGGGCCTTTTTTTCACAACTGTACTGGCACAAATTAATCTGATAATATCTGATAGTTGGCTTGTGAGAAAGCATTGGTACTTGACATAAAGTTTTTTTTTTTTGTAATTTATCACTTTTGATTTTTTTGCAAATATTGGCCTCCGTAAAGGATTAAAATCTGACTGTACAGCTGAATTTACAAATCCAGGTCACTTAAATGAACAGTAATTTGCTAAAGTAATGTAAAATCGTTTACTATGTAATGCACAAGCAATAATTTCTGCCTTTGTAGCGATGTACTGAAACATTCTCCTCATAAATGTTCTCTCGTTGTAGCAGACTGTAGTTGTTTGTTAAACTAAAGATTGGTTGTTGAGTATATGGAACTGACCATTTGATGACTCGCATAATGGATGGGATGATGTGGACTATCATGCCTAAGAACAACAAAGAGCTCAGAAGCCTTATTTGCTGAACACATTCACTTAATACATGCAAACATCTGTGCTGGAAATCTACCTGTAGCTATTGTCAGACTGCAGAGCCACAGAAGCGCAGGAACAAACCTCTGCTCTCATCATGCCTCGTTCTTTCATTTTTATCCTGTCGTGCTGCAATATTGGGTTTGAAGTGCGTTATGTTGCTGAAGCTCATACATATACATCATACACACATACACACAAAGCCAGTCTGCCAGTTGACAGTGATGTCACCAATGAACGATTCTTTTACAGCCAATGGCAGCACAGCCAGAGGATGATTTCCAACCACTGCACCCCCCAGCATTTCTATTGTGTGAGATGTTAGAGGGGTATGAATAGGGGTACTACATACCACACAACTAGCCACAGTAATCAGGAACATTTGTGTTGAAGCTAAGGACTTCATGTTCTTTTTATGTAGTAGAGAGTTTTACATTAGCTGAACATTTGGTGTTTTGATGTGGAGGTCTGTAGTAACTGACCAACTTTTTCAGCCAACCACAAGTGGCCATTCAAGAGCAAATTTACACTTCTGAGCTGACTTTGTCAGACATGGGTTTGGGGAGTCCCTGATGTGGCACATGGAAAGAGGCAGATGTGCAACCATTTCTGTTCCGGCTGTTTAATCCTCCATTTCTGCACGCAAATGCTCAATACCATGAATGCACATGTGAAGCAAGTGAATGTTAATACAACTGCTTTTTATTCAGGACAACTTTTTACTGGATGCAGAGTGACAGGGTAACAATGACCAGACTTTTCACTCAACACTGTTAGTTAGCACAAGGTGATCTGACAAAAGGAGTTTAATGTTTCCTGCCACAGCGCAGCCCTGATGTTATGATGTGCGTGAGTGCTTCAGTCTGTAGTCCTCAAAAGCAGTGAAGCAACTACACACCAGTATTAAATCCTGTATGTAGTCATTTTGCTGTTTTACTGGTAGTCCCGCTTGTAGAGTTTCTCTGTCTAAAACAATACTCCAACAGAAAACATATGTTGTTTTGCTATTTTTTCTCCAGTACTGGGCATGAGTGCACAACATTACAGGACAAAAATGTAGGTTCAAAATACTTCTCACTGCCCAACGTCACCTTCAGAAAATCCACTGTGAACACTAGTAATAAAGTCCATGTTAAGTAACAACCAATCCTAACTGTTTCATTTTACTGCATAGGTCATAAAGAGACATCAGTATAAATGTCAGATCTGGTCTTAATCAGTTAAACTCCTCACAGTATCTTAGTTCATTTGGATTTAATGCATTTCCTCAGACAACACCAGTCTTTACAACATATTTAGTAGTATAGATTTTTTTATGTCCATCTTCAGCTCTTAGCCAGCTGTTTGTGGCAATATATTCCCCACCCATCTAATCTCTGTCTGCGTCTACATCTGACTCTGCCACAGCCTCAGTTATTGGAGGGTTACTGTGATCTGACACTTTCTCTCTTCTCCTGTTTACACCATGCCTGAAAGAGCAACTCCTTGCAATGACCCACACAAGACTGTGATGATGTAAGAAGAATAAACCAACCCAAATGATTTAATTACAATTGGAGCCATATTTCACCCAAGGTGGGCCCAAGGTAGCTGGGAACAGTTAATTTTGGACTTTAGAAGCGCTTCAGAAAAATAGGATAACACTCTCCTCAGAAAAACAAAGAGGTGCCTCATTGGAAGACACAGATTGGCTCAGACAGTTTGTTGCCATTTTACACTGAAGGGGTTAGAAAGAAAGTGAGAAAAACTCTCCGCCTTGGCTGAATCACCTGTTAACAAGGGGACTGTGAGATCACAGAGTGAACCGGAGGAATGACTTACAACCTGTGACAGCAAAGTGGTAAATAAAATCATGATGAGAGGCCCGCTTTTCGGCACTGACTTTATTGTATCTAAACAATAGTTTAACCAGCTTTAGCCTCTACTTGTAATGTGCAGGTGCAGTGTGCTCAGCTGAATTTGTTTTCTTTAGTTTGGTGGATCTCAGTGGGGAAGCGAGTATTTATTGATCCGAGGGAACACTTTGTTCAAATATTAGAAAGGCTTACAATATGTGTCTTTTTACAGGTAACCAATACAGCTCAATAGATTTAATTAGGCCTGCTGTTTGTCTGTTTTTTTGTTTGACTCATGCCACTGTAAGGTGTTTGAGCTGATGATAATACTAAGAAATATCCTCATGTCCTTTGACTGAAAGAGGGTTTGTTTGTCTGTACTTACTCTTAAATTACAGTTTGTCCTTTCCTGTGACAGAACTGTCTGTACCATATAACATAATTTCATTAGGCCAAAAGCACTTTGTGAGGCTTTTATGATCCCACCACATAAATTAAATTGACAAGACAAAAACTTGTTTTTTGGAAATCTTGGCTTCGGCAGCTTTTAAGTTCCCCCCCTAAAATCCTGCTCCATGGCTCTTGATGCATTTATATTTGCCTACAGCTGCTAAGACAGTCTAGACAGCTATCTGATGCACATCTCTTCACTGACATGTGACAGAAGTGAGAGCGTCAGTCAGAATTGGTTGGCAACATCTTACCTATTCATGTTAGAATAGGCCTTTTGAGCTCTCCCGTTTCCCCAGTGTCTGCAAGCACTTCCATTTCTGAAAATAACTGCAGAAATGCTTGTCAGCTACCTTAAAAGGCCCTAAGACTTCAGGAATCAATGTTTAATTAATTGTCTAAAACCCATGACAGATGAAAATTCAAATTAGAGATTCTCATGCCAACATGAGCTGCCAAAAGTATGCAAATGTGAGGCAGCTTTCACTGTTTTTTTTTTTGTTTTCATGGATCTTTGAAGACATTTGAGAGTTCTTCAAAACCAATATCATTGAACAGACGTACCAATACCACCGCAGGGAATCTGGCTTGTCGGTGAGTCTGTGTAATGCAAGACACACACATGCACGCACACACACACACACACACACACACACACACACACACACACACACACACACACACACACACACACACACACACACACACACACACACATGGTAAAGGAATAAAAGGCAGATGTATGGAGTACCTATTTGCTTGCTGTCTTTTCTGCAGAGATTGATTTGACTTTGTAAAGGTGAACAACCACCCAGCACAGAATCACCTGTGGGGTCAAAGTGCTTATGGAAGGACCATCTGTCAGCTGGGCACATTTAATAGAGTAGGCCAGTGAAATGATCTCTCCCTGTGGTCCCTTATTGATTCCTGATGGGACAACAGTAAAAACACAGGTTCCCTCTAGAGTTCCCTCTTTACCAACAAAGGCCTTGATGGTTAAAGTTAAACATCAATATACTCTGACAGCTTTGGCAGTTATTTCCCATCATGCATTGAAACAGCATGTCTAATTGTGTCCAGATCAAAAGAGGAGTCTGTATCCTTCAGAAATCAAAGGTTTGCCTTTGCTTCCTTCCAGCTTCCAACACTGCAGATCAGTTGTCAAGACATTTTTGTCATGTCTCTATTTTAGAAGACAAAAATGTGCAACACCTTTTTACCCAACTGTTCCAGCCTGTAGAGTTGATTACAGTAAGAGGAAAACAAGTTACAGACTGTGCCGGATCACAGAGCGATGTTCTCCAAATAAACATTGTGATTAAAGTTATTTGTGTATCATGATGAATTCTGCATCTTTTTAGCCATAGACATTAAAGTACCAGTGCTGCTGCAATCTGGTTTTGTTTTTACACCCAAATGAAGCATATTAAGGGCCTGATCTACTAAAGGTTTGCATGTATAAAAATGTGCAAACTTGACAGTGCAAGCAAAGCTAATATACTAAGCGGATACACCAAGGATTGTGTCTGTCAAATGAGCAAAACAACACATGCAATCCATTTAGCCTGTTTGCCGTTATGAATCTGCAGTATGTATGCAAATTATCAGAACGAGCAAAATACTGAGAGGAGCAGATGCAAATGTAATCATTTAGCATCCGCAAAGTGATTTATCAAACCTCCAACTTATTGCGGTCTTTGTTTTACATCTAGATTTAGCACGTTTGAAAGGCACGTGCAAACTGGCACAGTGTTTCGCACAAATGGCTGCGGTCATTGTGGGGAGAAGGAGGCAGAGCTGCAATGGTAGGCGACAGAGAGCCTTCTGTCTGCATGTAAACATGTTTGGACTGTCAGAAATAAATATACTAGAGTAACAGTAATAGTAATGCTGTTTTTCAACTGCTGGGTGACCTAAGGGCTGATTTGGAGCCAGTTACAAAAATAAACTATGCCATATCTCCTAAAAACTCCTTGTAACACTGCATTTTCCTGTGTCTGGATCACTCTAGTGCATCATCGCAGTTAGTGCATCTCCCAGAGTAGCTTTCCTGGTGTGCTGTCCCTAGTGTTGAGCAAGTATGTCCCGTTTCTACACACTAAGGACACTGTAAATGACACAAAACACAGCTTTTGTGCAGTTGCTGGCTTCTCTAAAAACAGTAGGTGCAACTCTATAGCTTCAAACTAAAGATGCAATTTAGCGCTCGTTATTTGGGATCTATTAGATCAGGCCCTAAGTGTTTTTTCTTCTTTTCATACACACACCACCCTTTTACTAAAATTGTGACCCTACAGATCATTTACTGCCGGTGAGTTATCACCAATCCTAAAGTTGTATTAGATGCTTCTCATCAACCTGCTTTCCCGTTGGGAAACTATCTTAATTAGGGAACATTAATGGTTTCTGCACGAGTACCTTGATGTCCTGGATTAATTCTTTAATTTGGTTCAACCACCACAGTCTAAAATGTTGTATTTTCGGTCAGCTGTCATTTATTTTCACAGGTGAAAACTAATGTAAATCTCCTGCATCATACAAGTTTTGAACAAGTATTGAGATCATAATGTATCAGCAGTAGAGAGACATACTGTGGGACTCTATGGTACATGATGTGAGACTGTATCTGCAGACTGTCCTGCATTGCCCACCTTTCCTCCCATTTTATTGTCAAGGGTTAAAATAGTTTTTCTCACCCTTTCTTTTTTGCCCAATTAACTTGGTTCATGTCACCCTCATTGATGTCATTAGTGCATGGCTGGGACTTATGAAGCAGTGTTTTGGTGAGTCAGAATGCTAGGGAAATCTGATTGGTATTGTTATTTATTTGTTCATTTCTTTCATATTTTTCAATTAGAATATAAATATTTAGCCTTGGCCTGCCATCATGCCAACTTCTCCATGATTGTGTCACTAAAGTCAGGGCAGTGACATGCTGATAAATCAGTCTTTTGTCCCATCCCTTCCTGTGACCATCCACACTGTCCCCTTCTCTGCTTTGACTTAAACAACATAACCTGCCCCCTCTGTTTTTCACTTTAATGAAGATGTCCTTTATATGGTGTTGAGTGGACAGATGCACAATGCATCACAAAAATGCAGTTCTGGAAAACATCAGCTTTTTTTGGGTAAGATTTAGCATCAGTCTCTATACAGATATGCAGACAGCTTATAAGTGCAAATGGCACCATGGCTGTGGATGTTTTCTCCTGGTTAGGATTCGTTTTAATGTTTCTCAGTTTACAGGGAGTGTGATGTAAAACTTTGATTAAGAGGAGGTATGAGGGTCCCACCAAAAGGTTATGATGTTGTCATCACCAGACGATGGACCATTGGTTTGGAAAATGCTCACAGTCATGATTATTTCCCCCCTTTAATCACCACAGTCTTGAATAATCAAAAAAAAAAAACACCAAGCACCATCGTTTTTCTGGCAGAGCATATCTCAGTGCTGTAGCAGTCCATTGACGACAGGTCCAAACATTTATCACAGGCTAATGGTACAGTTTATGTGCGTCCTTCTTATTTGCATTCAGACGGAGCTTTCTGGTGATACTTACTGCTAAAATATCCTCAGAGTCGTGCTGTTAAGTGACTTGCTGTCTAGGGTACAACATTTGTAGCTGCCAAATAAAGATACAGAAGGCTGAACTTCCTTCTTCTTTCACCATTGGTGAAGACATTAACTGACCAGTGGACTTAATCTTCCTGAAAACTGAACTCAAAAAGAACTAAAAGAAAGGCTGTTTGTCATTTTAGAATCAGCAGCAGAACAATATATAAATCTCACACTCTGCCTACGTGCAGCATATTTCTCTATGTAAAATATCCAACTCGGTACAGTTCACACAAAGGGCTCATCTCAGAGCGCCTTCATTATTAGATGTGGAGATCTGTGAAAGCAGAAGCCTGAAATCCCTCTTCTTTTATTGAATTCTGAGATGAAAAGTTGGAGCGTAAAGACTGCTATTTCTTTCTTTGTTTGACTCAATGACTTAAATGTTTGCCTAAGAGATGCCAGTTTTGTTTTCCCAAACAAACGCTGAACTCTTACTTTTTAGATGTGTGCAGAAAGTCAAAGACCAAAGCTGAAACATCGGGTTATTGCTTTATGGAGTTGGGATCCAGTCAGGACTCAGGGCACATTGCAGCAAGTCCAGTTGATACTGCATATAGCCATACACCCAAAAAAGGAGTTCAATGCTCTTCTATATAAAAAGCCTACAGGTTTGAACTCAAATCTCCTGAGCAGCCATGTCCAATTTGGTCTTGAAACGTTCCCCTTTGGAGCTCCATTCAGCTCATTTTCAGCTGGGGGACTGCCACAAGTTCTGTGCTGGTTCATGAGCTGTTCATCAGTTAGTGTAGGTGAAACTGTTGAATCAATTCTGAATATGTGATGAATAAACAGCACTTGATCTGATGTTGCAAAAGTGATGCTTCATTTTGGGTCACTGATTGATTCCCAAACGTTAGAGTGCGTCAAAAAACAGATATGATTGCTAACGCTTGTCTGTTGCTCATCCCAGCATGATTTGCAATGACCTTAACATTTCATCCCTGCAACTTTTGAAGCTGTTAACTTTGTGTGTGGGGGAGGGTTAGAGATGCAGGCCAGATAATGGATGTATGAGTCTTTGTGTATGAGGGAATAATTGAATTTTCTAAGGACTTGCTACAGCAAACATCAGGTCCTTTGACTTCTAGGGGATACACTGTGTAACTAGTGAACACTTGTGGTTTTGGGGCTGAACTGATTTTTTGTTGAGGAAATTAATCATTTATATATTAGTCACTAAATGATGGTATAAATTGTGCCCCACTGTGAATCTCTTAATCCTTAAAATCATTTTTAGGCTCACTCATATGTAGCACACAATCAGTGCATGGGTTTGGTAGATTTAGGATGACTTAGCAAGAATTATCTGTAAACTGACTGAGTCTTTCTTAATCAGCATTTAAATCTCCTCTTGGGAAACGGTTTGTCAATGTCTGTGTGCCTTATGGGCAAATATGTACACTTTTCTGATCCCTGCCTTTCCACCCTAAGGTGATTTGTCTGCTGTCTTTGTTAAATGTGAAAAAGTTGTGAATTTTTATTGTTGACAGTGTGAGGAAAGGCTCTTTCTTCAGTATGAGAGAGCCAGTGCCTGGTCTTGTAGCTTTTTGCAGGGATTTCAGGAATAAGAAGTTACAGAAGAAACAATGTTTTCTTGATGTTGGTGGTCTCACCTGCTTTTGTGGATCTAGTATTTGCTTACAAAACAGGAACATCCGTACCCCCCATCCAGGTCTCCAGGCCCTCCTGTCCTTTTTTTTTTAAAGAAAAAGATGAAACCCAGCTCTTTCAGGAACACTTTGGCTCTTAAATGAAGCTCTTCTCCTCTGTAGCTCCCACTGGCAGAATGAGTATAATCCACTACACCTGATCCACAGAGTCCCATTCTGCAATTGGAAAGCCTTGGATCTGGCACTTTTGTGAATTGCCTTGCACTTGATATCAATGCTGGTGATGATTATGATGATGTTATATTTAGGTTAACCAGGAATCTGAGCAATTAAAATGTGTTACTGTCCCTGTAGTAAAATTAAAAAAAAAGCTCTGCCTAGAGCACTTTATGACAGAACCATGCCAACCAATTGTAAATAAAACTGAGGGTTATGAAAAGGCCTTATTCCAAATTTAATGTGGTCTAACAACCAATAAAAAACTCCCCTCTGGGGCTTTCACTTGTTTGTCATTTCCACAATCATTTAAAAGATACTATGCAGTCTATATACCTTTTATAATATGGTCAAGTTCAGTCATGTCTTTTAATTCTGATAATTCCCAAAACAATTCAACACATGCTCAAATAATAAAGGTAAATGAAGACAGAGATATTAAATATTACACTCTTTGTTGGTATTGTATACTGTATATGCAGACTTTGAACAATATTGGGTGATAAAATTAATTAAGAAGTGTTGCATGCTCCAGCTGTCTTCTTGTTTTTCACAAGTCTTGAAAGCATACAAATGAACTAAGTGGTAGAAGAAACTTTCACAGCCATAAGTGAGGAATGTAAAAAAAGTTGCTTCTTGGAGTATATAAAATGGGAAACACACACAGTAGAATAAACGCATGCTATTTAGAAATGTTACAGTCATTTGCAGATTTTTTAAATGAAAAAGAGAAAAAAGTTGTTTTGGTGATTCTTCATGTAAAATCAGCTGTAACTTGGCTAACTAATTCACTCTCTTGCAAGGAGGATACATATAAAATAACCAGACTATGTTTAAAATCTATCGCTTGACCAACAATGACCATCTTACTGAGCACATTTTTGAAAACAGTTCTTACATTTTGTTGTTTTTCATTGCTTAATAACCAAGGCTGTCAGAGTAAATGTGATAAATATGGTGCGACGTAATTTCAGCAGGTAACGGCAGTGCTGTTATTGAGTGACAAAATTGCTGCAGGGTTGAGGCTTAAATCTTAGGGACGTCCTTGGACTGGCATATTGTGATCAGCTGTATGCTTTACTGTTATTACCGTACTTTTGTGCATAAAGCAGGGCTGGGCGATATGGGTAAAAGTTTATCAGGATATATTTTTTTCTCATCAGTCAATATTGATACACATCACAATATAAAAATGAAATTTAACAGTGCTTATTGGTAACATGTCTTTTGCAATACAATAAACTACTGCATCTGTAAGGTCTTTGTGTCTCTTCGACTTTTTGTCGTGACGCGTTGCTCTAGAGAAAGCAGACTGAATGGTCGGCTGTTTCGGCTGCACAGGCGCCATGGGTTCCTTGCTCCGCTCAGGGTTTGTAACCTTTTGCACTGTGCATGCTCTGCTGCATGGCACTGCTTCAGGGGGTGAAAAAGATTTGAGGTATTCCCCGACTTTGCGAGAAAATATACTCAACATAATTTACAGTGCACTTTACTCTGCTTCATGTCTGAGCTCAAAAATCTAAAATACCTCCACACCACCGACGTTTTTGTGCCAGTGTTGTCGACCGTGTCATCAACTGTTGAGCCTTCATCTGCATTTCTGCTGGGGGTAGCACTCATTTTCTTTTTTTCTCACTGACAGTGCTGTCGGCTTCACATGTTAAAGTTCTATATTTGCGTGTAGCTGCAGCCTGCTACTAAGCAGGTGTTTACTCATTGGTTCTAATTAAGCACATGATTGGTTCAGCGCAAAGTGGACCAGAGCAACTTCCCTTTTCATTGGCTATTCGTATAGTCTACCAAAACATGGCAGAATGCCGACTATTGAAAAGCATGTTGACCATGTTTTATATTGATATTGAGGGAAATGAATTTTCGATGTATATCGTTATCTTTGTCGCCCAGCCCTAGCATAAAGGACCTGCATGAAACAAGGATAGCAACCAAACTGGAACCCCTGAAGAGTGCAAATGCTATCACAGCTGATCATATAATTGAGTGCCTAAACACTGCCATTTCAAGGTGGATATTTACGCCTTTATCATGACTTGTCAGCAATTTAGAGCTGTCAGTGCAAAAAAAGCGCTGTGTGTTCGGGCACGTCTGAGTTTGTGTGTGTGTGTGGAGCTTCCGCTGTGTGTTAACAAGCTATGCCTTTGTTCTTCCCTAATTAATCTGAATTATACAATATTCATTGTTTCGCAGTGAGAATTAACCCATCAGGTGTCATTTCAGACCGATGATTCAATAGAAAATGGTGAAATTACTGAATTGTTTACTTTATGATGCAAAACAGGAGTAAAGAAATTATAGTGAGAGGACCTTTTTATGAAAACTCTCTCTAAATCCAGTCATTTGCAGCAAGCACTGTCAAGCTCTCTAATAATTGTGCAGTTTCCTCACTCAAAAAGGACTGAGTAAGCTACCTGAAAATCAAACAGGATTTCACCCAACGCTTCAACTCCTTTTTACGCCAACGAGCAATAAATCAACAAACGAAAGCTAGGCATTGCATAAGACAAAAGAATAAGCATCACTGTCATATTAAAGGGATATTCCGGCATAAATTTAAGTTATGGATCATTTCCATGAAGTAAATAATCAGAAATTTTCTGCTGCACTCGGCGATCAACTTGTCAAGGCCCCTCCCTACAAACAAGCGGCCGGTGGAGGAAAATGGGTTAGTTGTGTTCAGACTGCTAAAGAAACCAGGCAAAGTTGAAAAGATGTTTGATGGCTAGACTATGGCTGGGACCGTATATCCACTGTTGATTAAGTTAGGTGCTGTTCTGAGCATTATTTGTGGCTATAGAGTGGCTTTTTGGTTGAGGTTTGTACTTGGATCCATAGACCGCTGTGTATTGCTATCGTGCGGTCGTCGCTAAAGTTAGTATATCAAGACAAGCAAGCGGTCAGCAACATTCATCTCTCGAGGGGGTGTCTAATTACGGTGTGTTTGACCATGAATTTACACGGAAATATCTCTTTAAGCACTTTTTTCCAATACAACTGAGGTTATTTGAATTTTTAACTTTCGAACTTGCATATTAACAATTTACCGTAGCCCCACAATACAATTGCCCCTTTTTAACCACAAGCCATCACACTGCCTATACATCCCATAAAAAGAATCCTAATGTGCCACACCCCTATAAACTCAGAGTTTTAACACATTGCTTATGCAGGGTAGGCCTCAAAGCAAACAGCAAACAAACCATTAATCAATCAATCAATCAACTGATCCACGCACCACTGCGTGCCTGTGTGTGCCAAAAGTCCATAAAAATGAAGACTGATGTTGTCATGTCCATGTAAACACAATGTTTGCTTGGGCCCTGAGCCAGCACCGCAGCACAGACACTCCTGAAGCAAATCAAAGTCTTTAAAGTTTAGTGCACTGACCAGCTGCCTCCTCAGACTCCTAATATGCCAGTCTGCCCAGTTTTTCAGCTGTTCAGACGCTGGGTCTGAATAATAATGCATTTTATTTATAGGCACTTTTCTTGACACTTGAGATCACCTTACATCATTAAAACGAACCAAAATTAAATAACAAACAATAATACATACAATTTAAAAGATTGAAAGAATGGACAGTGGAGTTGTGGTCAGACAGAGTAAACCAGTTTAAGATGGTGAGTTTTGAGTTTGTATTTAAAATGTGGGAGTGAGTCAGTATTACAGAGGTCAGGTGGGAGAGAGCAGCTGAAGGTTCTGCTTCCCATTGTAACATAGTGAGCAGGGGGGCGCTCTTCTGCAGCATTGCCTCTCGCTTCCCGAAGGCCGTACCGAAGGCCCATGCATGACTCCAGCCCATGCATGACTCCAGCTCTCCAGCTTGCCACAGACTGTTTTGGTATAGTCACTATTGAGCTGAGCCAAAGGCTAATGGACCGGGGATTGTTCTCGGACTCAATACCTGCTGAAATTATTTAATTTGAAAGGCTGTAATCTCAACACCTGATAATATAATTTAGTTTGTAATTTGTGAAATAGTCAACCCCTGGAGCTACGATAGAGTCATTCTCAAGTATATTTGAAAGCTGCACACTGCTGCACTCAAAGCCTTTTCCCTCACCTAGCAGGTTTTAATCACTCATCTGTTTCAACTGTGGAGAGCATGCAGCTGTTGTTAGCAGCATATAAAAAGGAAATTCAGTAATTGCATTAACCTTTTCAAAAGCTTTTTAATACCCTCTGTGAACATGTTACTAATACATGCTACACTGAGACAATCCTTTCACGTAGAGCCCCCTTTCCTTTTTTCACACCCATCTATAGTATGTGTGGAGGTATACACAGAGAGCCAAGAAATTGCTTACTTTCTTTTTTATTGCCTTATTCCTATTCTACATTAGTACATTTTGCAACATCACTGTTATTAGAACATTTCTTAGCAGAATGAGGCTGGGACTTCAGCCAGGATAACCTTGATCTGCACCAACCAACTTCAAGGAGACTTGCTGAAAGATGGGCCTGTTTCCAAGCAAACTCTGCTGCAGCATAGAGAAAAATATTCCAGCCATAGTTCTGTGACAAACTTATCACATAACAATGAAGTGGAGAACAAGGGCTGTTTCTTAAGTGGTCCTGATGGTGCATTCAAGGACACCCTGACTTATGGGACATCAGGGCTTGGTGTTGATCTGCATTCGTTTTAATAAAAAGAAACATCACTTGCCCTCTTAGTGATGGTGTTTGTTTGATGTCATGGCAGAACAAGGTTGTTGTAGTTTTTATAAAAGGGGACTCACCATTAAAGGGCAATGACAGTTGCATTTGCTGCATGAACAATGGTGGACCTCCCATCAGTTTAGCCATTTGCTTCATTGCCTCCACATAGTCCATTTACACTGAGGTGCACTCATTACAGGTCTTGTGGAACATTGGCAGAGGATATTAGCTCCTGCTGGTTTGGGAACTATGCATGAGGTGCACTTAATTCATGTGCTTGATTAGATTAGTATGAAGGCTCATTTTCATTATCGCTCTGCTGCACTTGTAATTTTGAAATGACTTTAAATGTTTACATACAGGTATCAGAACTTATGTTTGCATAGGCTGATGTAAACCCAATAAAACCTGTATGTGTGTGTTAGTGATGACAGATGGTTAATTTTTCAAGCACAATTTTTCATCATTTTAGATGCATGATTGAACTCCACTATTTTTCCTATTAAAACAGTAGTAAAGTCCATATTGGCAATGTAAAGCATTTCTTCTTGACTTTTAGAGTAATCCGTAAAGTAAATGCTGCACAGCTGCGCCACAGTGCTCTGAAACCGTGAGTTGGATGTATGGGACACCCCTGCAGGGCTTATTCTGTATAATTTAGTGTTTATCTTCATGAATTTTTGAAAGACACTTTATAAGAAAACACAAGAAATGTGCAGGAGTATACGCACAACAATGTAGACTCATCCACAGGTCGGTGGTGAATAGCACGCTCCAAGATTGAGCTGGCTTTTGTGATACAGTTGCCCACTGACATCCTACACCTGCATTTTAAGCTCATGGGTGGTAGCTCAAACTCAAAAGTAGTGTAGTGATAATTTGATTCCATTTGACACAAAGTGCAAATTACTTCTGACATGTCAACTGAGCCATCTGGGAGTTTTTGAGAGTGAAAAGTGCCACAACTCAAAAGTACAGTGGTGTTGTCATTTATCCCACAGCAGCAGCAGCAGGAAGAGGCTGGCTGCTGCAGCAGCTGAAAAGGATAAAGTAGCATGCAATTAATGTAAAATAACACATTCATTTTGGACCTTAATTGCATCTCAATTACTGTGTTCCCGCTGACAGCCCATATGCAAAGATTTCATTTTGAACAAATATGTTACACATGATATGAATGTGCAGAGATAATTTCAGAGAAGATGCTCGGTGTCTGCAGCTGTACTTACTCCAGGTTAACTTGACTTTTTCTCTCATATCAGAGCAGTACATGACTATTAACCTCTATTTACAAATTCTACATAATCGTGTCAGAGTGGGTTCTGCATCCAGCACATGTTCTGGTATCTATTCAGTATGTTTGTAGCTTCAGCAGTGTTGACCAATCACATTTCAGCACGCTTTGGTGAGCACAGAGGACATTATCTGTAAGAGTGGAAATGATTAATCCAACAAACATCCTTTTAAAAAGCTGTTCTTTATTCCTTTGGGGGACAGACCGGACAAGGTTTGCAGTTTTACTCTTTATAAGTCTTTAATATGAGGTTATAGCTGCAAAGCTAGACTCCCCAAGTGTCTTTCAGTCGAGTCAAACAACAATTGATTGGCTCAGTTTTGCAGATTGTTTTATATCATTTTAATATTTCAGTTTCATTATCCAAAGATGATAGTGTGCAGCTAAACCTACGTACATGTATAGGGGTAGAAAAGGCCCTCAAAGAAATTGATGTAGATCACACAACCTTATCTACGAGCCAATTCCGCTATGCTTTTAATTTACAGTATCAGTAATTTGTACATTAAACAGCTCTAACCATGGTTTTGCTGAATTACTCATAGAAAAAAAATGGCTACATCACATCAAATCTCAAGAGAACAAATGAGATTCACAGGTAAGCCTGAATGTTAAACAGCTGCGCACACAAATGTGCATCTCATGCTCATACTTAATCCTTGCAGGCACTTATAGAGCACTTGCTTTTTCTGCTCCTGAATGCAACATTGCAGTCTGTGAGGAGAATACTGTATTTTCAGCTCGTGCATAAATGGATGAATGGGTTACTGGCTTACTGGCCTTTCTGCTTGTGAAACTTTGTTAACTTGCAAGAAGTTGTTGGTTACACAGTCACAGTAGTGTCCCTGACACTGAGTGGGTACAGTAATACAGTCCTTTCTTTTATGATTGATCCCTTTCTGTTGACCAAAGCAACCGCAATCTAACATAACGTGAGGTAAAGCACAAACTAAGAGACTCTGGTGTATTAAAGACTGTTAAAAACACAGTGTGTGGTGTCTGTTTATGATACCACACAATGGGGTAGATATGTTACAAAAAACAAATGGTAATTTTTCTACAATTTCAAAGACGCCAGTAATTCAGGAGGAAGAGCGATCCTCCACTAACTGGAAGGTTGGCGGTTCAATCCCTAGTCTGTCTGTTGTGTTTGTGGGCAAGACACTTAACCCACTATGATTGTGAGTGATGTTTGGTGCTGGTGGGAGTGACAGTAGGCACAAATTTGCAGCATCGTTTCCGTCAGTCTGCCCCAGGGCATTTGTGACTACTAAGATAGTTTACCACCACCAAGGTGTGACTGTGTGAGCGAATGAATGATGTATTCATTCAAAACGCTTTGAGGTCACAGATGAAAAGCGCTATAAGAATTTGATGCAGTATTATTATTATTATTATTTTTATTATTATTATTATTATTTTTATTATTATTATTATTATTATTATTTTTATTATTATTATTTTTATTATTTTTATTTTTATTATTTTTATTATTTTTATTATTATTATTATTATTATTATTATTATTATTATTATTATTATTTTTATTATTATTATTATTATTATTCAAAGACATGAGAGAAATGTGCAAACCAAATTTAAGAGTCAGACCGATAAAGTCAAGAGGCTTTTCTTGCACAATCAGTTTTTCAGGAAGGCACAACAGGCAGTACCTCCATTAACCATTAATATTTTGCTGCTGCTAAAATATCTCAGAGGAGTTAGCTGTCCTGCCATCTGCAGTTACATATTATTTGCATATAAACATAATTTCAAGAGGGAAATGACTGCTACATTTCAGTAATAAGATCTGACCTTTGTGTTTTTCAGCCCTGGACTGCAGAGAGAGCAGCTGGCCTGTTAACAAATACGCTAGTCTGGCAAGTAAAGATCCAGATATTTTCTTTGCAGGAGTGAGGGGATAAAAAAAGAACTGAAAGGAAAGGAAAGTGGTTATCACACCTCAGTCAGCAACTGGACAGAACTCTAAATGAGTGATAAACTGATAATGTGTGTGTATAGGCAGCTGCTGATTACTGGCTGCTGTGTATCTGGCAGCTTGTGTTGATGTTTCTCAGTGTGAAGGGGCTGTGCAATTTAGACAGGCAAAATAGCGTTATCATATTTTTGGCTGATGCTATTTTCCTGTGGTGCTTTCTCTTGGCTTCCTCTGAAGCTGACTTACAATTCTGTGACCACCAAGATTTCAACTCTTAACAGCATCATTTGTGACCCTGGAGACCGTGATGTTAGGGTGTCAGGACATTTATCATATCATACTACACTGATTGTAAAGTACTAGTAGTGATTAACTTTCACGGACTCAAACAGACCCTTAAAGGGATTTAAGTTGTTTTTAAGTTTAAATTTAAGTTATGGCCAAACACACTGTAACATCGAGTTAGACACCCCCTCGAGAGACGAATGTTGCAGACTGCTTTCTCCTGTAATTATACCAACTTTAGTAATGACCACATGATAGCTAAACACAGCAGTCGATGGCTCCATGTGCAAACCTAAACCAAAAAGACTCTCTATAGCCACAAATAATGCTCAGAACAGCACTTAACTTCATCAACAGCACATATAGGGTCCCAGCCATAGCACTACCCATCAAACATCTTTTTAGCTTTGCCTGGTTTCTTTAGCAAAGAGACTAAACACAACTCACCTACTCCCCTCCAGCAGCTGTTTGTTTGTGGGGGAGCCCTGACGAGTCGATCACAGAGTGCAGCAGATCATTTCCATGAAGTAATAAGAAATTTTCTGTTGCAGTCTGCAGTTGGCAACATCAAGGGGGTGTCTTACTCGATGTCACAGTATGTTTGTCCATAACTTAAATTTATGCTGGAATATCCCTTTAATGAATTTAAAGCGAGGCAACACTTCTGTTCTTTTCTGGTAGGTATTGTAGTTGAACATGTGAATCCTCTAAAAGTTACATCCTCTCATGACCCTAAATGTAGGTCTCTGGATTATTGATTTAGTGATTTAAAGGTTGTTACTGATAGTATGACAAGTTTTTCCCCCATCCGAAATTTGTGGGTTTTTCTGCAGTAATGCTCCCCTGATGTTACCGTATCTGGAAGTGTTTCCTTCTTATGTGAAAATACTGTTATTAGTGTGGGGCCTGAATCCCAGACAGGGGAAGTGTAAAATGTTGGTCCTTCTGGAAAAATGAAAGGAAATAAAAACATTACCTTAAGCTGCGTTTGTTGAAAGAAGCACGGCACACACTCTATAGTCCTTTACAGACACACACTTTCTAGTTTAAGTTTTTTTTGTTTTGTTTTTTTTCTGCTCTAACTCTGTTATAATTTACTTTTAAGTTGCTCACTTCAGATTTGTACTTTTTCACTAAACTTCTATAGCTCACTGTCTGTTCTCTGTTCACTTCAGATTCTGATTTATACTTCTCCACTGAACTAAACCCGAAAAACACAGGATCCGTGTTGAGCGCGTGTCTCTGCTTCATCAAGCAGTGCTGTCTTAATTTGAGAGTTTTTTTTGGATTTACTTTTGTGGTGGCTTGTTTGTACATTTTGCTACCGCAACTTTGACACTGTGGGTAAGACTATAAGTGGGTTAGGTCGGTAAGTATTCGGCTTTGCTTGCCTCCGCCGAGTGACGCTGCCACATGTCTTTAAATTATAATTGTGGAACGATTATTACAGTACCTTACGATTTCATCATCGTGGCCGTTTAATATCGCATATCGCGATTAAATCATATATCAGCACATCCCTAGTCAGGAGTGTTTTATTTTGAAATTGATTGGATGACATGCGTGGTTACCGTGCTTTACATCCTGTCTAGAACGATCTCTGTGTAGATAGAGGTGTGTTGGAAGGAAAGAGTAGCAAAAATACACTTGGTTCGTATCTTCAACAGAGCCATGCTCGATATGCTTCTGAGTTGAGATACGTCCTGTTTTTGACGCTGCATTGATTAGAATGAGAACCTATTTGCTGCGTGATGTGCACGCTCAACATGGATCCTGTATGTTTTAGGCTTAATGCAACTTAATGAATGTTTTCATTTACTTACAGATTGTTGTCATTTAATCAGAACAGTGTGACATTTGGCTTGATACACAGGAACCTGATTAGCCACAAGGCTCACTTTATTCTGCTTGACAGGTCTGCTGCAGTAGTTACAAGCCTCAAGGTCACATATGTCATAGAAAATTTTAGTAAGACCACATGAACAGTGGTTAGCCTGTTCACGTCAGAGATAACTGGCCAATGACACTTGGTTGCCTGTTACGTCCAGCTTCTGTCCTGGGCAACCCCTGCCAAAGAAGGTAGAGAAGGTAAAGAAGGTAAATGACCACTAGGTGTGACCGAAATCCTAGTGCTGTGTCATTCCAAGTCCAGCGCTGTATTACTCTAGCTGTGACCATAATAAAAGGTTTATCTGAGACCTTAAGGAGCAGTCAACTATAGAACTGATTCTTACAGTGCTCATAGTAATTAGTAAAAAATGTGTTTGTACCTTTCCGTTGTGGAAGTATTCCATTATATTTGACAGAGTTTTAACAGAGTTAATTTTCATTTCACAGAAGAAACTTTTTTCATTTCAAGGTGCATTGACAGTTAATTTCTTAAGAACAATGACAACAACTTCCAATTCTCACCAAGCTGCTGTGCAAAAAAGACACTGAGGATGCATCAGTAATGTTACTTTATGCTTAATATATCTTTAACATGTATGAGGACATGTAAAAGGATTTGGATGCAGCAAAGGAGATGTCAACACTTCAAGAAGAGTGGAGAGGCTTGTGATCTAACCACAGACTTTCCAATCAGAAGACAAGGTGCTGTACCGCTAATCCACAGCTGCCAATAGCTAATACAAAAGTCTGAGTGCCTCTAAGATAAGATAAACCTGTAGTTGGGAAATCTGCAGTATGAACAGCAGCATAGCAGACAAAGACAGAGATGAACACATAGCACATGAAGTAAGATAATTACAACAAAGTGAAAGCTTTAGTGAGTTTTTTGACAATTATCAAACAGACTAAAATTCATATTGATAAGGGTTGGGTATCTTTTGATTTTGAGCGATTCTGATTCCAATTCCAATTCCGATTCCTCGTTTGGATTCCGGTTGCTATCGATTCTCTATTCCGATTCTTTAAAAGGCAGGATATTTAAAAAAAATGCATGGTTTAAATGAGGGTGCTAACCAGAGCTCTACTTTTTGGATAAAATTTCTGAACTTCCTCATGAATTTTTAAATTATATTAACTTTTTAAGAACTTTACTATGAATTTCTCACAGGTCTATTTTCAACCAGTATATAAATATCAATTTTTGTTTTCAGGTCGTTTGTCTATGAAAAAGTACAAGGCCTAACATTAGTTGGATATTTAAGTTGACCCACCGTACACTTTACAATTTGTTTGCCGTTTCAATGTTAGCAGAGGACAGAAGTAATTTATTGTTTCACTGATCTGATCCTGACTGGTTAGCGGAAGACCAGCTAACCATGTCAAAGACGGGCACTCAGGTATTTCTCCTCCATGAATCCTGAGGTGTTTAATCATGTTGGTCGTTTACCCTCCTTTGCATGATATAACTGTGTTGCTAATGTTGCACTGAGAGAAGAGTTCATTCTTCCTGCTCAAGTCAGCCAAACTTTTGACCGCTGCCACTGTGGGTTGCAATGCACTCTCTCTCTCTGTCTCTCTTCTTTCTCTCTCTCTGTGGCTTCGTCTCATACGCTTCGTCCTCATTGGTGTTCGGCGACTTCATCTTCGTTGGTGTTTAGCGGCGTCTTCCTCGTTAGTGTTTGGCGGCTATTTCTTCCGGTCGGCTGACTCCGGCATCGAAACTTGGAATCGAAATTTTAAAATTTGAACGATTCCGGGAGAATCGAAATGTTAGTCCTGGTCCCCATCAATGCTCGAGACTTGATGTCCAACCCTAATATTGATGCCTTTTTATAATATGCAAAAACAAAAAATGATTATCAGTTATGAGACTGATGATATTAATTTTAAAATATTAAGTTACAAACCAGTGCAGGGGGGTAGGTGTCAGCTAAGCAGCTGAATAAACTACCTTTTTTTTACTAATTCTTACACAAATATTCACAGTAAATGATATATTTGACTGTAAAAAGTCAACAGGATGAGGTCTTTTGTCAAAAGTCAGGACTCCAGCATGTAGCATTCGAAGTAAGTAAAGACCTCTTGACCACAAGGGGCACCAAAGTTGACATAAACCAAAGGTTCCTCATGAGGGCTTTAATTCTGAAAAATAAAAAAAGGTTCAGTTGAGTTGGAAAGTTTGATCCTCAAGAGCTTCCCCCCTTCTTCCTCTCCCTTAGACTTTGAAGTTGTCCTTGTATTTTTTTTTCTTTTTTTTTTTTTTTGGAACAGGTAATCATCATTCCATAATGAAAGGGGGTGCACTCTAAGTAATAACAAATACTCTCTTGACAAGAGTATGCTATTCAGGTGCTTGTGTTAAATTTGCTCATAACCTTCGAGACGTTTGCTCTGTCTTTTAATTTTTGCAATCTAAAGTGAACATGCTCACGTGAAGAGAAATAACCCTGCTCTGTACTTTGTCTGAATATATCAGAGACTCAAATCAGGTATTAGGGAGGAGATTTGCTCACAGTTATTCTCCAGCCTTATTTCTCTAAATCACATCACTTATTTAAAGTCTGCTTCTCCCATTGCAGCTCAGAACTGTTCTTTATAAACCTTTAAACCTTAAAAAGAGGAATTGCTTTCCTCCTCAATCAATATCATAATGGCCCTTTTTGATAGAGAAATAGATTAAACAAGTTCTTTCACCCAATAGAAATCTGTTAGGATGATTGCGCTTTCTTGAAGAAGAAGTGAGCACATGACTGAGCTTTGTCACATTGAATAGGGGGATGGCAGCGGTGGGGTGGAAACAGAGAATTTGTTGGCTGGGTGAGTGTACCTTTTTTCTTGCTTGAGCCCTGCCTTTGGGGATGTTTTTGCATCTCTGAGTGCAAATCTCAAAGGAAGAAAATACTTTTCAAGGACCCTCCAAATGTCTCAAACCCCTAAATGATGGGTGGATAAGGACACAGAGATGATTCAGGGACCATGGAGGTTGTTTCATCATAACACTCGGTAACATGGTCATTTATTGCAGTTTTTCATCCCTACAATATCAGCACCTCCCAAATTATGGTTCAGAGTGTAAAAAGCAAGAGGAATACAAAGTAAAGACTGACCAGCTTTATGTTTGCTGAAGTAAGATTGTTTTGTACCTTGATTCAAAATTCTGAAATGGATTTCTGTAGGTTTGTGAATTAAGTGAGGATGTTAGAATTCTTCAGGCTTTAATGGACATGAACAGTGGATCATTTTGTTATAAGGTGACTAGTTTGATGCCTATCTTTCAAACTTGACCCCAAATAAGACATGAAATCAGTCATAGGGCTCTATTTTCGTGCCTCGCCGGAGACGTGCCGCCTGGTTGCTGTTCTGTGCGCGTGCAGCTGTTCACACATAAAGCGTTTTCTGCTGCGCTTTGCCGGTCAGACATCGACTGGCAGTGCTCGGCTGTTTCCATCTGCCCTCAGTTTTCGAGCGCTTTAAACATGGGTAAGTCAATATTTATCTATGATTTTATTACGTCATACATAAATTAAATATTGACAGCATCTTCAAGTATTGTTTTAAATTATTATATAGGGTTAAACAATGAATGAATTGGGGAGTCTGTTGACTCCATTGTATGTGTAGCCTTGTTAGCTCGAGGCTATCGATTGTAATAAAGTGTCTAAACGTACTAATTTATTTGGTTTTGTAGTGTGTGTGTGTGTGTGTTTGTGTGCGTGCATGCGTGTTCATCGGGAAAAAATAGATCGACAAGCAAAACCATAAATCCTTTTTTTCTACTTTATTGAATTTTTTTTTTATTTTGAAAAATTGGCCGGATTCTCGAATTGGCCGGAGACTTCCTGTCTGGTCCGATCTGCTCTGTCATGCTTTACAATTAGCGCATGCGGCTAGCGCAAAAAATAGAGAGAAGCGGAGCGCGCGCGGGGGAGCACTGAGTGGGTTAGAACAGCCGAGACCTGTATTGACCAATAACATCAGCTCCTCTCCTCGCCTTGAAATCCGCCACCGGCGAGGCCTATTACAATTTTCGTGAAGTAGTCTAAGAGATCAAGAGATGTCTGAAGACAGAAGGCAGCCCCTCAACAAGTGTCACTGTAAGAACTGCAGAGGACGTCCTTCACAACATAAGATCACAACATAAAATCCCAAAATGGCATTGAAATCGGAACCATCTGTGCGTATCGCGCTCTGTGGCCTGGCTCTTTCTTTCTTAGATGTTGGCATATAAAATAAATTTGGCTCACAAAACTGAATACTATAATATTCGGATGTAGGGTTAAAGTAAAAAACTCATCTGATCACTGAAACAAATCATCAGTTCAGCCGCAGGATGGGGAGAGGACACGGAGACATGTCCAGGTCCAGCTGCGCAAGAAATAAGAGGAAGAGGAAGAAAGAAAAGGAGGGAGACGAATTACATATCTTGTTAACTTCATATGTGTCTATTTACTAGATATTTAATTTAATAATTTAATGCAGTTTCAGCTGTGTTGATTCTGTCAGGTTGTGTGTCCAAACGCGTGCCAAATGCGCTCATCAGATCAGATATAGATCGGAATATATCTATATAGATCTAAATGTATGTGCTGACTCAGATTATTAGTTGTTAGCCTCACCGGTGAACACGAAAATAGAGCCCATAGTGCTTAGGGATTCAATCAAGTGATGTAAAGCCTTCATTGAGTCTGAATAAAAGTATTGACAAAAGTCCAAACTCTGTTATTTTAGTTCATTGTTTCATTGGCCTTTTAAACCTTTCCTGCTGATCCACATCCGTGTATTCCTCAGTAATGATTGTGTACCTGCTTGGGAGGATGTTTGAAATAATATAATAAGAGTTGTTAATCATCTCTACAATCTCAGCCACGTATGACATCAATTTTGCCAGTCACTGAAACCAGCAGAGTTGGAACGGCAGCAGGGAAGTTCCTCCACTGTTATAATCATGTTGTAATTAGGCTGAGACTTGTACTCATTATTTATTGAAGAACCAATCCCATTAATTATGACTTACTTACTTTGTAGGAATCATGCCAACCCTGAGCTTTCCTTTGTGTCTTGTTCAAAATTGTCTGACAGGAGGCAATTGTACCCCAGACAGGGGAAATATTACCTCCTTATTGAGGCTTGATACAAGTCTTTTCAGATCTCCCAGTGTGCTTCTGCAGCACAACTGGGCAAAAACTAATCTCAGCCTGTATAGCAGGGATTGAGGCATTGTCCCCAAGCACAAATTTGCTGTTCTGTTTTGCATCTGCATGCGCTTTTACAGGATGCTGTGCAGCTCTCCTGCTATGGATATGAGATTCTGTCGGTCTTGGACTATACTCACATCACATTGTTTAAGAATGTGTGTGTTTTTTAGCCTGAAGTAAAAAGTCTTCTCATTCATCATCTTTTACAGATTGTCCTTTAGCGATCTTAATTGTCACACTCTGAGTTGAAAGCAGCACAGCATTGGCTCAAGATTTCAGTTTCTGTACATTTCACTGGAGGTTCCTGTGCCATCTCAAAACTTAAAGACTCTCTGCCATCTGCCCCCTGCCTTATGGTGCCACTCTAAAAGAGCATATTTCAACTCTCTCCACGTGTTCCACCTGTTTCCTCAACATGGTAACTGCCTGCAATAGGGACAAACTCTCTCAAACCTCAACAGCAAAGCCATTACACGGAGGGCACACACCATCGCACTTGGCTCCAGACAGCCCCTCAGCCCATTTTTCTTGACTCCACCTCCATCTGGTCAAAGAGCCTCAGCCGGGATAACACATACCATCATGTCATTTGCTGGTGTGTTGGTATGGGTGTGCAAATATGGACAGAACATATAAGATGCCTTGAGTTATGCCCTTGCACCATGTTTATGCAGCATTTACACATGTGATGATTTCAAAAAGTCACTGTGACAGAGGCTACAGAGAATCTATATACAACATGTCCCGGGTTTACAGAATCATTAGTTTATTTGCCAAGCTTGCATGTGGCTTAATGAAAATGAACTCATACAAGCTGATTTGTGAATCTGGCTTTGCTCAAAAACTCTCTTCAAACAATTCTGTACATCTAGTTACATTGATCTAGGGTGTTTGAATATACTTGCTCCTGCTGTTGAGTTTTATGGCAACAGCAGGACTTCAGAACCAATGTACATTAACATGAAGCTGAAATTATTGTTTTAAATGAAAGGAAGAACTGCGACAAAAATGCAAAATCAGCCACATGAACAGCAACACACAAATACAAAGGATAGGTGCAAATGAAAAATGCTACAAATCAGTATGTGACAACTCAACTTTCCAAGGCAAGCTCAGAGGAAGAGTTTATTAGTAATGGGAAAAGTTTTTTGCAAAGCTTTTCTTTGCTCATTCTCGACCTAACTTATGACAACACTCAGTGTATCTAAACTTTGGTATGACTAGCCACCACTCAGAGACAGGTTCTCAGTCAAAATTGTGTTGCTATCTTATAACACTGTTTTTGCACATTGGTCAGTGGGGTCCGGTCCTCAGAGACAGTTCTCTTGCAGTATTGTTACTGATAAAAAGAAAAAGAAAAAAAATAATAATAATAGTAGTTATAATTTCCCAGTCTAACTCATTCTCTCTTGTCAATAACAAACTGATTGAAACTGTTGTACAGTGTCCCCTTCAAGCCTGGGGCACACAGGGTTTTACTTTTGCATGTGTTGAGTATGTTTTGGATTTGAACTGTCAGTTTTTGCTGCTGAGATAAGATCTTTATTGTTCATTCTACACTCACAACAACAGTACAAGGGTGAGTTTTTATACAACTAACCTTTAACTTTAAATTCAGCCTTTGAGTACTGGGGCATGGTCACCTTTAAGTGATGGCTGAAGGCTGCCTGACTCCATTTCAGACACTCAACCCTCAGCCATGAGTTTGCTGTCTTTTAAAAAAAAAAAAATTCAATCAGTTTTATACAGATGATGTAGCTGTCTTTGAGGTTTCTGGCCCCAACTGGCTCTCTGCACTACAGCTTTTAGTCGGGGTGAGATTTTTTCATTATTGTGTTTATGTTCTTGCTCTAGTTGGTATATTGCACTCACTACACAGCTTGTTAGCTCCTTCAGTGTTCGCTGTGCTTTTGTTGATTTTTCAGCCAGTTCACAGGAGCAAGAATTTTAGTTGGTCCTTTCCTGGAGAAATTACGGTGACCAGGAGAGGAAAGTTGCATGTTGTCCGCCTGCTGCTCTCAGATGGTGGTTTTGGAGAGCAACAGCTGGTCCACTACAAGCTCTTACAGTCACTTCAGGCTGATTGAAAACAACTGCAGTCAGCATGAAAACTCACTCTGTGTGAAACCCAGAGGTTATCTGGCTCTTGGTTTAGCTCATGATTTAACCAGGTTTGATTCTGAAGTATGAAAAACTTGGTGTTTGGCAAGACTTTCCCACAAATATAAAAACCTCTAGCCCCAATAAATCAACATGGCAGAGACCAAGGGTCAAACTTGAGGTTTACAAGTGGAGAAACCAATAGATGATGCCATTGTGGTCACGTCCATCATATGCAGTCTCCAGTCAGGGCCCATACACTTTGTTTCCAATAGTTGCATGAGGTGTTAAGTACAGACCTACAGTATACTGAATCTTAAAGAATTGACTGATAATATGAACAACTGCAAACTGTGCCATGCAAATTCTACTAACTTGTAGTATCATGTGCATTGAAGATGGGAAGTGGTGAAACTGTATACTTAAATTGCAAACATATACACCTTTAACACATGTTTAAAACATTAAACCCATGTCATTCATCAAATCTCTGACAGTAAGGCAGATGGAAAACAGCTAGAAATTAAACACACAGATGTGCAGCACAGAACTATGATAACTCAAACTAATCTGATGTTTTCCTACATCAATTATACAGTTTAAATCACTGTTTTATATCTACACTTTTTTATCCCTCTTTTATCCCTCTAAAATGAAACACATTTAGTCAAGTGTGCTGTAATTAAACAAAACCAGCTAACAGAGGAAGAGAAGCCCAGGCTCTGCCCTGTTTGGATGAGGTGAGTACTTGAACCACTTCCATGAAATCTCATCCTCAGGGGGCATCTTCAGAGCGCATACTTGTATCTGCATGAAGCAGGTACGGAGACCTGATAGTGATGTGGAGTAAACCCCAGCTGTGACATACATGAAGTGATCCAGTCAAGCTTGAAACGAGAACACAGGTCAATGAGTGAGAACAGTGACTGCTGCAAAGTGGACATGTCAGCAATTTAGCCCACTCAGGGCGATGGAGAGGATATCACCCCCCATGAAATACAGGTCAGTAGATATGAGGCACTTAGAATTAGGTGCACTTTAGCAATCAGCCAGAATGGGCACTGGAATATTTAAAATGTTTAGGAAAAATATTAGTACAAGTAGTTAGCCCTGTACTGATCCCATTACTTTGATTTATGACTTACTGCTGTTGCACTTTCTTTGTATTATGGCCCTGTTTAATGCAGGTACTTTTTCTATTTAGGAATGTTACGGTATTCATCTCTACTTTCACACACCGATGACAGTTGTTTCCTTTTTAATTTCAAGAAGAAACAAAAAAACTGCATTTCTTCACTTCAGATGGAACACTTTGCAGTGTTTCCTATGTCTAACTTTGTCATTTACCTTCATCGTCAAATTTAGGTGGATACAGCAGATGAAAATAGATAAACAGACAAATAGAGCCGCAAATGAATGAGAGCTGCTGTGCCCTCTCATGGTGCGACAGTTAGTCATCTATTTTGCATCTTTCCAGAGCTGTCAGTCACACTATTGGCTTTCTCGCAGCTCTCCTCCTTCACGACAACTCTTGGCAGCTTGAAGTCCTGCCCGGGCCAGAGAGTTTGTGTTTGAGAGATTGTGCTCCACATGATAGATGCAGATTTGCTGTTCTCGTAAGAGAGAGAGAAAGACAGAGAGAGAGAGAGAGAGAGAAAGAGAGTGGGGTTGAATGTCAGAGGGTCGACTCCACAGTGCAGGGATGCCTGTGTGTTTACAACATACGTGTGCTGGTCCCCTGGTGTTTAGTTGACAAGTAAGACAAGCAGGTGAGGTTGGAATTATTCAACCCGTCTTTGTCTCTAAAGATTGAGGAAATATTCCTCTTGTGTTCACCCCCCTTGTTTTCTTTCTGACTCCATTACTTGTAGATTTCTAGACATATCATCAATCAGGGTTTCTTTAAAAACTGAATACATTTGCTTATATTGTATCTCATGGATCCAAAGGCTCCATGTTCGTATCTTTTATCACACCTCAAAATGAACAGATGATTGATAAAGACTGTTGTCAAGCAAAACAACCAAAAAGCTTTGTGTTAATTTTAAAACAATGTGGCTATCAGTCAGTAAATGAAGCTGCTTTCCCTGTTGGCTGAATCCGTGTGAGGGCTCTGGGTTTTGTTCTGAAAAAGCAGAGAGCAGCTTTACACCGGCTCACTGGAGCTTATCTTCAGATGGCCTTGAACAGAAAAGTGTTTGTTTTAGAACATTTGGAGACAAAAGCAGATGATTTCTTTGTTGAACATAATGACAGGCTGACACTGTCAATGCATGCTGTCGGTCAGTCCATATATGTACATCTAACCATGCATAGACACACTCTAAAACAAATAGAGCATGTGCTGCAGTGCTAATACTATATTTGAATATACTTGTGTGCACGACACTGATTTGTCCCATTTTAAATGCACAGTTGAGAATACATCCATGCAGCGACTTAAAGCATGACGAAAGTGATGCTGTAATTATCATCCATCTATCTGCAAAACAGAATCTGCATTTTAAGCACTGTGTTTTCTTCCGAATTCATTGTAATGGGAAGGAGTGTTGAAATGCATCATTATACAGAGAAAGGCAATTTTACTGTCTCTAAAGACTCAAATAGCAGGTACAGAGAAACAAACAGCAAAGCAATTTGTTCTGGCCTAGCTGTAAAAACGTGCACAGTTTTGAATTACTTTGCAGCCAATGCATCATAATGAACTGTACCCAACTCCTCTCAAAAAAGAGAGCTATTAAAGAGTGTGGAGAAACTCCACGTCAGGAAGTAATTTGCTTGTAGGGAGCCTGGAAATTAATTTTAAAACCTTTGCTTACAGGCCAGAATTGCTGTTGTTAACTTTGTCTGGCACTGTTCAAGAGGGCTGGGAAAGCAAGCAAGAGTTTATCTTCAAAAAATACAAGCATAACTTGCAGTTAACCCCTCTGTGGAAATTTAGAAATTGGTCAATGGCATAGCTGTAAACCTTGTTATAGAAGAACTGCATAAAAAGAAAACATGTAGGAAGGTACACTTTAAAGGCAATATGTCTGTTTTTGAGAGAATCTGTTTATTTAGTACAGCTTTTAAACAACACACCAATTATTCATGTGAGTATACTTTGTAAACTGTGGAAAAATAATCAGTTGAACCTTCAAACTAAACCTAAAAGGTGACTCAGTCTAGTGAAGGGATGGCTGTTGCCCACACCTTGAATGAAGTAGTGAAACACTACTCATCACATGCCCCTGCACTACTCCATGTTACTCTCTCCTACATTAACACCACATAAGATGCTTAGTGTTGCAGTGTCTATGAAAATGGCACACAGTTTCTGCTACGTTGTATATCTGGCTGTTTTAAAAGTCTTGTTGAGCTGATATCAAATAGTATAAAGTCTGAATTCTTGCTGTGTAAATATAGAAAATCCTTTTCCCTTCAAAAAGGGACCCTGGAAGTATTCCTAGTAAATTCTATTAGCAGTCACTTTGCCATGTGGAAGGGTTAAGTGAGCAGAAATCTCTTATCACAGTCAGCTGACATACAGCCTTGCCCACCCGCCTACCCCCTGACCAGCCTCCTGGGAATCATACGGTCTCAGTAGAAACCTGACAGTCAGGGTTTGGCTGCCTCTCACCACATTAAGAAAAAGTACTGTACTTCTTGTGTTTCTATAGCAACAGTTCTCACTCATGTCTTCAGGATACCGAGCAATGCGGAGAGTGTGAAGGGGAACTGCAATGACAGACATACCTGAGCATTTTAATTTACTCACAGAGTCTGCTGGTTAATTAGTAGCAGATAAATATACAGAAAATTGCAATAATGACAGTTATGATTTTGTACTAATATCTTTGAGTGATTTCTATGGACTTTAAACACATGATCAGAGCCTCTAGGAAGTTGAAAAGCTCCATCAAGGCTGTCAGGTGCTAATAAAAGACCTCAGGGTGACCATATCAATAACAAAGCCGATACAGGTCAAGATTGACCGTCAAAGACAGAGATGACTCATCTGCAAATAATCAGTTGATCAGCTTAAAGTAAAAGCCGCGTGGCTTTAAAGAAAGTGTTCCACAGGAATTAACTGCAGTCAGAGTCAGAAATGCAAACGTCCCCCCTTTGAAAACTCACTCATTTTATCTGCAGTGATTTCTCCTGTTGTATAAGTGTTCTTGTCCTTGGCTGCATTTTGTTGCTTTTAAGTAGGCTAAGTCCTTTCTCTTTTGTCAATCTTCAGTCCTACCCTTCCCTCTCTCACACTCTCTTTTACTCTCAATCTCTCTCTCTCTTGTTCCTCCTTTCTCTCTTTCTTCCAGGTGTTGAGTGAGCGACAGAGGTGATGTGATGGGAGAGCAAGCAGGCAGGATGGATCAGAGCAGACAATCCTCTGCACACTGAATCAACTGGATGCCACAGCATAGATTTTAGACAGGTAGGACGGAATTTTTACTCAGTTTTAGGAAACTTTTGCAGTTCAAAAGGAGCATTTTGAATAAAAGGGAGAGCATTGCCAACCTTTCATTGTCAAAAATCCTTGAACACGTACTCAGAATCAGATATCTTTGAATGAATAAGTTCTTTTAGTCCATTTTGGTATGTTCAAGCTAAAGATTTAAGTAAATAAGTTCATGTCTTTGACTGTTCCAGGGGAAACAATAGGGGTGAAGGTTAATTCATCAGGTGAGTTGAATAGCACTAGAAGGTTAATCAATAAAAATCCATGCTGATTAAAACTTGATTAAACAAAAGATGTTGAATCTAAATGTTTTGTTTTCTGAGATTAAAAAAAGATCAAATTTTCCCTAAACTCCTCTCTGTCTAATCCACATCCCTCTCCTTCATTTTCTATGCAGAATGGATTTCCTCAATTACACAGAGGGGGTGTTTGCCACAAACACTAGTGGTAATGACTCACTAGAGACCACTAAACTCCCATCCAGTAAAGTCCTGCTGACAGTGACACTTTCTATTGTGGCTATCCTGACAACATTCTTCAACTGCCTGGTCATTACTGCCATCGCCGTCACTCGCAAGTTGCACCACCCGGCCAACTACCTCATCTGCTCATTAGCAGTGACTGACCTGCTGGTGGCTGTGCTGGTCATGCCCTTCAGTATCATGTATATCCAGAAGGAGACCTGGGTTATGGGTCAAGTTATGTGCACCATCTGGCTGAGTGTGGATATCACCTGTTGCACATGCTCCATCTTGCATCTCGCTGCGATCGCCATTGACCGATACAGGGCCATTACTGATGCAGTGGAGTACTCCCGTAAGCGCACAGGGGCCAGAGCTGGAGCCATGGTGGCAGTGGTTTGGCTCCTGTCCATACTTGTGTCTCTCCCTCCATTACTGTGGCGGCACTACAGTGAAGATGGAGAGCTGGAAGACCAATGCATCATCATCCATCATCACTTGGCCTTCACCTTATACTCCACCTTTGGAGCATTTTACATCCCCCTGCTGCTCATCCTCATCCTCTACTATAAAATCTACAAGGCTGCTCAGACCCTTTACATGCGCAGGGAGGCCAGCCGGGCCAGCCGCCACTCGTGTATGACCAATGGAAGTATGATTCCTTCATCCTTCCCAGCTGGAGATGGTGACATTGATGGGGGGCCTCGAAGTCCAGAGCCCGTAAGCCCACCTGAAAAGTCTTATTCTGAACCTTCAACTGAAGAAACCCCACGTGAAAAGGTGCGGGCGTCAGTAAAGGCTTTCAAGTGCAAGACACGCCGGCCTGAGTCGCGCACTGAGTCACGTCGGAGTCAGTTTTACCAGGGACCGCGGATCTCAGGCTCACGGGAGCGCAAAGCGGCATCCACGTTAGGTTTGATTATTGGAGCCTTTGTCATCTGTTGGTTGCCGTTCTTTGTCAAGGAGGTGATCGTCAACACCTGCGGCTCTTGCAGTACTTCAGTGGAGATGGCTGACTTCCTGACTTGGTTGGGCTACCTTAACTCACTGATCAACCCCCTCATCTACACCATATTCAACGAGGACTTCAAAAAAGCTTTCCAAAGACTTGTTAGGTGCAGTAGTTACCTCTGATGGCTACGATCATGAATGACCACACTCACACATAGTCCCATGTAACTGGAGGGGACAAATAAAAGATAGTCAGAGATTCCGAACTGCATTCTGACCCAGTGTTGTTTGGAGAAAAAAGACAGAGAAGATCAACTTCTGTCTCCAAATGCTACTCCAGGGTAACGGCCTACATGGAACCTGCTCTGCAGTGGGCGTTGCTGCAGAATTCCACACTGAAATTCCACCATTATGTGTGTTCCATGTAATGACCTCCTTTATAGTCCACACTGCTAGCTGAAACACAGAATATGTATAAAATCTCCACAGCCTATGAAGATGTGACTGTCTGTGTGTCTGATGTTATGAAGGGACTTTTCTTTGATTGACTTACACAATGTTTGTTAAAAAAAAAAAAGGAAAGGAAATGGTTGTGACTGTGCATCAAGTCATGCTTAGCATTCCAAAAAGTATCAGATACAAATTTGTAGATTGTTAAAGCTCTGTGTGAGGTGATGGTTATGATACTGATTTAATTCTGGATATATTCCCGACCTTCCATAAATTTCTTATCATACCAGTTTCTAAATGTTGACATTGACAGAATGCCTCCAATGTAAAGATAATATTTTGAATCTTGGAGCAATTTATTAAAAAAAAAAAGAGTAATGATCAAAACATACATGTACGGACCAAAATAAGAATCCAGCTTTAAATGTCAAAGTTTCCACTTGAGGGGAAGGCTGGGGTGTTGAAGATAAAGGTTCTATGCCACTGCCACTTTAACTAGTGTTTCTGCACAACCTCTTACGTTTCTTTCATACCGTATTTAATTATTTATCTGTTGTGGAGCCATTAAACAGCCCATCCCATCTTACTTCAGTGACATAGCCAGCATTAGGTTAATGAATGTGAAAACCACTGGTGGAGAAATCCTCATTACATTAATCCCACTCAGTACTTGAAATAGAACGACTATTCCTTTACTGCCTCCAAGAGGGCACATGAAATGTTGATAGAAATGTTGTGGATGAGTCAAGTGTGAGGGTGTACTGTATCCCAGAGAGATAACACATCGTGTGTAATATACTTACATACATCACTTACAGTATGACCAGTATTTGTATACTGTTACTTTCTTGTCTCTCATTGTCTTAAGAATCAATAATAAACAGTCCACAAATGAGTCATGACAACCCTTTTTTCAGAGCTCATAATGTGATGTTACTGATATGGGAAGAATGAGTTTTTTTGTGTGTATGTAGAGAAAGATGGCAAATTTAAGTTTACAACTCAGATGTAATTGGGGTGAATAGTGAATGTTGATATTTACCAAAACCTTTTGTGTCAGTTTGTCTATTAAATGTGGATGTTATTTGTCTCAGTCTGATATAATAGCCCCACCCTGTGGTCAGCAGAAAGACTGCACTCATCAAACTGGACCTATTCCCACTAACATCACTGACATACACAATACTATACACAATACGACATATTTATCATTTGGTATACTGATCAAATGAATATAAGTACCTTCAGAAAATATTCCAAAACAGCATGTCAAAGATTTAAAAAGTGCATGATTTTATGGAAGCTGATATCATATCAACCCCCTTCATTATACCCAAATGTTACCCAACCCACGAGACTGTTCAAGCACTAAGGTTCAATTTTTTCCCTCTTAATCTGAAATGGATTTGGAAAATTTAAAAGCCACATGCTGTCTTTGGAAAAATCAGATGAAGAAAAAGTGATGGAAGAAAGATGTCCCCCTTAATCCCATCATTATGAACCACCTTTTAATTCCTTATTACAGTTCTTATGATCACACCAGAGCTGACAGTAAAGTCTTTCTTTTAATACACAGGCTCTTCAATTTACCCATCAGTCAGGATCTTCCCCAAAAGGGCCATACGGGTGGAAGTTCATGCCATCCCTCATTCATTAAGGCCTCTATGCAGAAAAACTGAGCAGTAGGCGTTGAACAAGGATGATGGAAAGCAGGGCTTCCCACTCATGATTCTTGCTGGTTATAATCACTGCATCAACACATGAATACCAAGAGTAACCACGAACAGAAACAGAGCCAGGAGCTTTGCAATGTTGCACAACAGTTTCACCCCTGTATGATGAGCAAATCAAAGCTTCTACAGACTTTGTAATAAAAAACTGATAAGTTACAAGAGCAAAGGGCAAATGCCTGTCTTCATACAGACTGAGTAGTGCTTCCACATACCCACTGGGTCCACCTCTTTTTTGACAGGAGCTTGCTTACCTGTCCGTAGCTCACAAACAACTGCAGCAGCAGTAGCAGAGTGTGCACTCCCCAGACAACATCAGCACAGGCACTGTGGGCACCAACAAAGGCTTCTGCCTTCATCTGTCATGCTGAGGAGACAGGATGCCTACAGCTGAATCATCCAGACTTTAAAAGAACTGTCAGTGTTCTCAGGGGTGCAGATTTTTTGCCCCTAGTGCCTCCTAAAAATGTACACAGCCATAAACTACAGGGATTCTCTGCACAGGGAAATCTTTCTAGTAATGACTTTAGATTGACGCACAAATTTAAGAGACAATTGCCAATTAGGTGAAATTGACTCTTCAGATGTAACCCTGGAGCCAAAGAAACACCAGATTTCACAGAGGTAATTTTGACATTAAATCAATGATAATTAAATTCCATTCAGCTGCATCAATGTCAGCTCCTGCTACTGTTCATGTTGGGTCAAAGTCAATCATGGGGAACTCCAAGTAACTGTAAGTGTTGTAAGTACAGTAGTAGTGGTTGTAGCTGTGTATGTGCGTGTGTCTCAAGACAAGATAAAAGTTAACATTTATCTTATTTATGATATTATTTATCAGTGTATCTTACTTAACCATGAGCAAGGCACTTTGCAGCAGAAAGAAAGGAAAAACCTTCCTTGAACGGACAGAAACCTCAGGCAGAATCAGACTCAGGTGTAACAGCCACCTGCCGAGACTGTGTTGGTATCGGAAAGCGAAGTAGAGGGAGTTGCAGATCAAGTGAGATGGAAAGAGACTGAGAGCAACAACAAACATCAACAACAAATGTTAACATCTGCTCTTTGACTTATGGTTATAGTGTCAATAATAATGGTAAAATGATGTGTTGTATTTGCTGGAACAACAAATTATTTACAGACTGATCTTGAAAGGAAAAAAGATCAGTGAGTGTGCATACCACTTTATGTCCCCGTTAATATGTTCAAGTGATATGCACAAACACACACATCACTCATGCATCCCATACAGCCACCCTCACAATGTTACAATCCAATTTTCAAGAAGCCATCAGCTCCCTAACCTGCACCATGCACCCACACCAAAGCATTCCTGCAAAGAACACATGTCACGGTCAGGAGTTAAACAAAAGAGGAGGGACCCAAAATGCAGAGCAAAAAAAGATTTTTTAAAAGACCGAAATAAAAAGCAACAAAAACTTACTTTTAACGCTCAACTGAAAAATTTCCGAAGGCTAAAAAACACAAGAAGAAAACTCCAAAGAACCAAAAATCACACCAATAAACATACCAACTAGGACAGAAGGGAAGACTATACACACTGGGAAACGAGCAACAGGTGAGGTAGATGAGACACGGGTGAAACTCATGAGTGATTAACAATGAAGGGAAGACTAGGGAAGTAAAACCAGACAGGAATCAACTACTACAAAATAAAACAGGAGAGAAACAGGGTTAAACACGAACTGAAAACTCACAAGGCAGGATCACAGGAACAATAGGGAACAGAAACACTAGGGAAAATACACAGAATGAACTCAAATAAAAGGAGGAACATATCTGAGCAAAACACATGACAAAACAGAGGTTAGAAATATGAAATCAAGGTTATTTTCAATTGGGTTTATTTTTTTTATTAAATAAAAATAATTAAGTGGTGGTGAGAGTTGGATTTATTTATCTGCTTAAGTATTTCTGTGTAAAAAAGAACCCGTTTGTATGAATCTGAGCTTTTAGAGAAGCCCCTCTATTTTTTAATACCACTCATATGTGGACATATAAATCGGATAAAAGCAGGAAAACTGTTACAAAGAGCAAAAGACTGCTTGAAAAGAGTTTTCCTTTCATTGGCACAGCTTATTTGATTAAATTCAGAGGTAGAGGTTGCTGGCAGAGACTATGGTTGCTAGATTGAGAAGTCTCTTTCATACTGTACAGACGGAGTTTAGGTGTTTGTGCGTGCTACAGGCTGAAGTAAGGGCATTGGCAGCTGCTGTTGAAGAGAGGTTGGAGGTGGAGACGAAGGCAAAAGTCATCAGTCCTCAGTCATAAACTGCAAATGAAGACTGAGACGTGGCTCGAGTTGGAGGTATGCAAAGCGTGTGTGTGTGTGTGTGTCATATTGCAATGTTAGAAGTAGAGACGGTAACAACCAGACGCTAGAGTTGCAGTGAGCAGCCAAATGTGTAGGCAATGGACAACAGGTGGAGTCAGCATGAAGTATAGATGTCTTTCACTTTACAGGCAGAGGAGACTGATTGTTTCTGTCAGAAGTGGAGGTTGAAGTCAGTTGCTCATTGTGCTGTAAGAGTTTGCAAGGAGAAGGGTTGGCTATTAAGGTTGAAAGTGGCTGAAGTTAGAGACACAGGCCACCAGAATTTGTCAGAGACTTGAGCTGAAGGCATGGACTGCAGGTAGATGCAGCTGCAGGTTGTTAGTTGAGGCTTCAGCTGGAGATATGGGAGGTAGATGTCTTACAAATTAAATGAAGGAGGTAGCGACGGGTGTTTTCTAACAAACTGCAGGTGGAGACAAAACCTAAGGGTTCAAGGCAGAAGTAGCAGATAATTAGTAGTCAGCAGGTATGTTTGCTGTTAGAGGCTGCAGTTAGGGGTGCTTGGTAGAGACTGTAGTTGAAGGGATGACTTATTGCTGTCAGCCACTGGTTTCTGTAGATGGCATGGATATTAGTTTACTCATTGTGATGGTGGAGGAAGAGGCTTCTTGTGTGGTCAGCAGAAAATGCATAATGTTACAGAGGCCAAGGTGGTGTGCAGCAACAGAGGCGGCTGCAGTTGGAGTGGTCACCATTGGTTTTCCACAAAGGTTGGAAAGGTTTCTCACAAGGATAGTGTAGGGTGATACCTAAATTGTGTTGGCAGAGTTAGAATGTCGAGCTCAGTCTGCTGTAAGTAGCTGCAGGTAGAGGTAGTGCCTGCTGGTGTTCAGCAGACATTGGAGCTAAAAGCATAGACTGCATTTGCCAGTCTTGTGTTGCTGGTTGAGGTAAATGCATGCCAATGGTAGAAGTTCGAGCTGAAGTTTTTAGAATCAGTTTTTTTGCATGATACTGATGAATGTTGAGGCCAGTGTTTACCTGGAGAGGCTGATGTTGGAGACAGTAACTGGGGTTGTTGGCAAAGGTTTCAGACAGAATCAGTGCATCAAACTGCTTGTAGAGGCAGCAGTTGGCATTCAGTCAAGGTACAATTTATAGGCACAGATTAATAGTTTTATTATGCAGGTGGAGGCAACAGTAGCTTTTAGGCAGAGATATATGTAGAACACACTGGAAGTCTGTCTTTTATATTGCACAGGTGGAGCCACTGACTAATGTTGAAAGTTGCTGGCATCAACTGAAATGCCTTCAATTTAATTTTTCCTGCACTCAGAAGGGGAGTTTGATTTGTCTGTACAGAAAACCAAGTTTCTGCCCAAGTTTACTACTAAGGGCTCTATTTTCATGTCCGCCGGTGAGGTGATAGAGGGTGGCGGACCCCGCACAGCCAGTTTGGTATTTTCGTGGACTGAGACGCACCGAGGTCCGCCAAGCTTGGTGGCGTGGCAGAGGGAGGTATCAACAGAATCAGCGGGCGCAGTGACATTTTCGTGCTCGCTGGTGGCGTGTAAAGTGCACTGAAAGCTCGCCGATTCAAACCTGGTCAGCATTCAGCGCAGGTGGAGCACAGCTAGTCTAGTGGTATTTTGGTAGACCGGCAGCGCATCAGCATACTTTACCGATGCCTCACCGGCAGGTTTCCACAGTGTCAAACACATTACAGTGCAATAAATAATCATCAACAACTAATAATCTGAGTCAGCACATACATTTAGATCTATATAGATATATTCTGATCTATATCTGATCTGGTGAGCACATTTGGCACGCGTTTGGACACTCAACCTGACTGAATCAACACAGCTGAAACCGCATTAAATTAAATTAAATATCTAGTAAATAGACACACATGATGAAGTTAACAAGATTTGTAATTTGTCTCCCTCCTTTTCTTTCTTCCTTTTCCTCTTATTTCTTGCGCAGCTTGACCTGGACATGTCTCCTTGTCCTCTCCCCGTCCTGCTGCAGCTGCTGCGGCGGCAGCTGAACAGATGATTTGTTTTAGTGATCAGATGAGTAATCTACTTTAAGCCTACATACGAATATTATAATATTAAGCGGCAGACCTCACTTACGCCGCGCATGCGCCGCGTGCTAGGCGAGGCACGAAAATATGTCCTAAGCATAGACTGTATATACTATTGACAACTTGGTTCCGCCTACCGCCTGTATACGGATTTGAAGCCAAAAAGCTCACGATATTTCCCAGATTTTTCCCTCATTTCCTGAAACCATGTGCGATGCGCGCATTCGGCCGCACAGTCGCCGAGAGTTTCTGTGATGACGCTCGGCACAAACAGCGTATCCCCCGGATGAGCTACGCAATCCCTGAACGTCCATAGGCTGTATGAAGTGTCAATCATAGAAAACATGAACCTCCTAATAACTTTTAAAAATGGAGCTGTACAGAAAAAAGAGGACTTGAGCACAGACCAGTATGTCAACATCACAACCAGGGGGGAGAAAAATGTATGTTCTGTGTAATAAATTTCTGATGTTTGTCCACAGCCCCATAAGCTTTGCTGGCGGAGGTGGGGTTTATGACCTATACTGCAGCCCATCAACAGAGGGTGCTGTTTTCGGAGTGGCTTCACCCAGCAAGGAGGCAGACTCTGTCCATTCTATATTCAGTCTATGGCCCTAAGAGTCTAAATATGGTGCTTAAATGAGAACGATTCATTCAGGCAAATATCAAGATATTTATTTTCTTAAACCCTTTCAATACTGTTATCACTGAGTGTGGATATTTGAAGGCTGTTAAAGTCTACATCTCTAGCTCTGAAGAAGATGATAAAAAAAAAATCAATTTGCTTATGTTTAGAACGATCTTAAGAGTACTAAAAGCATTTTGGAGATGATTTTACTATTAAATGTACTGCAGCATGTCATCTACCAGAGCATGGTACAGCTGTTTGTACTCTTTCACTTAGTGGTGGTGGATTATCGGTGGACTTTCACTAAGCAGTTGACCTGTAGAGGGCTGGGAAATGGGCAGCATGGAGGAGATTGGCTGCAGCTCAGCCAGTGGAATAGTGGACTGAGGCCTCTGGACCAAAGGAAGAATGTCAGCAACATGAGAGCTGAGGACCAACATATGGGGTCAGCTATGCACTGGACTTTAGAGGACGGACAGCAGAAGTCCACTTTTCTCTTTTTGGACAGTCTATTAGCAGGGGCTGAGTGATGGAAGTCTATGAAGTCTAAAATAACTTGAGATCACTTTTTTATACCATCTCCTCTCCTCTTCTTTCCTCTCCATGGTCTTTCTGTCCTTTCCTGTCCTACAAAGAGGAAGAAAGGAAAGCAGAATTAAAAAAAAAATAATAATAATATCTTTTTGCTCTCTGTGTCTTATATTCTTGTTCTGGTTGTCACTTTCATTATTCACGTTGTCTTAAAAATACCTAACCCTTAAAAGATTTATCATTTAAACGCTTCACTAATCACAACTACACCAAAATTTAACTAATTAAATATCATCTGAGATACTTCCCCTTCCTCTCCTCTCCTCTCTATTATTATTGTTATTAAAAAATAATCTCTTGAGTATTTTTTTATATTATTGATATAAAGGACAAAAAACATGTAACTGCATGTTCTTTACATGTAACTCGTAACTTATTTACCTTTCCGTATGAAAGATCACATTCACATCATCCTCTGACTACATCCTCTTTACTCTTCCTCCTCTGCTTCCCTCTCTGTCTCTTTTTTTTCCTCTCCTTGTTTCTTTCTGGAAAACAAAGATGAGTCAAAAGGGGTTATGCTGAAAACAGCTCTGTTTATATCATTAAGGGGCTCAGTGGTAGAGTCTCAAAATCAGAAAGGTCAAGGGTTCTATCCCCTGCTGTCCACATGCTTGTCTAGGTGTTCTTAGGCAAGTTACTTGACCCCACCCACCTCAATAGCTTTACATCAATAACAAACAAAAATCAACTGGCTCCCAGCACTTCACAGAAAGCTTGTATGGTTGAGTGATTTTTTTTTCACCGTAGCTAACGCTATGTGAAATATAACAGTGCGCAATATATTCAATAGAAGAAACTCAAGTATAATAAAAAGCTACCGAATAACAATAATGTGAGTAGATTAAAGCAGTATTCACTATTGCTGCGGTTCATTAATAGAAATGAACTTTGATCATGACTGTAGATAACCTGTAGAATAGATATTTACCTTTATTTGTGATGGATGGACATTTCTACTGCCCGCCCTCCTCCTCTTCCCTTCTCTCATCTCCTCTCTCTTTCTCTCAATTCTTCTTCACGTTTCTACTGCTCACCTCCAAATAAATAGGAAGGAAGGAAGGACACCCCCTAAAATATATATATTTAAAACTTGGCGTTACAAGAAAAAAACGCATAGCTTTTCCAGACTGATTGATAACGACGTAAACGTTTTTCAATTAATCAATAAATTCGTTGCCATGATCTTATTTTCTTTAGCCTAATCGTTTGCTTCTAATCTCGGGGTTGCCACGTCGGTGGCGTTTGCTTTGGGCAATAGGGGGATGCTACATCACAAACCTGGCAACATTGACTATGCGCTGGATACAGCAGACAGTATGGCGGACAGCGAAAGTGATTTGGAAACTGACGGGCTTGAATTTGCCCTGGACACTTTGTGTATCAAGCATTGCAGCGACGTGTCGTCTCTCAAGAGTAAATCCTATTGCTCTGAGTTCTGCGAGGTATGTTAGACCCCTTTGTGTTTTAAGGCCATCCACTCACTGTCTGTTTATAGCCAATGCTACTAGCTCCGCTAGCTAACGTTAACCTCCAGACGAGCTTTATTTATGTAGTTGTGAAGCTAACACTCGAGTATAGCTCTCTGGAGGCTCGACAGGACAGGTCAGCAAAATGTATGTAGGCATAAACTGAATTATTAGCCATTGAAGCGTATTTATTAACTGGGTTATACGAGGAAGCAGACTGATAGCTGACAAAGCTAAGCTCTGGCTAATCATGAAAGCTAAGCTAATTGAAGGTAAACGGTGACATGGGGACTGTAACCAGGTGTTTCATCAAACTAACTTGATGTGGAGTTAGAAACAGGGAGGGGGGTACGAGGTGTAAAAATCCAGTTTATGCAGCTACTTGACATATTTTATTGCATTGTTAGTCTCCTGAAACCGTTGTCCGTAGAAGATATCAGGTGTTATCAGGTAATAAAGAGCTTTAAAGGTGAACAGAAGTCAACCCTAATAGAGTGTAGAATTTGGTATAGGTCTCGTTTTGTTAGCTAATACAAATTCTGTGATTTTACCCATTTTTCGTTTGTTTTGGAGAGATAGTTCAACCTGTCTGTTCATAATTGTGATGTGAATGTCAGACTCTTTCTCCTATACACTTACCAAATATGAAAATGTTTTCTCTCTGATGCTATTCTTGCATAGTTGGTTGAGGAGTACACAGGACAATGGCATGTTCCTCTCCCTCAGCTAAAAGTCCTGCGGACTGCACTTTGCAGCTTCACCAAAGCCACTGCTGCCTTCCCTGATGACTGTCAACATATCCACTATGTCCTCAGCAGTCTGGCCTTGTGAGTTGTTTATTTCAAATGAAGTTTAGTAACTTCAGTAAATTCAGCTAAAATGTTGTGACGAGTGAACCTTGAAGTAAATGTTAACCGGAGTCGTTAAAGAGGGATAATGTTTGTTGATGTGAAATCATACCTTTCAAAAATGAGCTTTTGTGAGGAAATTTTTAACCAACATCTTGTACCTGTGAAAAGTAAAAAAAAAAAAAAAAAAAACATACAATAATCAATTTGTTTATATTGCAATCATGTTTTTTGTTATTAATGAAGCATGTTGACTAAAACTTTTTGTTAGATTGGGAGTACAGATAATGTGTTTTACCTGACTGACAGGCTAAGTTGTTGCAGTGTGATCATTAAGAATAAGAATAAGAATGACTTTATTGATCCCCAAAGGAAAATTCAATTGTCTGTCATCTCATTTGTCATGTCTCTAAAAGTCATCTACTATTAGGGTTGGGTATCAAGTCCCGAGCATCGATGGGGACCGGGACTGACATTCCGATTCTCCTGGAATCATTCAAATTTAAAAATTTCGATTCCGAATTTCGATGCTGGAGTCCACAGACCGGAAGAAATAGCCGCTGAACACCAACGAGGATGAAGCGTATGAGACGAAGCCACACAAAGAGAGAAGAGAGACAGAGAGAGAGTGCATTGCAACTCACAGCGGCTGCGGTCAAAAGTTTGGCTAACTTTAGCAGGAAGAATGAACTCTTATCTCAGTTCAACATTAGCAACACAGTTACATTATGCAAAGGTGGGTGCACGAACCAACATTATTAAACACCTCAGGATTCATGGAGGAGAAATTCTAGAGTGTCCCGTCTTCGAGGCGCTTTGCTGATGTTGTGCCGTAGAATGCACCCCTGACAGGAGCGCGCTTGAAAGTACATAACAAGGTGAACTAAACCCAAGTTTTCCTTACCGTTGGACGGATTCTAAAGCGTGTGCCTTTAATGATTTCATTCAGGCTATTCCAATAAGCCGAAAACAATAGCCTTCTGATTCTGATATTTGCTGTCCCAAAAATATAATGTTCTCTACCATAACAGCTTACTGTACAGTTTATACACCCAAGTACACCTCTATATGTGCATTTTGGAGACACATAATAATAACAAAATGAAAGTTTGCTGCTCCATTTGACATGTTGTCATGATCTAACACTGTTGTTTTTTTGTTTTTTTTTAATATGAGATAATTTTCTTCCACTTTAAGAAGCTAATGAGTGGAGGGGATGCATTCTACGGCAGGGGTGCATTCTACAGCACAACACCGGTCTTCTGCTAAACAGCCAGAATCAGATCAGTGAAACAATAAATTACTTCTGTCCTCTGCTAACTTTGAAGCGGCAAACAAATTATACTGTGTACGGTGGGTCAACTTAAATATCCAGCTAACTTTAGCCCTTGTACTTTTTCATAGACAAACGACCTGACAACCAAAAATTATATTTATATACTGGTTGAAAATAGCCCTGTGAGAAATTCATCGTAAAGTTCTTAAAAGGTTTATATAATTTAAAAATACATGCAGGTGTTCAGAAATGTCATCCAAAAAGAAGAACATCATTTAGCACCCTCATTTAAACCATGCATTTTTTTTAATATCCTGCCTTTTAAAAGAATCGGAATAGAGAATCCATAGGAACTAGAATCGAAACGAGGAATCATTCAAAATCAAACGATACCCAACCCTATCTACTATTTACAGAAGAGTTGTAAAGTCTGATGGCTGTTAGAACAAAAGATCTTCTGAATCTTTCTGTCCTGCAGCGAAGAGAGAGGAGTTACTATATATCATTATTATTGTTATTCATCATTATTTATCTTATGTCACTTCCACTTGAATGGTCATTAAATGCAAAGGGTTTGATGAGTTCAAGCACATGTTCACTGTGAGTCTTTTTAGTGCAAACTAACATTCCCTCTTTTTACTTGCAGGAGTTTTTTCGAACTGCTGCTATTTTTTAGCAAAGAGGAATTTGTGGAAGAGCCTTTAAAGAACATCCTTGATTCTTTCAAGGTAAAAGAAAGTCCCTTGGAAACATCCTTTTCTTTCACTCAGACTTAAAAAAAGACCCAACTGCCTTATTTGTCTATGAGTTTGTTACAGTTAAGTATATGTCAGTGTTTAACTCGGGCCACTACAGCACAACAAGTCTTAACTCAGGATTTAAATGAGCACAACTCAACATGCTGATCCAATGTGTCTTCTGAGCCGTTGTTGCTGTTGGTAGACTCACCAAAAATGAGTGTGTTAAGCAAGAAGATATGAATTTTTCAGTTCTTTGTATTCTATGTAGGAGTGCAACACTCAGCTCCAGAGGCACAGGAATATCTACCTTCAGCATGTGAAGCAGATCATCAAGGCAGGAGGCCCGTGGGAGAATCCGGTGCTGCAGGGAATCCTGAAGGAGGCAGACCTGCCACCAAAAGATGGTAGGCTCATGATCTTCAGGATTTTCAAGTCCTGTGACCAGACTTACTTTACATAAGACTCCATAAGTTTGGGTCATTCAAAGTGTCATAAATCATATGAAAAGGCAGAGTTAGAGCTTCTTCATGTATTTGCTCTTGAACTCACTGCTGTTTTCTGATGATTTGATAGGAATAACTGGACTTATTACAGCTGTGTACCACCCCACTCCTGTTTCTACAATGGACCTGTTTTTTTTTACTCTCTCCTGTTGTAAAAACTTTTACAATCATTGATCTGTTGTTTTCTCTCAAGGCTGTGAGAATTGTGTTACATAATTCAAAAGCGAATGATAGCTGTGTCACTGTTTTTGACACTGCCTGAGTCAAACACATGTATGTTTAATGTACCAAAATCAACATTTTCTTGTGTTATTCCCTCTCATGCAGTTGAAGACTACTTGAGTTCAGAGCTACCAGTGTTCTTTGAGCTGCGGGTTCGTTATCTACAGGCCTGTGAACGAATGCAAGAGGCAAAAGCTTTAGCTAAAAGCTGCCTGGAGAATCCAGAGGCAGGAAAGCATCTGTTCTTTCATCAGGCCTACCTGACCTGCCTCTACAAAGCCTCACTGCATGAACATCTTCGGAAGGAGGTAACATAAAACAGAGCGGAAAGTCAGAGGGTATAGTATGAAGGATAAGAGGCGTTGTGTAAAGACATTTGATTGCTGCAGCTTGTGGAAAGGGTGGTATTCAGAACAAGGATCTTGAATGATGAAAACAAAATATAAAGCAGAAAAACTGAGCATGCATCTTAATTTTGTATTTGGGGTATTACAATGTTTATGTACTTTTAATTTCAGATGGCAGAGATAGATGGCCGAGACGCTGTAGAGATCATTTGCAACACAGAGAGCGTGGAAAAAGATGAGCTTCTGCTGTCTCTGTGTAAGGCTTTCCTCACCCAACAGCTACACAATGGGGATATGTATTACATCTGGTAAGGATGAGCAATGCATTACAGCTACACTACATTGTGATATTGTGCCTGTTGCTCACATTTGATGTTAAAGGGGTGTTATTATGCTTTTCTACATCTACAACAAAAACTGCAAAGTTACAAAGTTTGGTGATGTACGCAAAGTTTCAAATCACAAAGTAGATGTATTTTGTCTTAGTCCCAGAAAATAGATGTAAACTCCTGAAAACAGGAGCCTGCGCAAAGACGCTAGACTCACTAAATGCCTGCATCATTGTTATAGGCTCTACTTACTAGTTCATCTGTACTTCCGTCAAAGCAGAGCGGCCTGCCTCCAACAGTATGTGAGGTGACACCCTAAGCGGAGCAGGGTCAACTGATTGACCTCTGACAACTGGGGCCAAAACATTGAGCTCTGCTCTTAGCTGGCTTCGGAAAAGCCTCTGGAGAGGTGGCCTATCAGAGGAGAGTAGGAGTGCTTCCGTGAAAGCAGCTAAAACGAAGCTTTTTAGATGGAAGCTGAAATAATGACATTTTGATACACCAGAGTGAGAAATAAGAGGCTTTTTTGATCTAAAAATCATGCAAAGATATTGAAGAGGAATCAGGGAGAAAGTGTAGAGTTTGAAAAAAAATGCGGTGTATGATAGACAGTGTATGATAAATCTCACAGAAACTTTGGTGTTGGTAGGTTGACCAGTTAGATTTCTTTCATTTGGTGCTGTATCCTCTGCCCTGAGTGGTGTTGAAAAAGTTGCTCTCTAATAAACACAAAACTTTGCGATGCCATCAACTGATTGTTTCCTACCTTTAACAGGGACCTGGTTTTTATCTGGAGCAGGTTACATCTAAGGGCCCACCCCTCCAGGGAAGGCTTCCTGGCTGAGTGCTTGCAGTTAGCCTCTTCTGCTACTAACGTTAGAGCCATCTTCCCCTTCATCAAACTCGTCACCACAGAGGTAATATTGACATCCCAGTAGAAGAGTGTTTTAACACTGTTATCATCAGCACATACAAGTAAATGTATCATGTGGTTACAGGTTAAGCGAAGCTTGTGTCATTGCTCTCTCCATTTTGCAAAAACCGATGAAAGACTATCACAGGGCAATTTTCCTGCAACCATTTTCCCTGTTGTATGGAAGCAGCAGTTAGAGCAAGGAACAGAGCTGGAGCACTCTGGATGAAATCATCCAAATGTGTCACTAGGCAGAGGAAGGTCGAACACATTGCAGGGTGGGTCCTCCATACATTTTCCAGGATACCATACCTTCAACCTACACTGTTGCAAAAGAAAAAAAACTACAACAACAAAAATAAACATTGCACTGTTAGACCTGCAAAAGTTTGACCATACTCTGCATGTAAAGATAGATACAACATTTAAACATAGAGCACATTTTGGCTGTATGTTTGCTGCTATGATCTCTCAGCAGTGTAGAGAACTTTAGTCAGTGTAGAGTTTTTAGATTTTGCTTTGTTTTTCCAAAGTAGAAATCAACAGTCTTATTTTCTATCATTTCTTTTAAAACCTGCAGCACAATGTACAGTCCTACCTGGTGACAGGTAGGACTGTACACACACACACACACACACACACACACACACACACACACACACACACACACACACACACACACACACACACACACACACACACACACACACACAGAGTAATGATGAGAACATTACTCAGGGTTTGTATCAGAGAAGGATGTTTGTCTTAAGGAGCGGCAGTAGCTCAGGAGGTAGAGCGGTTGTCCAATAACTTGAAGGTTGGCGGTTCAATCCCCACCCTATCCCAAGTCTGTCTGTTATGTCCTTGGCCAGACATTTAACCCATCTTGCTCCTAGTGTGTGTCCTCCACTGGTGTATGAATTAGGGGTGGGAATCTTCAGGCACATCACGATTCGATTACGATTACGATTCAGGGGCTACGATTCTGAAACGATTATCCCCCCCCCAGCTATTACACATTTCTTTTTGTCTCACTGTGTAAGTGCACCCGTGTGGCTTTCATTCATTGCTCTTGTTTGGAGCACATGCGACACTAGCCTCCAGTCTTCGCTAACGAAGTGCGCTGTTATAGTAACGAATGACTCGGTGGCAACCGATGTCCAAGCATCACATGTAACTGCTATCCTACCAGCTTTCCCCAGGGAGGCCATGACTTCTGTTTTGGTCTCTTTTTAGAGTGTCGGGATGGCCGTGTCAGTGAAGTAGCGTCGGGATGGAATGTTGTATCTCGGCTCCACCGTGTGCAGTAGTGCTCGGAAGCCCTGGTTCTCCACTACTGAATACGGACGTAAATCCTTGGCAATAAATGTAGCGATGGACTTCGTGATTCGTTTCGCCTTTTCCGATGAGGGGGGAAGCTTTGTAATTGCTTGCTCGATTGTTCTCTGTTTGGTGGAGGCAGCCGTAGCCTCGACAGCAGCCGGGCATCTTCCCTCCTCGTTCGGGTGAAAACGAGTGATGTGGCTCCTCATGTTCGTGGTGTTACCAAAGTATTTTATCTTGGAGTGACACAGTTTACATATAGTGTGGCTCTTGTCCAGTTCAAGTCCACCCTCAACTCTGTAGAAGCCAAAATTCTTCCATACATTAGCTTTTAATCCGGAAGGGGCAGGGTGGATCTCGTGCTCAGCCATGCTTCTTTGTTATGTGCTCCCCTTAAAGTGTCCGCCGGGTGACAACGCGCTGCACGAGTTCCGCCTTTTCGTTCCGCCTATTTCACGTTATTTAACATCTAAATAATCGGAATTTGGACGTTTGTGAATCGATTCAGAATCGTTCTTGCCTGAATCGAGATGCATCTAAGAATCGATATTTTCCCCCACCACTAGTATGAATGTGATTATTGTGTGGTGGTGGTTGGAGAGGCTGTAAGTGCAAAGTGGCAGCCACGTTTCCGTCAGTCTGCCCCAGGGCAGCTGTGACTACCAAGGTAGTTTACCACCAAGGTGTGATTCTGTGAGTGAGTGAATGAATGATGTATCCAATGTAAAGCGCTTTGAGGTCACGGTATAAAAATCTGATTCGTTAAACGGACATAAGGCCTTGTTAAGTTGCTAACCTCCTTGTGATCATTTGAAGAGGTGGGGGTTGAAACAGAAACAGAAGTCTACCATCATACATTGTTTTAATCCCTAGTGCATTGTTGTTGTTTTTTTGAAACAGGTGGGGAGTGAAGGAGTGCAGGTCTGCGTAGAGCTTTGTGCCAGAGCGTTGCAGCTGTGTGATATGCAAGCTGACAGTGTAACTCAGTCCCTGGTCTGCAAGACCATCGCCTTCTTGCTGCCTCATGACCTGGAGATCTGTCGAGCATGCGCCCTTCTGGTCTTCTGCCAAGAACGCAGCCTGGAAGCATACAGAACGGTCTGCCTGCTTTACATGCATCCTGACCAAGAGCAGCACCCCCACAACAACCCTGTCCGGACCTGTGTGCGCTTCCATATTTTGCAGGTTGGATGGGTTTAGAGGGGAGAAATTTAAAAACATAGAATATAAAATGTACTCTTCAGATTTTAATCCAGCACTGCTTGTTGTTTTCTCTCTGAAAACTTGTTCTCAGATGCTCAAAGAGCGCCTGTGTTTTGATCCTGAGTTCTGGAACCTTCTGGCCATAAGGACCCAGTGCTTGGAATTGATGAGCGACAAGGTCATGAAGGCAGCTGCACTAGATGAAATGAAGGAAGAAGAGGAGAAGGAATACACCGAAGAGCTACCTACAAATCATTTCCTAAATGACTTGGACATTCACAGTTTTAACTCCTGCTCATGCACCGAAGCCGCATTTGTGAAGCAAGACCATCAGAAAAAGCCAACTAAAGATGAAGAGACAGTGAAGCGTGTAGCCCCATCACATAAACCTCTTTTCAAGAGAAGTAAGTGGAGGAGAGTGCTGCGGAGGAAAAAACAAACTATACCCGATGAGGAGGCTGACTTTGCTGATGATCCAGAGTTCAAATACAATCTCAAATCCACCTCTTCAGGCCATAAGACCATGTATTCACTGAGAAGAAATCACAGAAACAAGGAAAATTCTGCAGCCCTTAAATTACCGATGGACCGTAAGAGAGAATACTTGTCCAGATGTGTAAAGAGCCAAATTCTGAAACGGAAAGGTCGAAAAAGGTGGCTGCAGGGTCTCCCCAGACTGGAGCAGGTACAGGTACAGGTGAAGATGCAGACGGTGAATGTGACGGGGAAAAAACGGGGAAGAAAGCCTCTACAAAGACTAGAACTCTCTTACCCTGAAAATGAAATTTCCATTACAGAGGAGGATTCAGGTTCCCAGAAGAAGCTGGAAATGCCCCACCCGGAGAATGAAGTTGAACCAAAAAGTGAACAGGAAGAGAAGCATGTTGAGCAGATGATTGAGCCAAAGGTGGAAAATGGTCTGGAGGGGCATACAGACTCGGTCTGTTGTAGTGGCTTAAGTGAACAACCTTGTAAGGAATCTGTCACACACTTGGTCTCCAAGTTTGTTGAGGGTCCTCCAAGTGAACCTCAAGCTGCTGTTGAAGCTGAACCTGAGCTCGATGGTCCTCCCCTAGAGTTGGTTGATTGCCCCATAGAGCAGTTACACAGCTACTCTCTTAAATCCCGATCAGCAGACAGTGAGGAACCACAACCTCCAGAATCTCCTGCAGCCCAGGAGCCTAATGATGACATAGAGCAGACGAAACAAACTCAAGAGGCAACAGAACTGTTACAGGAAAAGGTCCGTTTTCTTTTTATGAATAACACACATATTATTTAGGTAAATTCTTTTTCAAATGTATTCACTTGGTAGGTGTTTTAAAAAAAAATAAGTGCAAAAAGAGGCATGAGTTGCTCAAGAGCCTTTTGATTGGAATTTTAGCTGGTACTTTGCAGGCTTTCTTTTGTCATTTGTCATTTTGTCATTTCTGATTCCTGTTTCCTTCCTGTTTCTCCAGGTGGTAGCCAAGAGAACATGGAGAGAAAGAATGCTTCGCAGTCAAAAATACGCACATATGAAGTTCCACTGCAAATTGTGCAAGAAAGACTATAAAGGCCTGAATGTAATGAGGCATGCTCTGTCACACCTTAAAAGAAGGAAATGTGTACTCTGTGGAAAACGCTTCAAACAGGTGTCCATCGCCAAAAAGCATGTTCTGGACCACATCGATGAAATGTGTAAGCAGACCCCCCTTGATAGCAATCCATGTACCACAGGAATCCCAGCTGAAAATGGAGTCATAGAGAATATGGAGAGGCCAATCGAGCCTCAGGTTCCCAAAAAAGTGAAGAAAAAAGTGTCTGAGCTCGACAGGGATGTGCGAATCATCAGGAACACCCGCACGCTCATCAAAAAGACATCCTTGGTTTCCAAAAAGGGCAAGGACGCAAATGCAAGTACTAATGAACTGGTGGATTTCAAGGATGAGCAAGTGGTCATTAAAGATGGCCTAGTAATCATCAAAGAGCAGCCTGGGATCGAGGAAGTGGGGGGAGGAGGAGAGGGAGAGAGGCAGCCAGCTGGAGAAAATGGATATATTGAAAACATGAAGTATCACCTGTGCCCTTCAGAGTCCTGTGACCGAGTGTTTTTAAGGATCAACAGCACAATGTTGAGGCATGCTGTCAAATGCCATATCAAGGAAGAGAGGGTATTGGAGAAGGTTTATGTTTGGGCCAAACATAAGTGCACACTCTGTCTTAGGTAAGATACTACTGACCAACCTTTTTCCATCCTCACACCTTTATCTCAACTTTTGTCCATCTGTTGACTCTATGATACACCTGAGTTCTTCCTACTTAGCTGTTGTACGTAAAGTAATTATTTTCAAATGTCACAAACTCTGTTAAAGGTTATTTACAGCTTAAGTCCTTTTGCTGCAAAATCTACATTTGCTGAGAACTCATGATGCTTCTTGATCTTTCCTTTGAAAGGAAAATGCAGTTCCTTCAGCAGTACAAGGACCACATGAAGCAGCATGATGAGCCTCTCCAGTACTTCTGCTACCACCAGGACTGTAAACAGCGCTTTGGGACGCAGCAGGAAATGAAGGACCATATCAGTACCCATGACCCCATCAGGCCCCAGTGCCCATTCACAGCTTGTGACAGGCAATTCCAAAGCCTTCAATGTCTTTACGACCATGAATGGAGACACTACATCCCAACACCTCAGAGAGAGGAGATGGAGATGGGACCCAGTAGACAAAGGGAAAGTGCTGAAGCACCGTGGAAACAAAGAGTGAAGGTGGAGCAGATCTGGCTGCAGGGTAAAACCGAGCAGAGGGGGGCTCCTGCTGCTGAGCACATCGAGACTTCTAATCTGGAGAATTGTGCAGAAATGGACAAAACTGAGACCCATAATGAAGTTTGTACATCAGTAGTCCCAAGCAGCAGTCAAGAGCAGATAAAACCTGAAAATTCTGTGGAGCAAAATCCAGCGGACGAGAGCCAAGCTGCCATCAATGGATATCTGGGTCAGACCCCAAATCAAGTGTCAGGGGAAAATATTAGTGCTTCCTCTTCTGCTGCAGCTGCAACTGCCAGCAAAGGTTGGCGTAAAAAGACACAATCTGAGTTGGACCCCTTGAATGTAAAAAACCGAGATGGTGTGTCAATTACAGAGGAGGGAATTCAGGAGAAACTGGGAGAGCCGGGCATCACGGAGCACAGATCATTCAAACCAGAAGATCCCTCCTTTGGGACCTTAACAAAAGCCCCTTTTGTTCGGCCACCGCCCTCCATGTACCTGGATGAATCTGTCACCTCGATGCGCAAGAGGAGGACTGCAGATGAAGTTGCTCCAAAGAAACCCTTGTACAAGAAATACAAGAAAAAGCAGGACCCTAGCAAGGAAAGTCAAGCAGGGGTGAAAGATGAAGTCCCTGAGCAGAAGATCAGACATCGCTGTGTTAAATGTTTATCCTCATTCAGTACGGTAGAAGAGTTACAAAAACACCAAGCACTCAACACCTGCTCTGCTCTCTTTGGATTCGATTCAGACGATGAAAGTAAGAGTGTTTCATTTCCCGATTCCTAACAGCAGCATTAATTCCTGAATTCTTCTCATAATTTTTTTCTCCTTTGTACTTAGGTTAGAGGCAAGGAAGGAGGACTACCTGCAGAGAATCTGCGTCGAGGCTCAGGGCAAGTGTTGGAGACCAAGGATCACTGGAATAAGTATTCAAACAGACAAGACTTTGGTGCCAAAATGAGTATTTGGATGATTTTTACCTCTTCGTTTGTTAATTGAACATTTTAAGCAATAATTTTGACATCTTCATGTAGTTTTGAGTATTTTTGCCCCTCAAAACATCATCAATGTGGTCTTTTTTTAAGACCGTAAAACAAAGTTCAGTCCGTGTTAAACTGACATATTCTCTAAATCTACGTTAGTGTATGTATGTTCGCTCTGTAAAAGAAGTTGGATTTGTCTGTTTGTCATTGATAGAAGTCACTTCTTCTAAGAGTGGAAATTTCTTTCCAGATAGCGGCCACACACCACAACAAGCCTCTGCTTGTTAAAACTATCTAGTTTAATCTGAAAAGAACTTCTTTTTGGCTCTATCAGTTTAGCCTGGTAACGGTGAAGAGCAAAGGTCCATTTGAGGTGATGAGTTGGAGCTTTTCAAAATCAGGCAGCTAGGCCGTTATATTAATTAATGCTTTCAGAAATGAACATGTAATTTCAACTGAATCTGTCTTTTCTCTGGCTTCATTACGCCTGTTGAAACTTTGTGAATACATTGATTTACTAAATTCAGTTGCACTCTAAGTATTTAAAACGCTGCTTATTGACAACTTCGTTGGGTATGTTTGGAAAAATTCAAATGAAATCTGTCCAAATAATGATGCACCACTCAGAAATTTTCCTTATACAAAGAATTGATCTCGTAGTCTTACTAAAAGTCCTAACAATAGTGGGTAAGAAGTGCACACATACAGCAAACGCTCCATAACAGTAAATCTACTTCTCAGAATCTGGATCTAAAAAAGCAAGTCTGAAAACTAAGTGGCTCTTTTCTGCAGTTAGTTGGGCTGATGCTCTTCTGTTGTTGGGTAGGATTGGGTTTGTCTTTTTCTAATTGGTCTTCCAATCATAATATGGTGACAGATGTTCTCTTACTTTGTTAAGATGTGACCAGGAAGTTATAGTCTGCCTTCATCACACTGTTATTCTGTACAACTTCATTATTTCTAGGTGCCAAGACTCAGTGACAATTCAACATTGAATTGATCGGTTAAGCAGTACTGCATTGCTTTAAATTTTAGTTTATCAAAGAGTTCCTTTTCACTCAGTTTCACTCCGGTACTGCATTTTAATATGTAGAATATTGTAGATGAGTTATTTGTAATGTGTATATACTTTTGGGATGGTTGATCAGTTTCATAACGTTCATGTTTTTATTGGACTGCACTCCTAAACCTTCTTATTTATATGTACAAATGTGAATAGTTGTATTTGTAAAGGTATTGATTGCGCCTCTATATTTTCTTAAAAAATAAAAAAAGGATTCAGTTTGTTTGAATAAACAAATGGAATTTAAAATCTTGTGTTGTTTTGTGTTAGCTGTTTAGTGCTTTTTTTTTTGCACAAGAATAAGCAGTTATTTTTCTTGTGTTAATCTACTGTAGGCAGGAGTGTCTTTTGGAAACAAGACAAAACGAGAAATGACACAGCAGATACACCTTTATTTTATAGGTCAGCATTGCATATTTACTTTTTCACGAACATATTGCTTATTGTTGACCCCAGGAGCGAGGCAGGTACAATAATTACTTTAAAATTTGCCTGTTTAAAAAAGTTTTTGCATCATATTTTCCTGATTCATGAGGTAATTTTGAGGGAGATCATGTTAAGGGAAATCCTTTTCTTTGCTCAATTTTAGCAGACATATCTCCCCTTTTTGTGTAAACAGAAAAGCCCAGGTACAGTTATCACTAAAGGCATGTACTCTCAAAAAGAGCAGTTTATTATCAGCACATTGTTATAAACCTATTGCCTGTAAAAGATGACATTTTAGATAGGGTAGGCTTTTTCCCACTGTAAGGCTTTCTAAGACTTAGTTAAACTGAGGGCTTTGTGTAAGAGTCTAAGTCTTCCCTAATATACTGTAATGAGTAGCTGAGTTAATAGCTGTATAACAAAACAAACGGAGGCAGCATTCAAGATCGAAGGATTTCCAGTATCTCATGCAGCAAAAGCATTCCAGTTTAAACTCATGCTAATTATGAATCCATATGCTTTGGTGCTGCTTACAGCTCAGAGAAAAAGCAACTGATATACGAGTGTGTTAAGACATGATGATGATATGGTAAAGAGTTTTGGCCTGCAGATAGTTCCTCTACAGCATGCAGCATCTACTGGGTCATTAAACCAGAAAACTTAACAGTGTTTCACTCACATTATCCTTTGACCTGAGAAGTAAAATCCCCATTCGTTTTAGGAATCTGCACACTCAGAGCACTCGTCTGTGGAAACCATATTGAGCTAATGTGTCCATCACACGTTAATAAACAACAGATTTCCAGGGTGTAAAAAAGAAAGGCTTCAACATTTAAGGCTCAGTAATCCAGTGACGGACAATTTGGGGTTAAGTGGGGCACACTGTACATTTAAACTGAACATAGACAAAAAGAAATGCACTCTCTAATCAAACTAACTGCTACACTTTATAGTCATAACTATTTTTTCTTTTTTAAATCATCTATTCAAGGCCTTTCTATCTTACTCTATTAAAAATAAAGAGCTTGTCAGTATCATCCCAAATGGAAGCAGTTTTTCTAAAGATTTGACTCATAAACAGTATAATCATAACTCTTCTTATATCACTTGTTAGAAAAACAGGTAAGTTAGCACTTTTCTGATTGAAGATGGAAGACCTGGATTGAAACTCAGGGTTATAATCATGAAGACAGACCCTTAATAAATATAACTTCAGATTAGTAAACACAACATGCAAGCACACCTTTTTGGAAATTCAGACAGGATCCCGCAAAAAAACTCTGCCCACAAATCCAGAGACTTTAGGGGGATACATACAGTGCCCGTATAGACCCTGCACCACACTACAGCTCCAGTTCAACCTGTGCCAATCAGCTTAGAGGCATTTTACTGGACTTTGTCTGATAAAAGGGACATCTCATGTCACTGGCTGAATGTGTTGCAGTCACTGACCGAGTTTTGTTCCTTTTTTAGATGTAAATTTCCACGGGACATCAGATAACAGAATAATCCACTGACATGAGATATTAGTCCCTTTACCTGAAGAAAATACAGTAACATGTTGATGTCTGCCAGTTACAAATGGCACCGGAATAATGAGGCAGCATGAAACCTGAATGAGTAGATCTGGAGGCTGAAGGGGTTTGATATGGCTTGTCAAGGCAGAGTGTTTTCCCATCTGCTCTGTGTAAATGCTCAACAAACAACCCAGAAAGTGTTGTAGAAAAGCGTGAAGATCTTGATCATCGCTGACGCCTGAGTTCCTGACATGATGTTGACAAACCAGAACTGGAGAGGGTTAGCCATCCTGTGATATTACCATACAGCATGCTATAAGTTAGCTTTTTTAAATGACGTATGCCTCATGAGCACAACACACTACCAGCTGCATTAAGTTTCTTGCTGTATCTTTTTTCCTTTTAAATCTCACTGTTGTGACAAATAAATATTAAGTGCATACAACTCACACAGAGCTCCTGACATACAAATAGAGGGTGAGGAAGCTTACAATTTGTCCTTAAAGCTATGATAAGCCAACAAGAGAATCAGTTGTACAGTGCAAATATCCCCTCTCACCACCTGGTTTACAATTATCATTATCGTTTTTTGCATAAAAAAAACATTTGCATTGTTTAGGACCAGAGGACTGCATTGTGCAACATGTCGTCACAAACCTCCAGGTTGTGGACAGATGCAAAGACGACAGAGCATATAACTGCATGTGACTGTTTCTGTGTGTGTGTGTGTATGCTCAGTGGGAGCTGTTGGTGCTCCAATCATAAGGGAGGAAGCTGACTTTGGTCTTCCCAGCAGAAAGGACATCCTGCAGGCTGGTCTTCTTTGGAGAGTCACCCATGTGTTCCAGCACCCACTTCAGTAGCTGCAGGGGCAGATAAAACACCGTCTGAGATTAACAGCTAGATCAGAGTTATTGGGTTATTTCAACCAGGCACCATGACTTCAGGACGTGTGTAAATTGTAACAGTTGGTATCTAACTGGATCAAACATTTTAGACTGGTATGTCTCCAAGTCAGACTGCAAGCTTGGTTTGCCAGTGAGTACAAGGCTATTTAGGTTCAGTTTCAATTGCTGCTGAAATGCCACTGTAAATATTGAGTCACTATATGGATTCAATCATGACCTGCATTAGTTGGCTCTTGAAAATGACAGTAGAAATGGATGCCTACTCTTTGGACCACAGCCATAATTATAGAGTAATTAAGTGTGTGTGAAGCACACTTCTACTCAAGGTGTTATTCCTAATAAGCAGTCAAACTAACCTTCTCATCAGTGCCTCCAAAGTCCGCTTTGTACCACTTGAAAATCTGACTGAGCCGCACTTCTCTTTTCCCAGAATCCACCACACAGCCGTCATCGTTCTCAAGGAAAGCCTCAGCAGCTGTGCGGAGCTGGCTGTCAATATCCTGACAGGATTAATAAGAAAAAAGGGATTTTGGGAATGTTGTACAGCGAAGGTAGACAGCCTACTAGTACATCCCCATTAGGTTGACTTATTTACTTCAATCAATTTATTGATCAAGCTTTATTTATTTTGCACTTTTCATACATATTATACAGAATTGAAAGTGCTTCAAAGCAACTGCAAACAAAATAACCCCCCAAACAGATGGAAAACAGGCATTTATATACAAAGAAACAGAAGAAGTAGAGAATAACACACCTATAGAAAAATCTAAACAGTAAAGGAAAGAAGACACAAATAAGTTAAAAAATCAAAAAACACATAACTATGAAAATAGCTTTCATTTTTATTATGATAAAATAATAACAGCTTAACTAATAACTACTAAAGACGAGTAATTACATGTAGATAAAAGCAGTATTATAGCAATAAAAAGAAGAGGATAAAGAATAAAAGGATAAAAGTGGAGATAATTCCTTTTATCGTGACTGGAACAAAAAAGCTCCTGTTGTTTTAATTGATGTCTTTGTACTTAGTTTTCTATCTCTGTAGATTACAGCACAGGTCAATGAATGAGTTTATTCTTTCAGGATTATTATGAGCTGAGACTGAGAGGGATCAGGTTCCTAAAAAACGCTGATGCAGCAGCTGTTGTCTCACCTGTGGGGTGTACGTTTTGATTGGTGGGCAGCCCTTTGCGCCACAGTTCAAGGCAAAGTGGATAAGAGGCTCAGCATCAGGAAGGGCCACCTAGTGGACAAAATGAGCAATACAATCCAACATTAGACGCGTTATTTTCCACAAGACACAATGGTTAAGTGATCAGCTGAGAATAATTAATAGTACTTGTAGTCGCGGGTCTGTTTTGGAGAAAGGTTTCAGGAGCTGTGCGACACCTTTTCTGTTCCCTCTTAGAACTCCATTTTCAATGTCCTGTAATGTGAACACCTCCCCTCCAATGAGGTAGCTCACATAGTTAAAGAACTAAGACACAAAACACACTTTCATTGTAAGTTCATTCATTCATACATTTCAACGTGGCTGTAAAATACTCTGCAATAATCTGAGGACAACACCATTCTTTTTTTATCACTAAAAAAACGGGAATAACCTACTCTGTATCTTTGCCACATGTTGGTAGGGGCCCCCAGGCGCAGGTAACCATGGATGACCAAGGCATTGTAGATATTGATGAAGAAAGCAAGCTTCTCCTCCCGGCTGAGTGAAAGCAGCTCCACTCTCTGCAGCTGAATGGCCAGCTCACAGTAACGCTCAAAGGCAGGGCTCACTGACATGCCTTTGTAGTCAACTGACTGAGTGAGAGCGGACAAGAGAAAGAAAGTAGGATCAGAGCATGACAAAGTCACGGGTCAGTGACATATCTTATGTAGTTCAGCTGTTTTGACAAACAATAACACACCATGAGCAGCCTCACAACTATAACAAACAGTACAAGGTAACCCTACGTGTGCAGCACTCTGCTCTATCCATGCACATGAAACCACAAATTAGACACAACTGGCACAGTGTAACAGCACGAAGAACCATTATCAAAGCATGTAGACAAAAGCAACCAGGCAGACAGGCCTATACACTAAGTGTGAAGCCAAGAAAGCTGATGGGAACATTACCTTTCCATCGGCAGAAAGATGCTCTGAGAACAATTTTAGAATCATCTCCCGTAAAAGCAAAGAGAGCTCAGCAGCTGAAAGAGAGAGAGAGAGAGAGAGAGATAGATAGATAGATAGATAGATAGATAGATAGATAGATAGATAGATAGATAGATAGATAGATAGATAGATAGATAGATAGATAGATAGAGAGAGTGAGAGAGAGAGAGAGAGAGAGTAAGAGACTCAGATGATTCATTCATTGAACAGTATTTACAGGTGAGGATCCAAGCATTGAACCAAAACAACCAAGCATTTGTGTTAGCAGGGCCACAGTCAACCTTAAAAATCACAACAACATTTAAACAGGTGCATCCAAATATATAAGAATATCGTGAATATTTTCTATACTTTCCATCAACTACTTAAAAAAAATGATTTGTGGTAAAGGAGCCCCAACCAAACATTGTGTGTATAAATAAGTGTCCTGTTCAGAAGTTGGACATTTCTGTATTTTACATCCTTTTTGGATTGACCTTTAGATGTTTTCTCATAATTTCAAAAAATTTAATTTTAAAAGTCATAAAGTTTAAACATGGCTTGTTACATTTCGCTTTACATGTGGTGACCATCAACAATATGACAGTTTATTCATTGAAAATGAATCAAAAAGTATTAAACTCGTTCACAATTCTCTAATTTGATACAACTATATTCCATGTTTTATGTTTAATTAGCACAACAGGGTTTTATTCCCTGGTTTAAAAAATGAGCTGTCTCAGTAAATTCAAGCTAAAATAACAGTAAAATACACCTAAGGAAATAGCTTGTGGGATGTAAAAAGTAACATTTGGACAAACAGGAAGGGGAACATCAGCTGTGAAGGTGTACGACAGACAAGTCCCAGAGTAAAACACCAAAGCATAATAGCTCTACTGCTTAAAACACACAGAGTTGTAAAACAAAGTTTATATTGTTAGTTAGTTACCAAAGGAGTGCAATGTTTAGTTAGTTGAAATAAGGTCAGGGGACTCACCACCACCACAAGGACCAAAACTTGAAGAAACAACAACCTGAACAGTACATGACAGTCTAAAGAAGACACCAGCGGAGCTTGAGTGATACATCTTTGAGGCCTTCTGTTTCTTTTCTCTGTATCTGTCTGGATAGATTCAGAGTTCTCATCATTGATGAACTTGGAACTCATTAGTAGGGCTGAAATTCCTTTCTTCTTTGGTAGTATGAAATTTCCGCGCTCAACTTTGATCATTGCCATCACATGAAGAGATGGTAGTCCCAGAAAATTTTTTATTTTTTAATTAGGCCATCAAAAGATATATCAAAACCCCTTAGTTTATTTCTTGGTACGCATGTAAGCTCACTGCCAGAAAACACAAACCCAAGCCAACCCAACAGCATCACATACCCAACCAGCAGCAGCTGAAAGAGAGCACTAACAGACACCAGTGTTTGTGCGATTGAGATGTTGTGTGTCTTTACGCCTCAGAGCCTGCATGGCACAGACCTGACCTACCCTCGATGGGACTGCATGCTGCTGTCTGTCCTGCGTTGAGAGCTGAATGAGGGTCATCCTCCAGCAGCCTGTAAAGGGTGTCCATGGTTCCCTTTCCTTCTCCAAAACTGCCATCCTGCTGCCCACAGCCACGCACACTCACCATGTACTTCTTCTGCAACAATGCTTGACCAGTTTTACAGGCCTCAGCCCTAGCTAGCACACATAGGGCCATGGTAAGGGAGGTGAAAGGTCTGAATTTGACTTCACACTGTATGGTTTCGGAGATGATTCACTCGCCTAGTTTACTCCAGGTCTACAGCCTTACTTACCCATGCCCTTCTCTCTCTGCAGCCAGTCAACCAGTTGATCACCTGAGAAGCTCTTTTTGTACACTGTCAGTCCCCTCCTATGATTGCCAATCACACTGCCATGTTTGAGGTCCTCTACCAGGTCGGCAAACTCATCTCTTTCACACTGAAAATCTGAAGGGGCAGGAATATGGCGAAACACCCCATGTACAGACAAACAGAAACACACAAATTCACACAGAGAAGTTAAAGAATATGTGCAACTATTCTGCTAAGCATATAACCACTGGTCACATCTCATTGGTCAAAAGTACAAGGTGATAAAGTTGGCTAATTGGAATTTTTTACAAGGAAGAGTTCAAAGTGGGAATGTAACTTAAATGATTTATGTTAAGTCTTTAAGGTTGGCTGTACATTAATCAGCTGGTACAAAAGGAAAAAGACAAGAAGACAGCATTACAACAAACTGGCGAATTATTACACTGTTCCTGACCTTAAAAGAACAACTGATTGATTCTCACCATATTTAAGTCCCCCCACAAACGACACACAGATATAACATCTTAATACATTCAAACAAAATACTGTATGTTATAAAGAGCAACTTGAATATTTACCCAAAAATCCAATGAAGGCACTTTTCTAACAAAACATAGGTGCCAGCTTGCTCCCAATGAACTAGCAAGAATATTGCTACCACAACAGCAACACTCACTCTGTGGGTGACCTGGTTTCCACCTGATCAGGGGTAAAAGGCCCTATGCACAAGGGCTGAACTCTGGCTGCAGCTTTTCAATGCTTTCATTTGAGTCCTCATTTCTCTGCTCCTCTTTCTTTTCTCCCACAGCTCATCCCATTCTAGCTTTTACTGTTTAATGAAGGCAAACATAATCAAACGCCCCCTCAGACACTAAGAGGTTTAAAAAAAAGCTAATTACTGCAAATTAGGTTATTGTTCCATAAAGGGCTGTGTAAGCTCCCTGCTGTATGGACTTTATACACTGTTTTCAGATTAATGAGGTACAGCAAGACAGGCTGGGCCACCAGGCTCATCTGGAGCATCAATTTTCCTGTATCAACTGTCTGTGCTAGCAAAAGTGACTGAACATGAACTTGCGTGCAAACATGCACACAAACACACAAACACACACACAGACACACAGACCTGCTGTTTCCCCAAAACATACCACAATGCCCACATATGCCAGGCCTAGTTGTAAACTCATGTTCATTGGTGTCTGTGTCTCACAATAGGGAAGCTTTACCATTGGTGAGGCTCCTTTTTATGCATGAAACATTACCAGAGCAGACCAAACAAATGACTGAAAGCTCTGTACATTCACAGTTTAACACAGCAGGTACTGTGTATACATGACAAGTTAAAAGGACAGAATGGTTAAGTCTGTTTTTGTACCAAATTTCCATGAATAATATAAGGCCTGTTTTTTATGGTGAGGCAGATCAGGAACAAAAATAAAGTTTAGTCTTTATAGTCTGACAAATGACTTCCTCACCTCCATCAGTGTCTCTGCTCATGTCCTCTAATTGACTCTCCTCTGGTAGAGGTGGAGCATCTGCCGGAAGAGGCTCTTCCTTGACCAGATTTACTAACCGCTGAAGTTCTTCAGGAGGCTGAGAAAAAGAAACACATTAACATGATCACATGTTAAGTGAATAAAAGTAGTCATTTTCTGTCACCGCTCAGCCTTACTCAAAGCAAAACAGAAAAGAAACATCTTTATTTGTGTGTGTTCCTCACCAGCTTTTGTAGGTCATCATTGCCCCCAACATGGATATTGTTAAAAAAGATCTGAGGGACTGTGCTGCGTCCTGTTAACTCCTTCACCCTGGATCTTAACTCCGGGTGTTTCCCTACATCAACATCACACACTGGTACTCCCAAACGACCCAGCATGGCTTTTGCTTGTACACAGTGTGGGCAGCCCTGAATGGAGTACACTGTGACCCGGCCAAGAGCATTTCTGTCAAACTCTCCCATCTGCATCAATAGAAAACATAAAAAGAGAACATAGATCTTATGATGTTCAGAGACACTCGGTCAAGCTCCATTTTGTCATGTGTGCACCAATTTATGCAAAAAACTACTCAAACCATGTCTCCCTTTAATGCTTTTGCTACACAGCAGGTGCTTTGCTCTGACCAAGTTCAGTAAAGTGTATTGAAAACATGGCCTCAAACCCCCCTCTCTGCATCCACAAACTGGGGATTAAAGCCTTGTCCCCATAGCCAATTGAGGGATTAAACCCAGCAATGTCACAGTCCTTTAAATTTGATTAGTGGAGTTAAGGAACTGGTCTTGAGAAATGGATAATTACTCAACTTCCTCCTGGCTCATGTTTCAACATTTCCTTGTGTTGAAAGCAGGTAAACACGACCTGTGTAGACTGTAGTTGGAAATTAGTCATTAAGATAGTCTAATACAGTTCCTCATTCAGTCTGATCAAACTTAGGGTCATCAATAAACCAATATTATTTTTGGCTTATCATGTGCTGGATCATACCTCTCATAAGGTCAGCTTCAGTTTGGAAAATGGGTCAAGGTCCAAAGTTCACACTGACTTTGTTACTGCAGAGGCCAGTAACCAGAGAAATAGTTTGCTTCCCAAATAGGAACTTCCCTGATGTTCTACTCTTAAGATTATTTTAATTTGTTTTGTTGTCTATACACAAACCTGACACCACAACTTCATCTGGGCTGATAGTAAATAGTTATACCAAAGATGTCTGCCCAAATAATAGAAGACAGCAACCAAGCTGTAAATCTAGACTCTCTTTATATGAGGAAATGACAAATTATATCGAGGCTTGTTTGAGGATCCTTGTTTTGTACGGTATCGGTTACTCCATTGAAGAAAGAATTTCAAGGCATTTAGGCCTATATTTGTAAAATAACAACAAAACGCAAAGCTAAATGTAATTACCCATTTTGTGGACATAATTCCGAGTCCCAACAGTAATGTGTCGAAACAGAAAATGTGAAAACGGTTGCTGATAACACAGCTGGTCAAATGTAAATAAAGGTAATACAGTCTATACTCATGGCCAAACTACAGAGCAGCCTTAACTTGCTAATGTTGACATATGAGCAATTTATAACAATGCAACATTACCTTACAGCAAACCGCAGCACAATTTGAACTCTTTCAGATTACTCCCGCTGTTTTGCTCATTGGAATAAATAAATTAAGACATCTGTTATGTTCAACGCCAGCTGAGAAGTCGCTTGTCTTTCAGGGAAATGACACAGGTGCACTCACTGTGCATCATCTCTGCGCAGGCTAGGACAGCTAGCGAGCTTGGTTTGTGACGCGTTCAGGTGATCCTCGTAAACTAGAACCTCGAGCACAGTTGACTGGAAAATTTTCTTTTTTTTTTTTCTTTCTTTCTTTTTTTTTAAACATATATATTAGCCAGTTCATCAAGGCAAATCATTGCCTTAGTCACAAGCATAATATAATAATATTGTTGATGTAAATTATATCATCCCTTTTGTACAAGGTGACATTTTTGAAGAGTACACATTGCCAATTTGGCAAATATACTAACTGGTAAACATTTATAACTGTAAAGAGATTGCTTTATTTCGTGTCAGTAGACAAAATGAGTAAGAAGGTGTGTAACTCTTCAACTCTAGTTGCTCTTGCTCTTGGTGCCCCAGACCAAATAGAGATATTTGCCAGTTCAAATTAAAAAAGGATACCTGAACCAAACATTAGCGATAAGGTGTGGAGAATCTACTGATCACAGTGGATTATTTGTGCCTTAACTAGAATTTAAAAACTCCAACAGCATTGAAGGCAACGCGTTCTTTGGAGGATGACCCGTTGTACCGTGGCGCGGAACGTTGTTTGGCCAGTATTTGTTCCACCACGGACAGTTTTGTTGGGGGACGCGAATGGAGCCAGTAGTGATAATCTTCGGTTAAACGAAGATGTCAGGATCAGGACTGTCAGAGACAGAAAGAGCTGGATGTGTGAAAATACTGAAGTTACTGTCCAGAGGCGACTTACAGTCATTAAGTGATACTGTCACGAATAAGATGATAGTTGTGGAGAATGAAACGGGTAAGCTTTAGATTCAACTGTTTGCTGCTTAGCAAGACTATGAAATTCACTTTCCCATAATGCCAGTGAAGTATTTTTGCCACACCCATATAGACGAGCAGTGTTTCATAATACATGTGTTAAAGGAAATCTAATTCACGTATTTTTAGTTCGTTTAATCATACTGTTTTACTTCTTAACAGAGGCTTTGGAAACTATTTTGTCCTTCACTAAAAACGCAGAGGAGCTGCTGAGAAGAAAAAAGGTTCACCGTGAGTTAATATTCAGGTACCTGGCCAAGGAAGGTGTATCTATGCCCCCGAACAGCGAGAAACACCTCCTGGTGAAAAGGACCCTGGAGCTCTGGACACCTGGGAAGGTAAGTGCTGGTGAAAGTTTTTCTCATTCACCTTAGATCAGTGGTTCTCAACTGGGGGGCTGGGGGCGCAGACTCACCAGCTATTAGTACAAAGGAGATGTAGCAGAGGCCCAGGCGGTTGGACTATGGATCAATTTAAAGCCTACCACATCAAGAAGCTGCAGCACGGCATGGCAAATGTCAACAAAAGTTTCCTACTATTTTGCCCCAGCCACTCAAATGACCAAGTAAGCAGGACAAACATCCTGCTTAGACCAACCGGTGATGATCAGTCTCCACAACTAGAGAAGCTCACACACCAAGGATCCTTCACAACGTTACACACGCGTGCATGCACACACAGAGCAGCGATCTGATGTAAACATCGATATTAACTGTATAAACTTCATCACCGGAGTCCCTCATCTACACACCTGTCTCAGACCCACCTGTGTTCACAAAGCTACATCTTTCACAGGAGCTCATCACACCACACCACTGTTTAACAGAGATCTGATATAAAATAACAGAGGACACGTGACCTCAAAAAATATAAAACATCCCGATCCCTGTCCACCACACATCCAAGCAGAGACATAACTGATCAGACCTTCAGGAAAAATTTCTTACCTTCACTCTGAGTCTGAAACAGTCAGCATTATCAGTCATCCAGCTCCAGCAGGTTAATAGGCCGCTGACATTATTCCTGTTTACATCCGCAGTCAGCGTGTTTCATCCATTTGCATTGTGTGAAAAAAGTTTTAGCTTGCTTTAGCTGCAGGTGACCTGATAGAGGCAGACAGCAGGAGCATCTCTTGACTTGGTACCGAGTCAGACCACATGTCCAGACAGGCTGTGACTAACTCACCGCGTCAGCCGACCAGAAACATAGTCGGGTCACGAAGTGAGATTCTGTGACCATACTCTGGCAAGGATGTTTTGACGATTGATTTGATCTCTATGGACCCTTTAGAAAAGATTTAGCCCCCAGGTCCCTCGCAAAAATCCCCACATTTTTTGCTAGACAGCTAAATTCAAGATGGCGGCCGGCGCCATCTCTAAAAATTAACTTTTGCTCTGAAAGACCTAGAATCATGTATGAAGTCACTATTCCATACAGTCAAGCATGAGGATTCCAAATCTGACATAGTTTTAATCATACAACTTTGTTTTGACCGTGATATTCAAGATGGCTGCCATCTAGTACTGTAATTCTCAACCTTCTCAGGACTTGACCCCCCAAAACAATCATATTTGAACTGGGTAACCCCCTATTTGTTGACTCTGTTCCACATATAGATATCCTAAATGTTGCCTCAGTCATTCTTTTGAGCCCACAGTGCGAGGAGCTACACATTTAGTCATTCTTTTAAGCCCACAGTTAGAGGAGTTACATATTTGATCTGTAAAGACAGTGTGCATGCAGCATACATAGCTGCTTGAATATGGAAGAAAATAATATACCAACAGGGACAGACGGCACTCATGTATTCTTCAGTGTGGTAGTCTGTGTAATGAAGCCACATAAACCATTACGTCAACCCAGAGATGGGTAAACATAAAACACAAACAGTCGTTTGGCAGGTGGATCTGCAGCTGTGGAACAGTCATCCAACAAAGAAGACTGAGATGGGATTTCTTCAGTCTCTTGTTTTTTCTGTCTTTTTTTGGGTTGTTCCAGTTTATTAGAATTGAATAGGGTCAACCTACATGCTTCATGGACACATTTTCCAACCAGACCTTCATCCCAATCGACAGTTGTATAGACATGTCCAAACTTGTCAAGGCCACTCCATAACAGTGCCCTGTGTTTTATGTTTACCCATCTCTGGGTTGACTTAATGGTATCTGTGGCTTCATTACACAACATACAACACTGGAGAATACATGACTGCCTGTCTGTCCCTGTTGGTATATTGTTTTCTTCCATATTCAAGCAGCTATGTATGCTGCATGCACACTGTCTTTACAGATCAAATGTGTAACTCCTCTAACTGTGGGCTCAAAAGAATGACTGAGGCAACATTTGGGAAAGCAGCAGCACTAAACAAGCAGCATGTGCTAGCATGCCCTGACATGAAGGGACAGCCAATCAAATTGCCCGAGTTAAGTACTGCTGCTGACATGAATCAAGCATACTGTGAAATGATAATGTTAGGACTTGTAAGATCCTCAAAGAAAAAGATCATCACTGCATCCAAAGTAATCAACAAACAATGCTTAACCATTGGCCAAATTGTCAGATGATAGAAGAAAAAGGCAAAAATTGTGAAAATAGCAGATCTACAAGCTCACACACCTCACAATACTAGGGCTGCAACGATTAGTCGACGTAATCGATTACGTCGACACGACAAATTCATCGACACGAAAACGAAGCGTCGATGCGTCGTGTTATTGTTGTTAAGAATCACATGCCGGCGCCTATATGCTCATCTATAACTGCAGTGCACTACAGGATGTGCTGGGGGCAGTAACGCTCGCTGTTTACATCCCGCGAGCAAACACAGAAGAAGAGTGCACACATTATGGCAGAACAAACTGAAAAAGACGCTCCAAAACTCCGACCCAAAACTTCAAAAGTTTGGGAACTTTTTACGGAGAACAAACCAAAAAAACACGTCGATCAAATCTCAGCTTTCCTACCATGGCAGCACCATGGCGATGCATGAGCACCTGAAACGCCGACACCCCGGAAATAGGTGTTTATAAATAAAGAAGATTAAATAAAATTAAATAAATAAAGTGATTAATCGGGATTAATCGGATGACTAGTCGGACGACTAGTCGACAAAAAAATAATCGTTAGTTGCAGCACTACACAATACAAGGTGTTACGGGCTTGTAGGTCTGCTATTTTCACGATATCTATATGTGAAGCAGAGTCAAACAAACTGGGGGTTACCCAGTTCAAATATGATTGTTTTGGGGGGTCAAGTCCTGAGAAGGTTGAGGATCACAGTACTAGATGGCAGCCATCTTGAACTGTATTGAACCACCTTTGGGGGTAAAGGTGGCTCGCAAAAGGTTGAGAACCCCTGCCTTAGATCATAAATAAGAAAAACTGTATTTCAAACATTTGAGCTTGAATTTCCAGGGATTTTCTAGGCGGATTGCAGTTATTTTAACTGGGCTGTTTTGCTACAAGTGGGCAAAAAAAAGAGTAAGTACAGCTCTCTAAAACCTGGGCAAAAATCTCCTAAACAAAGATCACTCATCAAAACTGTCTGGTTAACTCTCAGTGAAATTATCAAATTTACCCAAGCCTATCAACACTCTTTCCTTATTTTAGCATGTTCATCATCATGGTGATAAAGCAACTTTACATTTTACCTGAAACAGTAACAAAAATCTATTTTTATTAATAGTGCTGGCCAGTAAACTGTCACAAAAGCCAGGTTGTAAAATGTGAATGTAAAGGATTTTGCTTTTTATGATGTACCTTAAAACAGTTGAACTTCAAGTTTTGATGATATTAAGACTGCTTTGAAATATGATCCAAAACAGCTGAGAAAGCCAATAAATTGATCTTCTGTTCTCCAAAAAAAGCCCCCTATTGCTACAGTGACAGCTTTGGACACCCTCGGCATTATCTTAACCAGCTTCATGTGGTAGGCACCTGGAATGGTTTTCAACAGTCTTGAAGTAGTTCCTAGAGATGCTGGGAACATATTCCCTTCACTCCATGATCCAACTCAAATCCAAACCAACTCAGCTAGGTTTAGGTCAAGTGACTGTGGAGGTCATATCTTATCTGACTTGGCCTCTTCTCTCTCTTTTTGGGCCAAATAGCCCCCAAATAGCATAGAGGTGTGTTAGGAGTCATTGTACTGTTAAAATAGTGTTCAAATGCTGCTGAACACAAACTAGATTGGATGGCATATTGCTGCAGAATACTGGTTAAAAGTATGCCTTAAATTCAGCCACCTGGTTGGTTACTGCTTTATAAACAATGAGTTTGATGCAAGCTGTAACTGGAAGAAGACCAGATGTGCAGCTGCGTTCTGGAAAATCTGCAGAGTTTTAACTGTGCAAGCAGGGAGGGCTGTCAGTAAGGAGTTTTAGTGGTCAATGTGCAATATTTATTTATTTATGAATTGATTATTTGATGGGGACATCACAATTACACTGGACAAATCAGATGCATTGTGTTTTAGCAAATGCTAATTTGCACGAGAGCCTGTACGAGGAGCTACGCTGCGTGTTCTGTTAGGTAGGGTCTGATCATCTTGATGTTAAGGAAAGCAAATCACCACCAGACCCCTCCTCATAGCTGCTGACAATGACCTCATCAGTCTCCTCATCCTCCTGGACCTATCTACAGCTTTTGACACAGTCTCCCATACCATCCTGCTTCACTGTCTCCATGAACACTTAGGCCTCTCTGACTCCGCTCTCTCCTGATTTCACTCCTACCTCTCCAGTAGGACACAATACATCACTATCAAGGACTCCAACTCGACCCCAGCTCCAGTCAACCATGGCGTGCCCCAAGGCTCGGTGTTTGGCCCCCTGCTGTTCACCATCTATATGCTCCCTCTTGGCCAGATCATCCGTCAACATGGACTTAGTTTCCATTGCTATGCTGACGACACCCAGCTCTACATCAGCACCAAACCTTCTGCCCATCTCCCTCCCCTATCACTAGTTCACTGCCTACACGAAATAAAGACATGGATGGCCACCAACCTACTCAAACTGAACAACAATAAAACAGAGCTCATGGTGGTGGCCCCTCCATCTCTGTCCAAGGAAGTTGGTATCCTTCTGAATGTGGATGGCTGTACCATCAGGCCTTCCCAAGAAGTGCGCAACTTGGGTGTTATCCTGGACTGTAACCTCTCACTCCAAGCCCACATCAGTAACACCACCAAATCTGCCTTCTTCCACCTCAAAAACATCTGCAGACTCCGGCCCTCACTGTCAGACTCTGTTGCAGAAACTCTGATCCATGCTTTCATCTCCTCTCGTCTGGACTACTGTAACGGTGTCCTTTATGGTCTTCCCACCAAAGCACTGGACAAACTACAGCCTGTCCAAAACTTGGCTGCCAGGGTCCTCACACGTGCAAAGCGGTGGCAACACATTACCCTCACACTCAAGCAGCTTCACTGGCTCCCAGTGAAGTCACGCATCACCTACAAAATCCTACTCCTCACATACATATCCCTCCATGCTCTTGCTCCCCAGTACCTCTCCGATCTCATCCAGCATTACTCCCAATCAAGGTCCCTGAGGTCCTCTGGCAAGGGCCAGCTTGTCATTCCCCGCACCAGGCTACGGACCTTTGGTCACAGAGCCTTCTGTGTTGCTGGATGGCTAGTTTATTCTGGGGTTTCTCATTTTTGTGGTTACAGCCCTAGTGGATAGAAGAAGAAGATTTTTTTGATCCCGGAAGGGAAATTAGAGGGACCTGATTGAAGTTCTTCCACTGAGCCTCTGAAACAGGTGGCTGCTCCACAACATTAAATCAACTTATGACTCATAGTTATGACCTAAAATGTTAAAAATACGAATGAACTAAATAAGGACAGAGTTTACGCACTATCAACATTTTAGGGGTGGCACCAGCTGAGACAGTTTTAATGTTGTAGTAACAACTGTTGTAGTTTCCAAGTCCCAGAGAAATAACAGATGACTTTAATCTATACTCTTGTATTTGTTTTCATAGAGGGAGGATAATTTTATGTGCACAATACAAGAGTACTGTTGGATCAGTGTATTTCATGGCTGGTGTCATGCCTCATTCGCCCTTGCTGTAGATTATATCGTCACCCCATTAAAATAATGGCCTCAGTCATTTTATGAAGAAATTTGTTCTTTGGCCTAAATCATCTCTTGATAATACTGGCCATCTCTGGTAAAATCGCCTAAATCCTTAGATCATGCTATGATCCTTAGGCCATTATTTTAATAGGGTGATGCTATTCAGCATTTTTACAATAATCTGCATCAGCTGTTTTTTTTCACAGATAGACGATAAAATACATTTATTTTAAAACATGCTTGTTCGGCTTATGAACAGCCGCCTTTCTCCACCTAAAGTTACCACTCTTGGCTGTGTAACAATGTCCTGATTACAGTCCCCACTGATTGGCTACACAGACAGCCAATCAACACTCAAGCTTCTAGGTGCAGCTCCACCGCGAGGGAGAGAGAGAGGAGAGTGCTCCGTGCAGCAGGGGTATGCCCCTCGATTGATTGGATGTAGTGATGGGCATGGCACATTTTATATGTACTAAATCACAAGAATCAGTTCACTAAAAAGATTCGTTCAAAAGAATTGTTCACTGAATCACTGAATCATTCAGTGCTTGGTGGGAGGAGCCTATACACATATATATAAGCAAGATCAAAAATCTACTTTTTGATTCCCACCAGCCTCTACAGCACAAACTGGGTGTCATCAGAACACTCAACCACCGGGCTGAGAACATTCCCATGAAGAAAGAAGGTAAAGAAAAGGAACAGAAGCACATCAAAAATGCCCTGACAACCTGTGGATACCCTAAGTGGGCCTTTGTGAAGAACAAAAAGAGAAATAACACTGAACACGAAAGGGAGGAGAGACGCAAGAGCACTGTTTTCCCTTACGTTGCAGGCCTGTCGGAAAAACTCAAGAGGATCTTTGGCGAACACCACATTCCTGTTCATTTCAAGCCTGGAAACACACTGAGGCAGAAGCTAGTCTATCCCAAGGACAAAACACAGAGACATAAACAGAGTAATGCGGTGTATGCCATCCAGTGCAGCGAGGAACATGTACATTGTTGTACATTGGGGAAACTTAACAACTGCTTCACACGCGCACGGCTCAACACAGGAGAGCCACTTCCTCAGGTCAGGACTCAGCTGTCCACCTTCACTTGAAGGACACGGGTCACTCTTCCGAGGACAGCAAGGTACAGGTGTTGGCTCGAGAAGACAGATGGTTTGATAGAGGAATTAAAGAAGCCATCTTTACCAGGCTGGAGAAACCTTCTCTGAACAGAGGGGGTGGACTCAGGCACAATCTCTCTGGCACTTACAATGCAGTTCTCAGCTCTCTCCCCAGGAAGCTCCACAAACATTCACACCTGGGACCACATGACCCAGGTGGCATGAGTCATGTGGTCACATGACAGGGGTCGTTAACTTGGGGGGGGGGGGTTTCTACGACCCTTTCCACGTTGTCTGTCCCCTTCTCCAGTAAGATAAACATCTGCTCCTCACACTAGCAATTTTACAACTGAAGAAGCTTCTTGGATAAGAGGCGAAACGTCTTATCAACTCTACACAGTCCAGTTGCCTGTTTTTAAGTCTTCAAGAGAATTCCCTGTACAAAGTATGACTTGGGTCATGAATGACTTTAATACCGTGTTTCAGAACTGTACTGACAAAGATCTCCTGGAGGGTGCATGGAGGCTGCAGATATGGGTTTCGACCTTGTCATGTTGATTTCCTCCCTTATTTTTGGTGCTGTCTTTTCCCGATCTCTCTTACGGGTGACAAGATATGTTTATCCTCTGCTTTTGAAGTAACTTTCTTTCGTCCAGGCCTTTTTCTATCATCATAGCTTCCGGGTTCCTCTAGTCTCTTCAGAGTGTAGTGGACTCCTTTGTTAAACACCTTTAGGCGTTTTGCAATTTCTCTTTCTGTGTATCCTTCTTTCACCAATGTACAAATCTGTACTTTTGTTTATTTACTCAGTTGCTTCTTTCTAGCCATTTCTGCAGTAGATTGATGCAGTTGAGATTTATTAGGATTTTTGTCTGCAGACTCTCAAAAGCCAAAAAGTTTAAGTGAATAATCCAATTGTGATTTGTTTTTTTGCTTTTGCACTGAAGTTGTGACTCTTACAAATGTTTTCAACCCTAAAACTAATTTTATTTTCTTTTGCTTACATGTATTTAGCAATGGTCTGTTAACATCAATGTATATCTAAAGGTAAATGGAGTAAAATTGTGCATTCCCATGAAAGCAACATCTGGTCATGGAATAAATACATCCCAAAATACATACAACTCATGCTGGATTTTAAAAAAACGCATCGTGAACAAGAACTTGAAGTTACTCCGGACTGATTAGCCTGTAATGGCCTTGCTTCCAAACTTTTGGCCTGTAGTGTACATACACTGTAGTGTGTGTGTGTATATATATATAGATATATATATATATTAGGGGTGGAACGGTTCACAAAATCCACGGTTCGGTTCGTATCACGGTTTTGTGGTCACGGTTTTCGGTTCGGTTCAGTATACATTAACTGTTACAAAAATCAATTGCGTCTTGTATAGTAAACTGAAAGAATGAGGCAGTCTGACATTCAATACATCATTGTGACAGTCTTAGGTTCAAAGGTAGGTCAGATTCTGGCAGTGCAAGAGAGGAGACATAGTTCAAACATGCTTTACATTTATTTGGCAAAGGATATCTCTATCTATCTAAACAAAAAGTAAAATGGCTCTTATAGCTCTGACCCTTGAATTAGTGAATACAAAAGAATTGAACTTTACTATTTTACAAACAACATTATATACCATCAACATAAAGTGAAGCATAGGCTCTATCAGCACTAGACTTATGCCCTTTTAAAATCAACACAAAAACAACATTTTTCTCGTAACATGTAACAACTCCCTGATTATTAGTTGTTAATGAAAAGCTCAGTATTTTTCACTTGAAATTGAAGCGCAGTGAAGTGTGTGAAATACAATCAAAGAAATCAGGCTGTAGTTTTGATCAAACTTTAAGTGTCACTGTGTTATCTAAAGTCTAAACAAAATGAAATAAATAATCCAAATTAAGAGGTCATCAATATAAAATGCAGCATAAACCAAATTTAACAGATCCTGCGCTCTCCTGCACTCTCTCACACAACTCTGCTCATTGTATCATCATGTTCTTCTGCAAGAAGATCAGTTTGTCCACATTCTCTGCCAAGAGACGAGATCTACTTGCAGTGACAATGTCCCCTCATCTCCCACTCTGAGGTAATGTAATGGACAGTCACAGTCAGGAAACTTTCAGTTGCCCTGGAGGTCCATCCATCGGTAGTAAGAGCAACATAGGCTGTGTCAGACAGTTCTTTCACAATTCCCTGTCGGATCTTTTCATAAAGTGCGGGAATTACCGAGCCGCTCAAGTGTTTGCGGGAGGGGGATCTTATATCGCGTCTCGAGCGCCTTTATCATGCACTGAAATCCCGCACCCTCAACCACGGCGTAAGGTTGCTTATCTTTGGCGATGAAACACCCCAGTGCCTTTGTTATGCCCTTCGCCCTGTCCGACTCGTCATTGTACGGCTGTTTAAAAGCTGCCAGGAGAAGAAGTTGTGCAGCGTTGCCCCTCCTTGCGCTGTCAACAGCCACACTGGGATGATGTCTCCGTAAATGAACTGACATGTTAGATGTGTTCCCGTTAGCATAAGCAATGCGTGTTGCACAGTACTTGCACACTGTCGCACTTTTATCCACAACTTTCTTACCGCCTTCATAGTTCACCCTGAACGCAAAATGCTCCCATACACCGGACCTATATAACGCTGGTGGCGCGTCTTCCAGCCCCGAGTCTTCTCCGCTCGCCATGTTCACAGCTCCTCTACAACTAATTTCTGGGACACACTCATAGTTGCGCATGTGTATGACCCGAACGGGACGCAAGCGCACCGAACCGGGACGGTCGAACCGAACGGTTCAGTACGGTTTCTTAAACCGTTCCATCCCTAATATATATATATATATATATATATATATATATATATATATATATATTTACAGTGCCTTGCGAAAGTATTTGGCCCCCTTGAATCTTTTAACCTTTTGCCACATTTCAGGCTTCAAACATAAAGATATAAAATTTTAATTTTTTGTCAAGAATTAACAAGTGGAACACAATCGTGAAGTGGAATGAAAATTTATTGGATAATTTAACGTTTTTTAACAAATAAAAAACTGAAAAGTGGGGCGTGCAGTGTTATTGTGTACTAACCCTACCTCAAAACAAGACATCTAACGGCCTCAAACATATTAAAAGAATGAGAAATTCCACAAATCCACACTGTTTTCACCTGTTTTATGAAAACCACTGCAGGTGACTCCCATGAAGCTGGTTGAGAAAATACCAAGGGTGTGCAAAGCTTTGATGTGTTTATGTTATGTCCTCTTTATTAATCTATGACATATAAGGTAATAAAAACAAAGGAAACTACCTTTGAATGGTCCTGTATAGATTGCTACATGTGCAGTTAATGTCTTCAAGCCCTGTCCTGGCAGTGTATTTGATAGTGTTGATAATGTCCTCTCCTTTTTCTTCTGGTGTTCTGGCTGATAAGAGGAGCACACAGAAGATGGATGAGACCAGACAGAGTCTGCACACAGGGACAGCATCTGACTCCAGGAGGGTTGAAGAGGGCTTTGACTCTCTGTTGCTCGGTCAGCAATTCTGCCAGTGGTTCTTCCAGCTCCTAAACAGTCAGAACCTCTCTCTGGGCCAGCCACCACAGGATTGGGGGCCTCAGCACTTCTGGCCAGATGTGAAACTATGCCTTCATGCCAGGTACAGACCTGACTAACAAAGAATTGATCTGTTAGGTTTGACAAGACATGGATCTGCTTCTGCCGATCGTTCAAAAGCTTGTTTGACAATTGTTGCATTTTATGATGTGATTAGTCTTTTTAAAGGACTTTTAAAAGGTTGGAGATAGGCCTGTCGCGATAATCAATAAATCGCTCGATAAATAAAAACGAGGTCGATAACTTTGCCAGCCTCGATAATTGACGTGCGTTTGTTTTCCTCCTCTCTCGCTACCAAACACGCTGGATGAGAGAAGAGGTCTCACTCTGCGCATTGTTCTCGGCACCTGGGGGCGTTGGCTCTATAGCGGAATAAACGAAGTTAGTGAACCCTCCTGTCAGTCATTCAGTGTCTTTGTCACGAGGGGGCTGGCGCGCACAGGCACACAGACACAGACTTTTTGGATACAGTGCTGCAAGTGAGCGTCGTGAGTGAAAAGCAAGCAAACAGAATGAACACGACAGCTTTGGTGTCTAAACCGAACGCAACAGCCCAAGTGTGGGAATATTTCGGCTTTAAACCAGTTTTGTTTTCGTCAACCACAAAACTCCATGTGTGTGTGCGCGTGTGTGTCTGTGTGTTGGAGGAGCACAGCAGGCTGATGAGAGCTGTCAGAGCAGACTGAAGCTGCTCCTATATGTTTAGCGTTTAACTGACTGAGTTTTGCAACTCTGTTCGTCATTTTCGTCTCGTCCCATCAACGTGAACGCACTTTCGTCTCGTCACATTTTAGTCATCTCCGACTTATGTTTAGCTCGTCAACGTTACGTCTTCGTCGTGGGAGAAAAGGGAAATATTTTAGTCAACGAAAACAACCAGTGTTGTTCTCGTGTGGAAATTAAAGTTTATCACTTTTGACATGGTGTACTCGCATTATTATGCCATATAATATCATTTTCTATAATTTAAAAAATTGTGTCAATAATATCGTTTATCGGCGATAATTTGTAGCACAATTATCGTCCAGCAAAATTTGTTATCGTGACAGGCCTAGTTGGAGAGCATCAAAATATTCATGTAAGCCTTTCTGAGAGTTAACTCCCTTTTAAATGATCAGAGTATTTGATTTTCACATTGATGGCAATAGAAAGAAAAGACATTAAGGCAGGCCTTTGAGGCAATGATGTTGAAATGAATGTCACATTTTTTATTGGATTAAAGTTTACTGTTAGTTGGTTTGCCAGAGAAGATGAGCACATTAAGCTATGGTTGGCTTTTATTTTGTTCTTACATTTTATTTGCTGAAAAACTCCCTGAATCTTCTTAACCATGAGGATGGAGCTGTGTGTGTGTCTCTCTCAGGGCTGGCAGTGAACAAAAGGAGGAGTTCCTTGGTGCTGAATTGGTCAGTCGCCGTCTCCAGGCCTTGACCAGAGAGGAGCGCCTTCTCCTCAGCCCTAACTTGGAGCCTCGTGGCCTGAAGACACTGGCCTCCCCTCATGGCCTGGTGCTGGTGGCCGTAGCTGGGACCATACACAGAGACAAAAACTGCCTAGGTATCTTTGAGCAAGTGTTTGGACTTATCAGTTCCCCACAGGAGAAGAACAGCTGGAAGATCAAGTTTGTTAACATGAAGATCAAAGGGCAGGACGCCTTGGGGGGCATGGGAGCAGCGCCATCTTTGACATATAACTCCAGTGAACTACAGCTTCTCTGCAATTCATGATAAGGACTCTCTCTCTCTTTTTAAAAATAATCACCATAATCAGCCCTGACGTACTTCCCTTGGCAGTAGTTTTCAGAGATGGGAAAGAGGACTCTTTACAGGTTTTTAATACTTCTTTTTTTTTTTTTTACTCTTCTGGATGATCTGGTACAAGTTTGCATCGTGGGACTTTCTTCTGCCTCTTTTAATAGAAACGTTTATTTCACAAAGGAAATGTACCTTATCCAAAAGCAACATTTTGTTTTGGGGGGCCTGTATCCTGTGCCTTGGTTTGGGATCAGTAAATATGCAGACATGGATGCATTTTTGTAAATATTTATTATATCAAATATAAAGATTATTTGAAACGACTTTTTGCTTGTGCTTCATTTGACAGAGAAAAAAATATGCATCCTTATAACACCAACCCAGTTAGAAGTGCTGTTGGGAAATTTTGATAAATGTAAATAAAAACAGAATACAATGATTTGAAAATCCTTTTCAATCTACATTCAATTAAATACACTACAAAAACAAGATATATAATGTCCAAACTCATAAATTTTATTATTATTTTTTTTTTGCAAATAATGATGAACTCAGGAATTGATGGCTGCAACACGTGCCAAAGTAGTTGAGACTGGAGCATGTTACCACTGTGTTACATCACCTTTCCTTTTAACAACACTCAATAAACGTTTGGGAACAGAGGAGACTAATTGTTGAAGCTTTGAAGGTGGAATTCTTTCCCATTCTTGCTTGATGTACAGCTTCAGTTGTTCAACAGTTCGGGGTCTCCGTTGTCATATTTTACGCTTCATAATGTGCCACACATTTTCAATGGGAGACAGGTCTGGACTGCAGGCAGGCCAGTCGAGTACTACTCTTTTACTACAAAGCCATGCTGTTGTAACACGTGCAGAATGTGGCTTGGCATTTTCTTGCTGAAATAAGCAGGGGCGCCCATGAGAAAGACGTTGCTTGGATGGCAGCATATGCTGCTCCAAAACCTGTGTGTACCTTTCAGCATTAATTTTGCCATCACAGATGTGTAAGTTACCCATGCCTTGGGCACTAATGCACCCCCATACCATCACATATGCTGGCTTTTGAACTTTGCGTCGATAACAGTCCGGATGGTTCTTTTCCTCTTTGGCCCAGAGGACACGACGTCTACTATTTCCAAAAACAATTTGAAATGTGGACTCGTCAGACCACAGAACACTTTTCCATTTTGCATCAGTCCATCTTAGATGAGCCCAGAGAAGCCGGCGGCGTTTCTGGATGTTGTTGATAAATGGCTTTCGCTTTGCATAGTAGAGTTTTAACTTGCACTTACAGATGTAGCGACAAACTGTATTTACTGACAGTGGTTTTCTGAAGTGTTCCTGAGCCCATGTGGTGATATTCTTTACAAATTGATGTCAGTTTTTGATACAGTGCCGCCTGAGGGATCGAAGGTCATGGGCATTTAATGTTGGTTTCCAGCTGTGCGGCTTATGTGCAGTGATTTCTCCAGATTCTCTGAACCTTCCGAAGATATTTTGGACCGTAGATGTCGAAATCCCTAAATTCCTTGCAATTGTACTTCGATAAATGTTGTTCCGAAACTGTTCGACTATTTGCTTACACAGTTGTTCACAAAGTGGTGAACCTCGCCCCATCCTTCCTTGTGAATGACAGAATTTTTGGGGAAGCTGTTTTATACCCAGTCGTGGCACCCATCTGTTCCCAATTAGCCTGCTCACCTGTGGGATGTTCCAATTAGGTGTTTGATGAGCATTCCTCAAATTTCTCAGTATTTTTGCCACCTTTCCCAACTTCTTTGGCACGTGTTGCAGCCATGAAATTCTGAGTTAATTATTATTTGCAAAAAAAATAAAATAATAAAATTTATGAGTTTGAACATTAAATATCTTGTCTTTGTAGTATATTCAATTGAATATAGGTTGAAAAGGATTTGCAAATCATTGTATTCTGTTTTTATTTACGTTTATCACTACTTATTTATCACCAAAAGTTTATTAACAAAAATATCAACAAGAAAAAACAACATAAAATCACCACACAGGGTCAGGAGGCACGGACAGCTACTGAAAACGAAGAAAAACAAGAGTCAGAGGTTGTTTCAGTTTTTCTGTAATTTTTCCTGACACTAAAGTACAACTCAAATATACCACATGGGGCAAGTAACAAAGAAATATAAAGTCAACTAGAAAGTTCAACAGAAAACAAAAGACAAACTGAAAATCACCTCAGAAAAATGCAAGGGAAAAAACTAGAACTATAAAGTACAAAACAACTGAAACAAAGTGACAAACAAACTTACAAAAGACGCGAAGGCAGACTGGATGCACAAGCAGGAGGACACGAGAGGCACAGAGTGATTATGCTCGAGAGGAAGCCTGAGATAATCATCAGGCAAAGAGCACGACAGGAATCTGGCTTTTAATGGCCAGCTGATGAGCACAATGAGGTGCAGGTGTGTTCCTGATCAGCTGAGCCAGCTCTGCCCCCTGCCATGCTCCAGTGCTGCAGGAAGAGAAAGAGAGAGAGCACACAGACAACCAAAACACAAGGAAACAGCCCTAGATCATGACACTCTCCAGTATAAGTCCGGGCTAAACTATGGTAGGGTAAAACCATGACCCTCATAATACTACAGGTATTTCAACCCTTCAAGCCAGGAGAAGTGTGTCGCATTTCAACCTTCCGAGCCGGTGTTGTGCCATAGAATGCATCCCCTGCATCCCATCCACTCATTAGCTTCTTAAAGTGGAAGAGATATGACCTCATATTTCAAAAAACACAAGTATTGGATCATGACAACATGTCAAATGGAGCAGCAAACTTTCGTTCTGTTTTTATGTGACCCAAAAATGCACATATAGCATAATGCACAACTGTACAGTAAGCTGTCAAGGTAGAGGACATTATGTTTTCGGGACAACAAATTCTGAATCAGAGACATAACTGATCAAACCTTCAGGAAAAATTTCTTACCTTCACTCTGGAGTCTGAAACAGTCAGCATTATCAGTCATCCAGCTCCAACAAGTTAAAAATCCACTGATATTGTTCCTGTTTACATCCGCGGTCAGCGCGTTTCATCCATTTGCATTGTGTGAAAAAAGTTTTAGATGCTTTAGCTTCAGGTGCTTTGAACCACCTTTTGGGGGCCCAGTTCACAAAAGGTTGAGAACCCCTGCCTTAGATCATAAATAAGAAAAACTGCATTTCAAACATTTAAGCTTGAATTTCCGGGGATTTTCTAGGCGGATTAACATGTTTTTAATTGGGCTGTTTTGCTACAGAGTGGGCAAAAGAGTAAGTACAGCTCTCTAAAACCTGGGCAAAAATCACCTAAACAAAGATCACTCATGGAAACTGTCTGGTTAACTCAGTGGAATGATCAAACTCACCCAAGCCTATTAACACTCTTTCCTTATTTGAGCATGTTCATCATCATGGTGATAAAGCAACTTTACATTTTACCTGAAACAGTAACAAAAATCTATTTTTATTAATAGTGCTGGCCAGTAAACTGTCACAAAAGCCAGGTTGTAAAATGTGAATGTAAAGGATTTTGCTTTTTATGATGTACCTTAAAACAGTTGAACCTCAAGTTTTGATAATATTAAGACTGCTTTGAAATATGATCCAAAACAGCTGAGAAAGCCAATAAATTGATCTTCTGTTCTCCAAAAAAAGCCCCCTATTGCTACAGTGACAGCTTTGGACACCCTCGGCATTATCTTAACCAGCTTCATGTGGTAGGCACCTGGAATGGTTTTCAACAGTCTTGAAGTAGTTCCTAGAGATGCTGGGAACATATTCCCTTCACTCCATGATCCAACTCAAATCCAAACCAACTCAGCTAGGTTTAGGTCAAGTGACTGTGGAGGTCATATCTTATCTGACTTGGCCTCTTCTCTCTCTTTTTGGGCCAAATAGCCCCCAAATAGCATAGAGGTGTGTTAGGAGTCATTGTACTGTTAAAATAGTGTTCAAATGCTGCTGAACACAAACTAGATTGGATGGCATATTGCTGCAGAATGCTGGTTAAAAGTATGCCTTAAATTCAGCCACCTGGTTGGTTACTGCTTTATAAACAATGAGTTTGATGCAAGCTGTAACTGGAAGAAGACCAGATGTGCAGCTGCGTTCTGGAAAATCTGCAGAGTTTTAACTGTGCAAGCAGGGAGGGCTGTCAGTAAGGAGTTTTAGTGGTCAATGTGCAATATTTATTTATTTATGAATTGATTATTTGATGGGGACATCACAATTACACTGGACAAATCAGATGCATTGTGTTTTAGCAAATGCTAATTTGCACGAGAGCCTGTATGAGGAGCTATGCTGCATGTTCTGTTAGGTAGGGTCTGATCATCTTGATGTTAAGGAAAGCAAATCACCACCAGACCCCTCCTCATAGCTGCTGACAATGACCTCATCAGTCTCCTCATCCTCCTGGACCTATCTACAGCTTTTGACACAGTCTCCCATACCATCCTGGACTCCAACTCGACCCCAGCTCCAGTCAACCATGGCGTGCCCCAAGGCTCGGTGTTTGGCCCCCTGCTGTTCACCATCTATATGCTCCCTCTTGGCCGGATCATCCGTCAACATGGACTTAGTTTCCATTGCTATGCTGACGACACCCAGCTCTACATCAGCACCAAACCTTCTGCCCATCTCCCTCCCCTATCACTAGTTCACTGCCTACACGAAATAAAGACATGGATGGCCACCAACCTACTCAAACTGAACAACAATAAAACAGAGCTCATGGTGGTGGCCCCTCCATCTCTGTCCAAGGAAGTTGGTATCCTTCTGAATGTGGATGGCTGTACCATCAGGCCTTCCCAAGAAGTGCGCAACTTGGGTGTTATCCTGGACTGTAACCTCTCACTCCAAGCCCACATCAGTAACACCACCAAATCTGCCTTCTTCCACCTCAAAAACATCTGCAGACTCCGGCCCTCACTGTCAGACTCTGTTGCAGAAACTCTGATCCATGCT